GTGTTCCGAGATACGTTTTTCTTTATCTTAGGCAAGAGACAAAGCAAACTCAACTTTCTTAACAAATGGGCGGGAGTCTATGTGCAGCTCACCGAACGGCAGCTGCGCATTTATCAGAGTCTGGCGGACGTGGAGGCGGAGAATACGGTGCAGAGAATTAATTTGCATGCGCTTATGGTAGGGATGGAGGGAAATGATGATGATGTGAGTAGTGTGTGAGCACGATCTTGAAAAAGAGCTATAAGAATGAGATGATGTACTATGTTAAATTATTTGAGAACGATATTCTGAATCATCGTGTGATCGAAGATGCACCGTTCAAGTATCGAAGGGATTTGGCGAGTAGGGGGATTGAAAGGAGGTTGAGTGCAGGTTTGATGGTGTTGAAGGTCGGGAGCAAGGAAGAGTTGTACGTACAGATGTTCGCTTATCAATTGAACCTACGCTTGAAGGCTATCCAGAATATAGAGAGAGCCCCCTTATAATTTTATGTTCCATCTCTTCTGTTTGTGGTTCCAAACGATACTGTTTCCAATCGAAAATAGAATTCGTTGACTGTTTGGCAGAATTCGGGGCTTTTTCCCCCTTTCATTCTCACTTTTCCCTTCATGAATAAGTCGGAGACACCAGAACCTAAAGATTTGGAGAAGAATACAAACAAGAGCGAGGTAGGAGATGATATTCCCTGTCCGTACTGGTTGGAGTTGATTCCTTATTGCTTTACTTTCGTCTTTCTGTCATATATTTCCTATAAATACCTCGATCCTGTCCCAGTAGTATGGAAATTTCCCATATTTGCCAAAGTCTTAGCCTGCTTCTGTGTAATACACTGGTGTTTCATTCTTGGTGAGCGGTGGTACTATTTTGGAAGTGCTGGGTTCTATGAAATCTATTGGTACTGCAATATGGCAATGCTGCTCACCAGTGTTGGTATTATTTTGGGTCTTCCCAGTTTAATCGGCCAGTGCATGTGCTTAACGCTTTTCCCCCATATTTCGTTTTGGGTTGATATTCTGCTCACACCATGTATGAAGCGGTCGCCCATTGGTTCAGCTGGATGGATGTTTGAGAAGAGTACCCCGTGGCATGAACGTGTTTCCTCACTTCATCATTTCTGGTACTTTCCCTGCATTTTTATCCTGTTCTATAAACAGGATCCAATTCCGATAAGTAGTTATTGGATGTCACTCGTTCAATTCGTCATTATGAACTTTTTCTCCCGATTGATGAGTCCGAAGTCTTGCGTGGACAAGAGCGGGAAATTAAGAGAGTTGAACATCTGCGTGTCTTGGGTTTGTCCTGATTTTATTGCTAATATTCCTCCTTACAAGTGGTCAGCGGGTAATCCTTACATTGTTCATTTACTGATTGCTACGCTTTTCTATAACGTCCCTATCAATTTCCTAGCGTACGCTATTGTTTTTGGAGTTCAAAAGCTCGTTAATTTGATATAAACTTGGCTGGATATGATTAGAATTAGAATTAGAATTTAGAATTGGTCTTATCATTTATATTATTATTATTATTATTATTATTATTATTATTAATTATAATAATAGAAGAGTTATTAGTTTGTTCTTTGTTTGCACATACTTTTTTCCCTTTTTGGGTTCTTTTTAGGTAATTCTGCAATGTCGAAGAAGGTCCCTTTATCTGTAATTCAGAAGTTGCAGAACAATCCCACTCTTGTGAGAAACATTTGCATCCTGGCTCACGTCGATCACGGGAAGACAACGTAGAGTACTCAAGGGTTTCACCATTTCTAGACTCGCTGATGGTCTGATCAGCTCGAATGGGATTATCTCCACTCGACTCGCCGGAGAAGTGCGATACATGGACAGTCTGTACGTGTCTTCCATCGATATGTGATTTGTAGGGAAGAAGAACAGAACCGAGGCATTACTATGAAGGCAAGCTCCATCTCCCTCTTTTTCGAAGATGAAAAGGTGATAACGGACGAGGGCACTGGGGAGAAATCGAAGAAGCAGGTCCCCTACTTAATCAACCTGGTGGATTCCCCTGGCCACATCGATTTCAGCTCCGACGTCTCCGCCGCAGTGCGTCTCTGCGACGGCTGTTTAGTGGTGGTGGACGCCATCGAGGGCGTATGCACCCAAACATTGACGGTTCTGCAACAAGCGTTCCAGGAAGGCGTGCGTCCGATCCTCATCATCAACAAAATCGACCGTCTGTGCGTGCACCTGAAGCAAAGCCCGATGGCGGCCTACCTCCACATTCGCAACATCATCGAGAAGGTAAACGCGACGATCAGCAGTCTCTACACCGCCGAAGTGATCCGCAACACCTCCACCACCGTCCCTTTCTCTCTCTCTCCCTCACGCCCAGTCCTACGTCATCGACAGCGAGAAAGAAGAGCAGCTTTTCGTCTCTCCCCTCACCAACACCGTTCTCTTCGCCAGCGCCGTCCACGGTTTCCACGTTTCCACTTCTTCACCCGCAGGCTGGTGCTTCTCGCTCCGCCAATTCGCCGACCTCTACGCGCCGGTGCTGGGCATCAACAAGGCCAAACTGGCCAAGTACATGTGGGGCGATTTCGTCTACAACGCCAAGACCAAGAGCGTTTCCGCCTGGACTCCCGCCAGCAAAGAACCCCCGATTTTCGTCAAGATGGTCCTCTCCACCATCTGGCGCGTCTACAAAAGCGTCTACAAGCGCAACGACGAGGCTTTGCAGGCTATTTTGGACTCCCTTCAGGTCTCGCTTTCCCCGCGGGAATGGAAGATCGCAGACCCCGCGGTTCTCGTCAAAACCATCATGGAACGCTGGCTCCCTCTCTACCGCGCCGTTCTCAGTTTCCACGTTTCTACGATTGTGAGGGATAGAGGCGGTGGTGCGGGTGCTTCCGTCGCCTGTCGACGCGCAGAAAACGCGCTTTGAATGCATCTGGGAGCCGATCACGCAGAAACGCCGTACGAACCGCGGGAAATTCGTGTTTGTTTAGTGCGCGACAATCCGGAACAGTGTTCCGAACTGGCGGCGTTCCGGGCGGGGTTTGAGGAGTGTCGGCGCGCGGGTCCGCTGATGGTGTACATCTGCAAACTGTTCACGATGCGGGGAATCGACATCCAGGGCGGCGAGGCGATTGACCGCGGGAAAGACTACGAAATCGCGCTGTGCCGATCGTTCAGCGGAACCATCACGCGGACGTCTCCGCTGTTCGTGATTCCCGCGAATATGGAGTAGGCGTTTCGTGAGGGTGAAACGTAGAAACAATTCCCTCCAGCCGCAGCGAATCGCGGGGCCGATTCAGTTGTTTGTGCTGATGGGTCGGGAGATAACCGCGGTGGAGGAGGTTCCCGCGGGGAACGTGTTCGGCATACTGGGTCTGGAGGGGTCGGTAATGAAAATGGGGACATTGAGCGACACCCCGACATGTCCATCGCTGTCATCACTTCGTCTGGCGGTGCGTCTTCTCGATTTGTCTGACCGTGTAGAGCGATCCGATCGTGCAGATCGCGGTGGAGACGGAGCGCGCGAGCGACATGCCGCGGTTATTGTCGCAGCTGGCGATTCTGAACGCGAACGACAGCAGCATCCGCGTGTTCGAAATGGTAGAAATGGGGGTACATCACGACGCAGAAAACGGGGGAGCACATCATCAGCGCGGTGGGCGAGCTGCAGCTGGAAGTGATCATTAACGACCTTCGGAAGCGGCTGCCGGATCTGAATCTGGTGGTTTCTCCGCCGATTATCAACATTCGCGAAGCCTGCGCGCTGCTGCCCGCGTTGGAGGAGGGAGGAGAGCTTCGTTTGCCGCCCTCCGCGTCGATTCAGAGCCGGTTCTGGATGAAGGTAGGGTTTGGATGATGGCGGCAAGGCGAAGATGCGCGTGCTGCCGCTGCCGACGGCGCTGTGCGAGCTGCTGTACCGCGCGAGCAAGCAGCCGGCGATCTATCAGAACATCGTGAACGGCGAGAAACCGACCGGGTAGGCGACGGATGTGAATGAAGATGCAGCGAAACGAGGCTCTTCGTCGAGCAGTTCGCGGAGGCGTTCCGCGGGGATGCGCTGCTGCGGCCGTTCGCGGAGCACGTGGTGGCGTTCGGTCCGAAACCGATCGACACGAACGTGCTGGCGGTGGATCCGAGCATCGATTGCCCCGAAGCGTTCCTGTTCGGCTCGCAGTTTAGGAAATATTGCCGGGCTTTCGAAGAGACGGAGAAGGAAAAGGCCGAGTCGCGCGACGAAGAAAAAAGCGCGGCAGCCCAGGAGAATGGATTGATGAATGAATCAATGAATGAATCGAATCAATCGAATCAATCGAATCAATCGAATCAATCGAATCAATCGAATCAATCGAATCAATCGAATCAATCGAATCAATCGAATCAATCGAATGAATCATCAATTGAATCATCGAATCAATCAGTGAATGGACCCACGACTCCCGAGGAGGAGGAGGGCTGGCTGGAGGGCGTGGCGCTCACCCAAACCCTGCTGCGCCAATTCCACATGAGTTTGGTGAACGGATTCAAGCTGGCCTGCGAGGCCGGTCCGCTCTGCAGCGAGCCGCTCTGGGGCGTTCTCTTCATTCTCGAGGACTTCGCCCTCCTTCCTCCCCGCGATTCCAAGGACTCCAAGAATGGGGAAACTGGAGAAACCGAGGAGGGAGCGACGGAGCTCGCCAAGGCCCGGGAGACGCGTCTGCGCGTGTCGGAAGCGCGGGATCGCATCGCGCAGCTGTCGAGCGGCGTGGTGATGTCGCAGACGCGCTCGCTGTGCCACCAGGCGTTCCAGCAAGCGTCGGCGCGCATCGCGGAGCCGATGTACCGGTGCATTCTGCAGTGCAACAGCCAGCATCTGGGGAAACTGTACTCGGTGATCAACCAGAGACGCGGGGAAGTCGAGAGCGAAGACATCTGGGAAGGCACCGATATCTTTACTATCACGTGCTCGTTGCCTGTGACGGAGAGTCTCGGATTGGCCAATCATTTGCGAGAACAGACGTCGGGAGCGGTGAATCAGCCGCAACTGCAATTTTCGCATTGGCAAATTTTGGATGAGGACCCGTTCTCGAAGCCGGTGACCGAGGAGGAGATTGAGGAATGGGGAGAGAAGTTTGGAACGAGGAACCGGGCGAAGGAGATCATCGATGGGATTCGAAAGCGAAAGGGAATGCAGACCGATGAGAAGATTGTCGAGAATGCGGAGAAGCAGACAACCATGAAGAGCAAGTGACTTGTTTGTTGGAAAATTGAAAAGAGAGGGTTGGAATGGGATTGTTCATGGGATGTTTGCATACAATTGGGTAAAGATGATCCTGATTGTGCGAATCCGTGAGAGCAAGCATTTGATCCAAGATTCGATCGCAAAATCCTTGTGAATAGCGTGTTTTTCCCCTCAGTTCCACGTTTCCCTATTCATGACATGACTCAAAAACTAATCCCTAGATGGAACAGCTAGATCCATCTGTACTACAAAACATTGCAAAATTCTTAAGTCTGGGTAATAATAATGTGCGTGTGTCAGTGTTAGGAGAACTGTTCTATTCCTTTGAACCAATATGCAGAAAAACAAGGGAAGCGGTCAGCGAAGTATTCGAAGAGATACTGAGTGACAATTAGCTCTGCAGACAGATGCAAATTCTCTCGCTGACGGATTATTCCAACATGACGGATGCTGAATTTATATCGCTAATGAGGTTGTGTGTTTCGTGGCGATTCGCATGTAGACGATGTTGCAATATAGCCTTTCTTGTCGTTTGTAATTCAAAAAACATGATAGCATGTAACCAAGAGTGATCTTGTCATGAACGTGTGATTTCCTAGTTTATGGGAAGTGAATATCTACTGCCCTAAGTTGCAGGTCCTGGTCATTTGTGGCAGGTAGTCCTAATGATTTTCATACTCATTTCAAGTCCTATTTATTCCAACGAATTTGGTGATGAGGTGGTTGCTCGTTTAGCAGGAATCGACGGTTCCATTCCTCCTTTTTTTCAAGACAAACCCATCGGTTCATGTCTCTCCAAGTCTTCTCATGTAGTGAATATCTGCCATATTTTCTGTTCCGCTCGTATTGTTTATCTCGTAAGAGCCTTCAATCTCCGCGACTCTTCAGTCGCAATCCGAACATGGTCCTTGCTTCGCTATGTTCTGAGTAATCGCGCGATGAACTCTTAATGTCAGATATGGACGCAATTCGCTCCGCTCTTTCCGTTTTAAGCCTCGACCACATTGTAATCTGCGCATTCTATGCGATTTGCCGCGTGTATGGATTCCCCGTGACATTTCACAGTCTGCTGAGTGTGTATTCGTCCTATTTGGAGCCTTTTCAGTCGGTTCGATCGTTTATTGAGTGGGTGGATGTGAATCGACTCTGGTTCGAAGTTGATCTGTCGGCGGTGCTGAAAGTGGCGTCGGAGGAACGGCAGACGATGATCGAGTTGTACAATAGTTTTTTTGTGCCTCTTGTGTATCCTGTGGTGGAGTTTTTGCGCCAATCAATACATACTCACGAGGAAGGGATGAAATGAGGGGATATCAGTGCAAAGATGTACTATGCTGTGTTTGTTTGATAATGGAATGGAATGGATATGAAGAGAGGAGGTAGGATTGTATTTTGCTTGTATGTTTCGTTATTGGATAAAAGGAGCCATTCAAGAATTGATTGTAGACTCTTGAAGCTCCATTTCAGTTTTTTCTTCGAAGCCATTCTAAGAGGAGATGCAAAATATGCCTTTCAAAGCTTCCTTTTCTATATTTATCGCACCAAACTTACTCCCATTCCAAGAATCCCTTCCACTCCCACTCTCCAACTTCCCTTTGTGAACAAACACCCCAATGATAAAAATGATTAAAACGGTATAAAAAGACCTTCCCCTGCTTGTTCCCGATCGCCAAATACTCTACTCCTCACTCCTCTTCCCCGTTTCCACGATTGTCTCCGCTCATCGCCACCGTCGTCACGCCTCCCAAGTTTTCCCGCTTTGTTGGCCAGTTCGTGAACACGCTCCGCGTCCCCAGATGCACCGCGCGGATCTGCGTCTGCTTCTCTCGGCTCGCGTACACCAGCAGCGAGTTGTCGTTGTTGATCGCCACGCTCGAAACCGCGGTTACCAAATTCTTCACTGCCTTCAACGCCACGATTTCCCGCGAATTCTCCGCTCCCGCCTTCGTCGTCCGCTCCGTGGGCGTTTCATACACGCTCAGCACGCCCGTAGCGTCCCTAGAAATCACCCGATCCCCGCGGAACCACCCAATCGCCATGAAATTTCCGTTCACACACAGCACAATCCCGCCAAACAAGTCCTTATCGCGGTACACGTGCCGTACCGTGCATGTCGTCACGTCGAATTCGAAGATCATACTGTCCTCTACGCCTCATCCCCGCGGTTCTCTCGCACTTGTTAAGATATAACAGGTTTCTCGATCGTAGAAACTGGCGTCGCACACCGGCGAAGCCAATTGGCGCACCGTTTCGCAGCGGCGACTCCGCAGATCCACGCGGAACAAAGATCCCTCGTTACCGATCAGAAGCACGTGCACGCCGTCCGGCGAAACGCACATTTTCCCGTGCTTCAGCTCCTGGTACCCTGGGATGAGGCGAAAACCGCGGGAGTACCGGGGACGTTGAAGATCCGCGAGAATTTGTCGCGCTCGATGTCGTAGTAGATCAGAAACTCGCGGTTTTTGGAGCTTAGGAGGAGTCTGGGTGGGAGAACCGCGGGAATCGTACGTGTTTCGGCTGGTCCAATCAGCTTGATGGACGAGGAAGTTGTCGAAGTGGAGCATTTTGATGCATGTCGGCGCGCCGGATTGGAGCGAGTAGAGATGCACGAAGTTCGAGGCGTTGTAGACGAGGAAAAGGGGTTCCGAACGGTGGAAACTCACCGAGCGGATCGCTTCCTGAGGAATGTTAAAAATAGTGGGGATTTTTGTACTTTTTTGCGCTTCAGCCGCTCGGAACCATTGTCTTCACGCAGAGCGAACTCGGCCAGCTTCTGGATCTCTAAGTGGGTACTGGGGAGAGCGCGAGAAGCCCCGATGAAGCGTTTGGTGGTGCGGAGAAGCGTCTCAACGTCATCGTTCGCATCCACTTTGGGAGAAAGTTCAAACAGAGACTCCACTTCACTGGGAAGAGCGAGTCTGTGTATCAGATAACGATCCATCGTTTTACTTTGCTTGCAAACGCTTGGTATACTCGGTTCCACTAATCTTCTTTTCTTCATAATCGTTTCGCATTCTCTTTCTCTTTCCCTGTGCACTAATGTCAATTTCAATTTCGTCGTCGTCAGAATCGTGCCATAAGGGAACACGCTCCTTTGGCTTATCTTCTTTCGGTGTTGTTTGCTTCTATACAATCACTTCTTTCCAAATCAGATACAGGAATCGAGACCTCCTCCAAATCACCAAACAGGAGATCTGTGAATTGCTTTTCCTCGGCGGTGATCTCTTTGTTGATTTCTGATGGTTTTTCCTGCATCAAGATGGCTAGAAAGAGAGATAAGGGCACATGCAAAATCTCCCCGATTATTGCAATTTCCAAATTCTGAGTAGTTTTCACTTTCCAACAATCTATTGATTCGGGTTCTAATTTCTCACTCGCATTTTATAAATAGATATGCAAGCAACAACCGTATTCAAAGTGGCGAAGACACTCTCTTGTCATTGCTGGAACAAGGATCGGACACGTTGGGTCTACTTCATATCTTTCTTATTTTCGTAGAAGTCGCTCTTGCGACTCGAAATGATAATACGATACAAATCTACACGAATTGCACGTCTTCCAAGTTCGAAGATTGGAAATTAATTCACACATTAACGGGGGTACTCGATTTTGTAATGTATCTCTGTAGCACGACTTGCCGATTACTGCTTTGGACTGGGATCCGAATTATAACCGCATTTTATCTTGCTCCGAAGATTGCAATGCGTATGTGTGGAACTTGGAGGACGGAAAGTGGATGCCTACTCTGGTATTGTTGAAAATCAAGCGAGCGGCTCTCTGCTGCAAGTGGTCACCGGATGGGAAAGCGTTTGCTGTCGGTTCCAGCGAGCGCAAGTGTATGCCGATTCGTTTGCTTTTTTAGCAATAGTGCGCATCTGCACTTTCAACACTTACGAGAATTTGTGGGTGAATCCAAGCGGACTGCACGCGAAGCTAGAGAAAGAAACGGAGGAATCGGGAACGGAAACGCCCACCATATCGAATAAAGCGAAGGGCAGCATCTTCTGCGTTTGTTGGGATCGCACAGGCCAGCTGTTATGCCGTGGCTCGTTGGACGGTTCGATGAGCATTGTGAGCACGTACTACGATCCCACACAGCCGTATGCATGCAGGAGTGACGGGATCATGCGTAGGATTCAAGACTGTCCGTTCGATATCACTTCGAAGGATCTGTTTGGATATGTTTTCGGAGACAAGTGCGACGTCGTGGAGGCGATTGCGGTGAATCTATCCAACACAGCGATCGCTTACGCAGGTATCCAGCATCCTTCGCAGCGCATTGAATGTAGATCGAAGCAGCAACGTGTATGTTCTGGAATTCACAGGCCACATGATGAGCAAGCGAGTAGCCAATCAGAAGGGAGTGCGTGATGAATAGACGATTTCCTGCCCATGCCTGCCATTCACAAGTCTTCTGTTCGTTCGGGACGATGTAATGGTGGCCGGAGGATTCGATTCCGATCTCCACGTGCTCGCAAAGCAAGCAGGCGAATGGTAAGTGCGTGGAGAGCGGAGTGAAGCAAAGGAAGTATGTGGGTGTCGCGGATTTGAGCGCTTCGGACGCGAGCGGATCGTCGCGCATGTCGAGCTCGTTCCAAGAGCGAATTCGAGTAGAATTCGATTCGATTCGGAATGGTCAATAGATGCTCCAATCGAACACGAATCGCGGTTCGTTGCGGAACTCCACGAGCATGGATCAGGGAAGCACAAGTTCAGGTCCGCATCGCAATATGATTTTGGAAATCCGGGAGAAGTCGCGAGAATCGAATCAGCAGAAAGTGAAGGAGATTTCAACGTGTGGATTGGACGGTCGAATTGTGATTTGGAACATGGACTTGATTCTAACCAAAATGAATGTGTGATTCCTTGTTGAGTTTCAACAAATGTGAGGATATGAGTGTTCAAACTCCTTTTCCTTTTGTTCTATATGATGAAAAGATAGTCTCCAATTGATTCTGGAAGCAAATTCAAACCCACAATTAATCTACACTCGATTCCTAATAATCTTTCACATAAGACTACACCACTCCCCTTCTTTCTTTTCCAACAAACACTCCAATAATACATCTCCGTATCCAACCCCTCGTCCTTCTTCCAATTCTTCGATATATGCATGTTCTTCTTCCCGTCCTTCACGCGCACCTCGCTCAGCTTCAGTCCTCTCTGCAGCTTTTTCGATATCAACTACCCATTTACCTCCCTTCCCTCGCTACCCACTTCGTACACTTCGTTCGCCTTTCCCTCCAGCGTCGAATTGTGGTACACGTGCTCCGTCGACACCACTCGCCCCTTCTGCGGTTTCGCCGTTTCCCCGTTTCTCTGCGGACCCAAATAATAGCCCGACGTGTTGGCGCTCTGCACGGGCGTTTCCTCCACTTCTGCCGCCGCTTTTCGCTTCGGCTGCTCCACTACGGATCACTCCCAGATTCTGCCGTGACCGCGTCGCTCGTCGACCACCACTCTTCTCCCCGCGAAATCGAACGAGATCGCGATTGGCTGCTACGAATCACCAAGAACCGCGGGAATCCACCTGCGATCGCTGCTGGTACACCATTTTGTAGGCGTCTCCCGCGGTTTTCTTGCCGGTCCAGCGGTCATTGAGGTCGAAATAATCCTGCTGATCGTCGAACACTTGCGAGCGCGCCGTGTTCTCGCGGTCGTATTGGAGGAGCCGGTTCTACTTGGAATGGAGATAACCGCGGGGAACCTTGTTTTCGATGGCTTTGCGAAGCGATTCGTCGGTTTGCGCGTTGTGTGTGGATCGGTAATGTTTGCTGAATGCGCCGCAGTAGGTGCAGACTTCGAGTTCTTCCTCGGTGCAGATGATATTTCCGCATTCTGTGCAGTTGAAGAGCACGGGGTGGATGGTGCCCATGCAATGACATTTCGGCTTGGCTGGGAATGAAGAGCGCAGTGAACGGTACGGATCACATCTGATTGGGTGGCAGAGGAGAATGCGGCGGGGGGAGCAGAGGGATCGAGCTTCTTGGGAGGTGGAGAGGGCTTTGTCTGGGACGCGGCTTTCTTTGGAGGTTCTGTTGGGGTCTTTGGCTTGGGCTGTAGGGTGAAAAAATAGATAACGAAGTGATACAGATTGCTTTTCCTTGTTGGGAGGGGGACTTTGCGAATCCTTCTTTGGATTGACTGCCGTCGTCCGTTCCTCTTCTGCAACGTACTATGAAATCACAAATTTTCAAGTTATTTCTCACTTGGCCTCGTGATTTGAGGATTTCGGTAGCAATGTTGTTTGCAACAGTATCGTTACCGATAATGTCTTTTAGGACCGCTCGAATATCGTTTACATCCTGAAAAGACAGAATATAGCTGCCTCATCAAAACCTAACAATCCTTACTTTGTCATATCATCCACGTTCTCAGGACCCACAATGTCCGAGAGTTCGAGCATCAACATTTGACGGATCGCCATGACGATGATTAAGTGAACAAACACATCAAATCACATAGTCACAAACATCCCACGTCCCTTCCCAATGATGATAGCACATCGGAATCAACGCCTCCGTAAACATCAATTCCCTCGGCGCCATCAACTTCTTCATCGTTTCCTCCGCTTCATTCATCACTTCTTCGCACTGCCGACCCACTTCCAATCGCCTCTGCACGCTTTCTCCCACGATCCCCATCGCTTCCTACACTCGAGTTTCCACGTTTCCCCCACAGTCAGCGCGAAGATGCACCGATACGTCTGCACTTCCGCGGTTATCGACTTCCTTTTCGCGAGAACCGCCTCCAGATTCGCGTTGAGTTCCCGCGCGATCGGAAGCAACATGCGCTCAATCATCGCATCCCCCATCCGCGAAACGCCTATCCTTGAGTTTCTACGTTTCCACGAACAGACGAGAACGCCGAAGACGCTGGGAATCGTGGAATTCGGCGTGTGGAGAACGCGATTCAGCGTGACCAACACTTGATTCTGCAGTTTGGGGTACGTTACACTGTATCTAGTTCCCCAGTTTCCACGATTTACGTACTGGCGAATCAGCTCGGCGAGGACGATGGCGGCACGTGCGCGTAACTCCCAGTGGTCTTCCGCGGGGGAGAAGGTGAGCGTTTTTCCGAGAGCGCAGGTGAGAATGCAGGGAACGAGGATGTGGAGCTGAGTGGAAAAGGAGAAACAAGGGAAACGTAGCTGACGATGTGGAGATGGCGGTTGAGGAGCAGACTGTGGATGAGCTGGATGATGTACCGGAGGTAGGCGACCATGCGGACGGGCTTCTGCTGTATGATCTTTTGCGTCTGTTGAGGAGAGAGAAAGAAAAATAAAGTACGGTGGATTGCACCCAATCGACGAGATACGGGCAGATTTGGTTGAGACCTTCGTCGGTTTGGAGCTGGTGGAACACCTCCGTGTTCTCCTCCTCCGAGCTGTAGAGACGGCTCTTGATCTTCTTGAGGTAGAGCTCGCATTCGAAGGAGAGAGAATGGATGGATTGGCTCAGAAGCTGGACATCGGGAGAGTCATCGGAGTCGTCGTCGTCTTCTCCCACTAGGAAGTAGATGCATCCCAGAAGAATTCGTACTCTCTTTCCGATATTGGATTTGATTGCCTTCCACGACGAACCAATTGACTTTAAACGAGGTTTCCATGGGAAGCTCCGGAACTTCAGATTCGATGATGTGATTCACGGAGACGATTTTGGAATCATTCGATTTGTCAGATAGCAGCATGAACGACCTTTGCATCTCGGACCTTCGATTTTTATATCCCAATATTTTCTAGATCGCATTGATCCTCCTTTCCATACATCAAAATTATAAATATACAGCATCTTTTCGATATCGCCAGCTGTGAGCTTGGTTCGTCTGCAATGTTCCATATACATTTTTGCTTCCTACAAATCGGCAATTCATGGCAAGAACCGACCTGCAGGATGAACTGTATCTCCTTCTGCAGAATCAGCTCCAGTCGCTTCCTCGCCTTGATGGAGAGATTCTTCTCAGCGTAGGCCTCGGTATTCATGAACTTCGCTGCCGACCAAAGGTATTTAACAAACAAGCGCCATGCTTAGTACGATCTTCCCCACAACGCGAACGCCGTCGCCTTCTCTCCGCAGCAGAAGCACTTCGCGTCCTCGGGCAGATGCTCCTGGTTGAAGGGCAGACACAGCGTCTTCGCCGACCCGCTCAGCGCGGGCGCCTCGCCGGCGGCCTTCTTCTCCTTCGTGTCGGGCGCCGTCCTCCGCTTGACCTCCTCCTCGCACTCGATGCGCTCGCACCAGGGCGCCAGCACCATGTTTCCGTCGAGCGCGGCCTGGAACTCCGCCCACGTGCTCACCGCGCGGATGTGCGAATCGCGCTCGCGCCGCGCCTTCTCCAGCAGCGCCGCCTGGATCGTCTCCAGCTACCCTTCACGCCTCTCCGCGGCTCTACGGCCTCCCTCGCCTCCTCCTCGATCTTCTCCCACGCCACCGTGCGCTTCCCCGCGGGAGTCAGGTCGTCGCGGCGCGCGAAGACGACCTGCTGCGCGTCTAAATCGCGCGGACCCAGCTCGATGCGCAGCGGCACGCCCTTCTGCTCCCAGTCGGCGAACTTCCAGCCGGGGTTGTAGTTCTCGCGGGAATCCACCTCCACGCGCAGCCCCGCCGCGCGCAGCCGCTCGCCGAGGTCACGTGCCTAGGTGAGAGGGAGGCCGCGGGGATCCTACGGCGCGGCGGAGACGGTCGACGTCGGCCTCGGAGGTCTTGGAGTTGTGGAAATAGACGATGACCGCCTGGATGGGCGCCACGCGCGGAGGCAGCACTAAACCGCGGTCGTCGCCGTGCACCATGATCAAAACCCCGATCGAGCGCGTCGTCAGGCCCCAGCTGTTCTGCCAGACCAGCTTCCGCTCTAGAGGTCAGTCCCGCGGGGAGCGGCCACCGCCAGAGTCGGTCTCGTAGGAAATGCCGAACATCCGAGAGAAGTTCTGGCCGAGGCAGTGCGACGTGGCGGCCTGGACGGCGCGGCCGTTAGCGGGGATGAAGGCCTCGACGGTGGTCGTGTAGAGGCCGCCCGCGAACTTCTCCTTCTCCGATTTGCGGCCTTTAATCACGGGCACCGCCAGCAGCTCTTCGTACACGCGCGCGTAGTAGTCCAGGATCTCCAGCACCTCCTTCTCCGCCTCCTCCTTCGTCGCGAACGCGCTGTGGCCCTCCTACGCGTCGGAGGGATCCCACGGTTTTACCTGCCAGAGGAACTCGCGCGTGCGGATGAACGGCGTGGGGTGCTTGAACTCCCAGCGCACGACGTTCGTCCACTGGTTCAGACGCAGGGGCAGGTCGCGGTGGCCGCGGATCCAGCGAGCATACGCTTGTGAGCGGGGAAACGGGGAAACTACCTGGATACATGATGGTCTCCGAGGTGGGGCGAATCGCGACCGGCTCTTGCAGCTCTGAGGAACCGCTGCGCGTCACCCACGCCACTTCGGGGGCGAAGCCTTCCACGTGCTCCTTCTCCTTCTCGAGAGCACCACGAGAGACGAACATGGGGAAGTAGGCGTTCTGATTGTGAGTCGCCTTGAACAGAAAGCTACCTTCACACCGCTGGCCTTGATCTTGGCGTCCAGGAACTCTTGGATACGCTCCCAAATGTTGTAAGCCCTGAATGTGAGTCTTGTGGCGAAAGGGGCTACAGAGGTCGCAAGATGTAGCATCCAGAAACATCGTAGTAGTCGATCAGCTCGGAAGCAACGATGACCTGCGAATACCACTCAGAGAAATTCTCCATCTAAATCAATCACAAATTCGCATCTGAAACGAACCTTCTTGTAGGAAATGCTCAAACCTGTCTCCTTCTTCTTCTGGTCTACGAAATGAGGAAGGCACCATTAAAACACACTTTTTCTATAAGGGTGAGGGAGGAAACCAATAAAGAGTACGTGGACATGACGAGAACGGAAAGAAAGCGAAAATAAAGTGAGGAGTAGGGAAAACCGTTTCAAAACCATCGTTTCAAAATTGGCAGTGGACCGTTTTCTGAAGTGCAAAATGCATCATTTAGCTCAGAATACCCGCTGCAACTCCGTAAAGACTCTCTACCTTTCTCGCAACTACTAAGAATCGACAGGAATGGGTGGATACATAGTAGAGTTTTGTTCATTTTACACGATGTCGCATGTTGATAGAGGCTACGAACTAAAAATCCTATTTCTATGATAGCGCAGCTTTCGGGCGTTTTGGCTGTCTATGCTGTAGCAAGGAGAGCGTATTTGCATCATTCGTTGTCGTATGGAGGCGCGATGACTGCCTTCTTCGTGGGAAGTATCCATACACTTGCAGGATGGAGATATGCCGTCCTGCTGATATTTTTCTTCCTCACAAGGTTTGCATTTGTGTTGTTCTTATAACTCAGTACAAAACTCACCAAACTTTGGTCAAATATAAAGAAACAAAAGGAAGATAAGTATACCTACGGGGGCGAGAGAGAGGCTAAGCAAGTCATTGCAAACAGTTTGGTCCCGACGCTTATCTGTTCGTATATTCTATTCTCTCGCTTGGGGCTAATTCAAATTTCTGCAGAAAGACTGCGTTTTCTGGAAGGTAGGTGTGTGTGTGCTATTTGTAACGTTTGGGTGCGTTGTTTCTTCCCACAGTGGCTTCCTATTACTGTGAATGCTGCGCAGACACTTGGGGAAGTGAGGTGGGTATCGTTTCTTCAACTCCCTATCTCCTTTTAATGCCGTGGAAGCCTGTTCCTGCAGGCACCAATGGAGGAATCAGCATTTTGGGTCTTTTCGCGGCGATTCTAGCAGGCTTCTCCATGACCATTCTGTACTTCTTTCTTCAGCTTCCTTCCTCCATGGTAGCTTTTTTCTTCTCTGCTTCGTTCTGATTAGATGTCTCTGAGCGAGATTCTTGCCATGTGTCTGTTCTCCAGCATCCTTGGAACGTTCGTTGATTCTTTTTTGGGAAGTATTTTGGAAGAATCCTGGTGGTGCTCCAGCAAGAAGCGCGTTCTGTCAAGCTTCTCGAGCAAGGATAGCTGTTGTCGTGTCGCTTTAAAGGACGGAAAGCGAGTGGCTGGACATGTTCCTGATCATTGTGGGTTGGTGTGTGGACACGCGGTTTGCAGCGGGAATGAGGTCAACTTGCTGAGTTCGTCGATCATCTCGCTCTGTGTGTTCTTTTACAAGGGTTCTATAGTTTGGGGTTTCGCTGTTTGTGAAATACACGATTGTTTTATCGGTTCATTTCTCAATCATGAGGAAGCGGTCGTCTAGTTGTAATGCAAGAATAGCATTGTTATTGTTGATTACACGCGTTTTGACGTATATATGTGGCATTGTTGGAATCTGTATGCTTTTCATTAAAAACAAGAGAATCGAAATGATCCAATCGTACATTATATAGGAGAAGCGTACTTTGTAGATATAATGAGAGAATTAGAGAATGGGAGAGAGAAGGCGTGGCTCAGCTTGAAAATGTTACATTTCAGATATCGTATAGAAACATATCAAAAGAATATGATTTGGTAACGGAAGGCTTTGGAGAATACTATCCTTTTCGTGATAGCTGTGACAAAATGTCGGATCCGGGGTGTCTAGCAAGCACGGTGTGCTATTATTCTGCTTCTGTACCGATTTTGTATGATCAAGACAGTGTGGTTTTGATTTCCTCTGTTGACGGCTCTCCCGTTTTTAACGCAACGGTTCATTTCCAAGATACGATTTACCTCAACAAGAAGGAAATCAGCTGTAGTGGCGGCAACACGTTTCAATTCCTATTTCTGTTTCAGTTCCAGGGATGTCTGCACGAATGCGTGCTCTCAACACTACGGCGAGTGGGATACGTCGAACAACCATTGCAAGATTCATATGTACCTTTCTTCGATCAATCTCCGCATTTATTACGACAACAACACGGAGTCCTTCCAACCGGACGACCCTCCGTACATCTCTCCGACCCTTTTCACCTAGACACGCGTCATGGCTGCCATCGAACTCCAATTTTGGCTGCGAGCCCTTCTCCTCCGCCTCCTCTAACCTCTACTACTACCGTGACGCTTCGCCCTGGCCGCCATTCTCCTACTCCCCGACGCCGTCGCCCCATCTCTCCGTCTCCATCCGCCATTACCAAGATCCCTTCATCGTTGCTGCTTCCATCACCAACGGATGCAGCGCAGCCACCGAATCCGCAGCCAGCTGCTTCGGACGCTCCATCGAGGAAGATCGGCTCATCGCTCTCGTTCTCATCGCCATCGGCGTCGTGGGGCTCACCGCGGGAATCACGGTGCGTCTGGAGGTGTGGGATGAGGGGTAGATGGTCTGTGTGGAGCGGAGGCTACGTCGGAATCTGCGCCGTGTTCCGTCGTGGATGTTCCCGTTTTCGTTTTCGATGGCGATGGAGGGCAGTGTGGAGTGTGGGGATGTAGAGAATGAGTGAGGAGTAGGGAATGACGAGGCGGAGGAGCTGAAGGGGCGGAAAGGGAGAGCGAACGACATGTCGAGCGAATGGAGGAAGGAAACGACGGATAACCTGGAAACGGGAGGATCGATGATGAATCTGCTGGAAGACGCGCCGATGATCACGATGGAGCTCAACGAGTCGGAATCCATTTTGAGTAGCAGCAACTACAATTTGCGTCCAGAGTTCGAAGGGGATGCGACGGGAATCTGAGTGAATAGTTTGTACTATGGCTTGTTTGTTTTTTAATTGGAGGAAAGTAAATAGAGAAGAAAAAGGAGCAATCAACAAATGAATGCTTTTCTATCATATATATATAGCCAATTGGTATGTACTGTGTCTTATTTTAATTGAAAGAAAGTAAATAGAGAAGAAAAAGGAGCAATCAACAAATGAATGCTTTTCTATTCTATCATATATATTTAGCCAGATAAATTGTACTATGTCTTGTACTTTTAATTGGAAACAAACAGAACAAAAAGAAACAACCAAAACAAAAGAATGCTTTTACTGCGACTTGTCCTGCTTGAACTTCGAGTACAGACCAGCCGTGTCTTCGCCGTAATCGATCGTGGCCACCGCATAGACCGTCGCTGCGCCCAGAAGAACCAGGATGATCACCACCACCAAGATGATGTTCCGATCCACGATCTGATTCTCAGTGAGCACCGATTCTAAAATAAAAGCGAAAGAAAAATGACGTACTGTCATCAGAGAAGGCGTAGAGAACCAGAACCTTATTCTCTTCGGTAGTAGCGAAAATCTGCTCGCTCATGGTGGAGTTGTGGTGATAAGGACGGTAGATGACCGTGCGATTCTCGAATATCACGTCCGTGATGTTCTGAATATAAAACAGAAGCTTAAAACCAACAGAAATCAAGGTGTATCCGGAAGGGCAATAGGCCTTATTCTCGTTAAAGCAAATCTTGTCGACTCCATTCTGGCGCTTTCCGTAGGCATGCATCACAGGGAACATCGAATCAACATCGGTGAGATTCATCATATAGTCCACAGGCACTGCGATAAAGATAAGCAAAAATCAATACCTGTATCAATATCGACTTCTTCGATATAAATAACGTTGAAATCAGAAAAGAGGTCTACAGCAGGAGTGATGCACTCTTCTGGATAAGCCGCGCCAACTAAAAGGCTGTCCAGATACTGAGGGAAGGAAGATGCGCGACAAGCCCATTCATTCTCAGCAGAGAACTTAATAAGCTCCGATGTAGTATCATAGGAAATTAGAATATTCTATACTTTGTTAGAAACAATGCTCAATCCAAAAGAGCACAAACAACCAAACTTACGGATGAAACAAGAACGCAGAATATGGAAAGGAGAATTGGCTTTAAGAACTTCATTAGAGAAAACTATGTACCCAAGATCACCGGCAAGTACGAAATAGGTAGCGGTTTGTGTATTCATCCTGAAAGTCCAAAAACCGGGACTATTTCTTGGTTCTACGTTTTGAAATTATGAATTTCTGGCTGTTCTTCGGTGATATAAAGTGGAGCACTGAAAGGATCTCGCACTAGACTGCAGAATATTCAAAACGAAGAGGAAAAGGTGAAGATCAGCTTTGTTTTTAAAAGTATTTAACAAACAAGCCACTTCGACTCTGGCGCTGGACTAGAATTTGTAAATATCGGACGGTCAACCAACAAATCGTAGAAGCGCTCATCGATATTCCAGGTTGTTTCCCAGTGCAATGAAGAGAACTAATCGCATACGAACCAAAGGATATGAATTCCATAGACACCAAGTACATCAACAACACCTCGGGAGGCATTGCAGGGTTCAGAATCTCCCCCAGCTGCTTGACAAGATCGTTGTTCACATCGAATTGAAGTAGTTCTTCCTCTGCAACTTCACGGTCCGCATTCGCTGCTTCTGCATTTTCTTCTTCCCCGCTGTGCTCCGATTCTTCGCTCATTTCATTCTCGTCGTGGACAGAATATTCATCACTAAAGTCTCCCGTAATAGGAAGGTCGCTGCTGCTCGACTCGCTGACCGATGGCTCTTCGATGGTCTCTTCAATCACAGATTCAAATCCGTAGTATCCGGAGGGTTCGCCCGGTCCCTTGTGCGCAAATGAGAGTTTGGCCAACGTCACTACAATGAATATAGCAACAAAAACGCTTACTCATACTGTCCCAGTCGTCTCCGCAGTAGATAGCATAATCGATCGTGCTCCACTTCCCATTCTGCTTCCTAAGCCATAAACCGAATCCTATCAAACAATACAGGATATCGAGATGGCGCAGAAAACTCATGCTGATATTTACATTTAAATTGTTTGGAGAAACTAAAACGAAACTCGCCTCCACAGAATAGAAGTCTGTGAGACTGATGCTGGAAAGCTTTGAAACGCGAACGGACTGTGCGAGTTTATTCATGATCTCTAGAGCATTTCTATTATCGGGTGCAAATAAATTATAGTTAAAGATACGCGAGTTCGAAACTAGCTTTTTCCTAGACATAAAGTGCCCATATTACTCTTACTGGATATTTCTCTTTTGAATAAGCAGATTTGCGGTAGAAATAAGATCTTTAAGGATAATGCGCTCGTCGACCTTCTTATCGAACTGCGAAAGTATATCTTCGATTGCAGTTTCCAAGTGCTTTCTTTCAGACTCCTCGAAAAATGTGCTCATTGATTTCTTTGAAGTGAATATTCAAAACGGAAAAAAGGATTTTCGATTTGGCTCATAAAAAAAAGAATCCTATGCAGCAATTACGATTGAAAATTAACAAAAATATCATCATCTCAAACAAAGATGTTTTCTGGAAAAAGCTAATCCAAATGAAGAAAGATGGAAAGCAATTTCTTCAGGTGCAGAAATGAGTGCCTCTTCACGATTAGGTGATATCTGATTTTGATTATACCTTGTCCACTTTCTACAAGGAAGGTACTCAGCGAAATCCTTCTTGTCATGGGATTCTCGAGCAGTGCCAACTATTTTCGGAAGATTACCACAAAGCAACGCGCGCTCTTCAGCAGGAGTATTATCCTATCGAAATTGATCCAACGTATCTTATTCTTTAAGGTCAGAAACGTAGTATTGACCCCACAGTCAAGGCAGAGAAGATGCAAGAATGGTGGTCCAAAGCCCATGAGTTGTTAATCGGTTTGGGCTTGAAGCGCTCGGATATCGTCAACGCAGTAGCCCAAAGCGACATTCGGATCCGCGACGATTCGGTCGAGCTAATCAACTACTGTCGCGAGAATCAAATTCCCTTTTTGCTCTTCTCTGCGGGTCTTGGCGACGTTCTCGCAGTAGTGTCAATGCGTGGTTCTCATTAGGAAGTGATGCGTCAGAAGTGCCACGTCCCCGTGGGTCGCGAGTATTCGGTGGAAATCGTGTCAAACAAAATGGTGTTCGATGAGAACGACAAACTGGTCGGTTTCGAGGGCGAAACGATCAACTCCACGAACAAAAACATGTATCGACGGTCGTACGCGAATCGGCAGAGAAGCCGGGATAATATCATTCTGATCGGAGATAACATCGGAGACATTCACATGTCTGATGGCGTGATGTATCAGAATCAGATCTCGGTGGGGTTGCTGAATGATAAGTGGGAGTGGAGGGTTTGTTTCATGTAGAGTGGAGGAACGAATGGAGACCTACAAGCAGACATTTGACTTGGTGATTTGCAATGACTCGGATTTGGGCTTTGTATTGGAGCTCGTGAAATACATTGTCGAGGAAGATAATTTTCCATCACTGAAGGAAGAGGAGGATCAAGCGGAGGAGGATTATATAGTGGTGCCGCCTAGTCTTGGATGATCTGTTTGTTTCATAGCAATTGTGAAAGAGGGTGGGAAATAGAGCCAATTCGCACAAGAGTTCCGATAATTCTTTCTCCATCACCAACTACCTAGAATTATTATTATTGTTGTTGTTGAGCAGCGAAGCAGGTCCCCTTGGTAGTAATCATGAATAGGGAAAACCCCGCAAACCTATCCATTCCCAAGAAATTGATAAAGAATAAACAACAGTTATTTGCTTCGGAATGAAGCACGAAGGTGATTGTTGCAAAATTCAAGTTACGTGCTTTCGATGCAGAATACAGCACGAATTCTGGTTGTCCGACAAAGATACATCACCGTTCCCAAACATACAAAACAAACGAATTTGGCTCGATCCATCAACTTGGAACTTATGCAATACATTCAAAACACGCTTCTGAGCAATTCCATTAGAGAGAGCAAAATAAGCAGTTTTTTCGCCATTAATCTGATTCTCACAAGAAAAAGCAATGGAGACGGAATTTTTCTCACGTAACGAGCGTTTGTTACTGTTACTGATCCATAGAAGTGGGACAGAAAACTGAAGCGGGAGATTCAAGGAAATCGCCGAGCCCTTCGAGATCTCACAGTGCTTCTAGATCCCCATCTGTCGAAAACGAACGTCCAACGAGTCCAAAGGACTCCAGATCACCTTCAAAACCCAAGTCGCCTGTTCGCTCTCGCTCGCGTTCTCGCTCGGTGCCGGAGCGTGCTCCGCGGTCTCGGTCTCGTGAGCCCACTCCAGTGCGCAGTCGCTCTCCTGTTCGTCGAGGTGGAGCAGAACGTTATGGAACAAACCCGTACTGCATTATTTCGATTGTCCAAGCCTAGGAATCACTGCTCGTTGATTGTGCGAGGTTTCCGCGACGTCGTCGAGTAGGCATGTTGTTTTTGTGAGACCGCAGTCGTTCTGAGATTCAAAACATTTTCTCCAAGTACGGCAACGTCCACGACGTGCACATTCCGCGTGATTACTATACGCAGTAGCATTCCTCTCGACATGTCCCATCTAGTAAACAAAGAGGCTTCGCCTTCATCGAATTCGAGAACCGTGAGCAGGCAGAGGACGCCATCAGCCATCTGGACGGCCGGAGCGTGTGCGGCAGCACCGTTTCTGTCTCCATCGCGAAGAACAATCGCAAAACCTCCGCCGAGATGCGTCGCCTCTACCCCTCGCGTCGCAGCCGATCGCGCAGCTATCGCCGATCGCGCTCACGAAGCTATCGCCGGTCACGGTCGCGGTCGCGATCGCGACGCAGTCGGTCGTATCCCCGACGGAGCCGGTCGCCGTCGTATGATCGCCGTCGATCGTACCCGCGACGCAGCAGCTCGCGAGGCCGGTATGAACGCCGCCCGTACAGTCGTTATGATTGATGTGTTTGTTTTCAAACCCGCGCAATGGAAAAAGGGGGTTCGAATGGAGTTGGTTGTGTAGGAAGCGTCCTTGATGTGCAAATGGAACTTGAAGGGATTGGAAGGATTTTCGTGCAGACTGATTGCGAAGACAGTTTATGGTCAGGATGGTAGTTTTGTGAGTGTGTCAACCACGTTCAACAATCAAGAAATCGTTCGAACTGATTCCCTTATCCTCATAATACACGCAATACAGTAACAACATCGGATCCACTTATTCATCGGCTCCTTTTTGTTTGTTTTCTGGCTTGTTTGTTTCTCAAACACACTCAATGCACAATGCCTTCAGCGTAGGAGAAGTTAGCGAACGCGCTCTGGTCGGTGAGCACCGCGTTCACCGGCGTAGGCGTCACAGCCGGCATCACGCTGGTAAACTCGGGATCAATCTGCTCGGTGGACATCTCGTCCTTCACGGTGGGCCGATACGGCGGCGTGATCTCCTTCCGGTAGAGCTTCTCCCAGTCGATCTCCTTGAACCAGGGATGGTTCTTGATCTCATCCGAGGAATTGTATCCCAGCCGCTTCGACGGCTCCTTCTGCAGCAGCCCCGTGATCAGATCGTACGCCTACGCGTCGCTCCGCGCTCCCACGCCCACCTCCGGCGACATAAACTGGCTCTTGGGCACGGACGCGGTGAGAATTCGATGGTACATCATCTTGCGATTGGAGTCGTAGAACGGCGGCAGCCCGTTGATCATCTCGTAGATCAGGATGCCCAGCGACCACCAGTCCACGCTCTTTCCGTACGGCACTTTGCGCAGGATTTCGGGAGCCAAATACTCGGGAGTGCCGCAGAGCGACTGCGCAGTGTCGCCCTCCACGTCCTTCTTGGACAGGCCGAAATCCGTGATGCGGATGTGGCCTTCGGGGTCCAGAAGCAGGTTTTCGGGCTTGAGGTCGCGATATACTATGTTGTTCTCATGCAGATGGGAGATGCCCAGAACGATCTCGGCAGCGTAGAATTTGGCTCGGCCCTAGAAATAAATAAAGGCAGGGAGAGAAACCTCACTGAAACGTCCAGAGGACAGGTAATGGAACAACTCGCCCCCGTTGAAGAAATCCATTACTAAATACAATTTGGTCTGCGACTGGAATGCGTAGCGAAGACTAAGCGTTACATGAACAGGAAACACACAACCAGACAAGGAAAGGGTGCGAAATATCTTCCATAATTCGCCGTTCAGCAAGTGTGTGCTCATATTGTTTCAGTCTAACACTAAATACACACTACCGAACCTACTCCAAAACTTTAGACTTATTCAAAATTTTCATAGCGTAGACTTTTCCAGTCTCTTTCATGCGAACCTATTAATAACCTAATCACCTCTACATCAAACCTGCAAAACCTTTCCAAAGGATCCTTGACCAATGGTCTTCAACAAATCAAAATCATTAATTGTCAGCTTTTTGTTTTCTTGCATAGGCTGACGAGGCATGATATCCTCCTTCCTCTCCTCCTTCTGCTCTTCTACAACAGGTAGCTTCACTTAACGAAAACCAATTCAATCTACCTGCTTAGATGATGAACAGCCCATTGATAATCAAAATAATGATCCCTTAGATTCTATGCTAAAAATGAAGCAATTCCGCGGCTATTCAGGCATTTGGCATTTTTCACACCTATTTTTGGAATTGCTAAAACTGATGAAAAGAAAGCTTACGGTGGGACTCGAACCCACAACCGCTGGATTAGAAGTCCAACGCGCTATCCAATTGCGCCACGCAAGCTACTACATACGTCTAAAGCAGATTGTTAATATAGCTAGGACCAAAGTGTGGATTCACGGGAAATGGGTATGTGTGAAAGAGAATTTAAGGTAGTGTGTATTGCTGGACATTTATGGATAAGAGAAGAAAATGAGCATTCTCTGAATTTGGAATGTGATAACAAGGTAGAAAAAACAACAAAAAAGAAAGAAGAAAAGAAGCTTACGGTGGGACTCGAACCCACAACCGCTGGATTAGAAGTCCAACGCGCTATCCAATTGCGCCACGCAAGCTCTGAAATAGTTTCTAGTCATAGATAGAAAAGACTTCGATTCTCCAGATAAAAACACCAAGTCATCTCACACCACATTATTCCAAAACGATCAAGACAAGGATAATTGGCAAAAACAAATAGAAAGCTTACGGTGGGACTCGAACCCACAACCGCTGGATTAGAAGTCCAACGCGCTATCCAATTGCGCCACGCAAGCTTGTTTTGGAGGGACGTTTTATTGCAACAAAAGAGCCACTTCTCTTGCCTTCAATTCCCTATGCTGCATGTTTACTCTATTCAGTAGATCCGCACCTTTGAAGACTCTTTTTGTATTGCTCCACACCCGATGAGCCAAATTTGTCTTGAACAAACACTGTATGATACATTGAAATCCCGTCGTCGCTCGATGTCCGGTCGCTTATTCGAGTGCAACGTGGTAGCCAGCAAAGAAGGATGGTAGGTGAAGAGCTCGTTTCTGATGTTCTTCCATACGCCCTTGTCGTACACCGGATTGGAAACAAACCGGTAATTAGCCCTTCGATACTCCTGAGTGGTCATATTCTTCGCCACCTACGTTCAATCGCACGCTCTCCCCTACCAGCATCACATGCACCCAGCACAACATCGTCATCGGTACCACCGCAACAACATCAATAATGCCCAGTAACACCGCGACCCAGTGTGTCAGCAGCGTTCTCCACACCGTTCTCCCTCCCTCGGTGGCATTCAATCCCTTCTTCGCCTCCTTCGCCACCAACAAGATCATCATCACGATCGACAGCAGCAAAAACAACACCGAACACACCTACGCGCTCAGCTCCTTCTCTCCAACCTCCCACAAGCAGCGCTACAAAATATCGGTGATTCCGCAGACCGATGCAATTACTGACCCAGGGGCAATGATGATCGAATTTCATCACGCAGCTTCGCTTCACCCCTCCCTTCCATCCCTACCAATCGCAAAACCGGCAGTGTTGCGCGCGCGGCGGCAAGTTTAAACAACATTGCCGGCAAATCGCGGAACTCACCTCATGAAACACCCGCTAAACCCGTACCACGTGACCGTCGAACACGATCGACCGCGGAATCCCGCTGTACGGCGGCAGCATGGTGCACTCTCCCCGCGGGGAAGCGTAATCGGGCCCGAGCTCGCAGACGACTTTGTTCTTCATCAAATCGAGGATGTTCTAGGTGGGAATTCCCGCGGGAGGGTACGTCGCTGTTGAGCAGCCCGCTGTCGCCCTCGTCGGACGCGTTGTCCTCGACGTTGGGGTCGGCGAGAGCGATGGACGACTCCAAATCGTGCAGGTGTTTCAGCAGCAGATCCACCACGTCCTCCGCCTACTGAAAAACGATCCATAACCGCGACTCCTTCGAAGGCGGCGTAGTGTAGAGGCGTCAGCGAGTAGACGTCGGGGGAGACTTTCGCGCCGTGGTGGAGGATCCGGTCGCAGGCCACGTAATCCCCGCGGAAAGCGGCGATGTGCAGCGCGGTGCGACCCTCGTTATTAGATTCGCTGACCTACGAGTGAGAGAGAGATAAAGAAGCGAGGAACCAGAGAAGGGGTGTGGTCTAGGAGTTCCTAGAGAGAAGGAGAAACGGGGAAACCTACCTCGAGACGGTTGTAGTTGCCATCTTTGATGCAGATGAAGACTTGGCGGAGCAAACGTTGGGCTGGGGGTGAGAGGAGAGAAAAGGAGTGAAAAAGTACAGGGAGTTTCCGATATCAAACGAATTTGCTCGGGTGTCAGCGGCGCGCCTTTGGGAATGAGGCCTGGCTCTGTCAAATAGGTTGCTGACAAGAAATAGAGAGACCTGAATTCAAATGGGATTTAAATCCAATACCCTAACCAAAAGAGAAGACAAAAAGCCCAGAGAACAGAAGGAATCATGGTACTACATGAAAGAACGTCTTCAGATTATGTACAACACACTCTGCCATTCGAAAACACAAAAGATAATGACAGGGAAAATGTACTACAACGTAATCACGGCAAAATCAGCTGCTACGAGGCAGTATGAAATGTGGACGATGTCTCCATCGGCGTGGTCTGTCAAACACATCCCGTTACACGTTGGACGGAAAAAGCCGATGGGGGAGAAGAACTTTCTCTTCTTTCTGATCATGAGAATAGGATACTGAAAGGGTGTAGGTGGATCGCACTACACAAGACAGCTCAAATGACTTTCTATCATTCTTATTCATAACCGCGGAAAAGAAGTGTGACAAAAAACAAAAGATTGAAAAGAGCGTAACTACTTTCTCTTCCGGTCATAATCACCACGAATCTTCCTAGAACGCTTCTTTGTAAAATGAATTCGCGTATGCGACTTCTCCCGCGAAATGTCAAACTCCTTCTTCTCCGAGGATTCTGGCTGCGTCTTCTCCTTTCTCGCCTTCTCCTTCTTCCCCTTCGCCGCTTCTTTCTGCCGCAGCACGTTATGATTCGAAATTGCAAACTCCACAATTAATCGCGAGTTCGAGGTCTCGTTCTTCTTCACTTTCAGCTTCATCTGCATCAGGTGCTCAATATCCTTCGATTAAGCACATTTCTCGCCCCTACCAGTTTCGCTAATTTATGGGGATCATCTTCGATTTCTTCTCCGCATTTCTCGTACAGCTCCACCAGCGACTCTACATTCACCGCTGCCCAGCTGAACGCGGGGTTATTATTCAGGAACCGCAGACACGCCAACGCATGCGCATGTTCTTCGAATTCCACGAAACCGAATCCCTTCGACGCCTTCTTCGATCCCCGCGATTCGTCCGACGCCACCTACCTCAAAAACCCGATCCATCCCCACCACCGCCTGCACCACGTGGATCTTCTTCGGAATGGCGTTCCCCGCGGGACGGAGCGACAGTTTCATTTCGTCCACGCTGACCAAATCGAGCGCCAGCGCACGGCGCACCGCGTAAATGCAGATCTGCCGCAGGTAATTCCCCGTTACGAACGTCCCTGCCCGTCACGCCATAACCGCGGGGATACCCAGATTCTTCACCAAAAGCCGTTTCGGGTTCACGAAGAACAGCGGGTTCTCCAGTTTCTCCAGTTTCTCCTTTTCGGCGCGCTCGCGTTTCTCCCAATCTGCCGGTCATCTCCGCTCCCTGAAATTACCGCGGTTATTCATGTCTCCGCGGCGGTCTTCCGCGATTTTTCCCTCGTTCAGCAGGTACAAATTCCGGTTGTCCTTCCGCGCCAATTCCCGCGATTCCAGCGTCCTGCGTGTCAGGGTTTCCCCGTTTCTACTGTTTGAGCTGCTTCGGCGCGACGGCCAGAGAAATCTGCAGCGGTCTGCCCAGCAGCGTGAGCAATTCCGAGTCGGCCGGGGCTTCCCCCGCGGGGCGGGAGTAGGGGTCGAAGCGGCGGAGGAGGGAGGCGGCCACCGCGGGGGACTCGAACTTGACGAAGCCGGTGCCGCGGGGCAGGCCGGTGAGCTTGTCGACGCAGAGCTTGGCGTAGACGAGGGCGCCGAAGCGCTGGAAGAAGGCGAAGAGCGCGTGCTGCGAGGCCTCGAGAGGGATGTTCTCTACGGGGAGAGGAAGAAAACGGAGGTACGGACGAAGAGCGTGCGGCCCTCGTCCGCGTCGCCAAGCACGCGAGCCGTGTACTGCTTGGAGGAAGCCGGCGAGTCTTTCGAAGCCTTCGAGTCTTTCGAGTCTTTCGAAGCCTTCGACTTCGCTGAGTCTTCGGAGTCTTCCGAATCTTCGGAGTCCTCAGAGTCCGAGTCCTTGGAAGCCTTGGAAGATTTCGAAGCTTTGGATTCCTTGGAAGCCTTCGATTCCTTGGATTCCTTGGATTCCTTGGGCTTCTCTTTTTCTTCTTCCATTTTCTCTTCCTCCTTCTCTTTCTCTTTCTCTTCTTCCTCTTCTTCCTCCTCCTTCTGCTTGTTCGCTTCCTGCTGTCGCTTGTACACCGCCTTGCTCACCGACTGATCGCACACCAGCACGCGGTTCTACTCGCCACGCCCTCGCCTCGCCTACTCCCAGCTGCATTCCGTTCATCGCCCCCACCATCGTCTCCACATCGCTGTTGCAGAACAGCTGCACGAAGCAGTAGCCCTGCGTGTCTCCGTTCTCGCGGCGAGGCACCGTGAGGCTGTGGATCGGCGCGCGCCCGCTGAACAGATTGTACAGTCGCGTGTCGCCGATCTACGATGCACACGCCGCGCAGAGCCCACTTTGAACGGGATGTTCCGCACGATCATCCGGCATTTCTCGAAGTTCACGCGATTCGCGGGGATGGTCGACAAGCGCCGAGCGAAAAAGCCGGGAAGGGCGTCGATTTCGCGGACCATCTTGATGAATGAGCGGATGACGATGAGTACTTCCTTGATCGATGGCATGTTCGCCTCTGCTACGATCACGTGGGCTACGGGGTGGTTCTCGACGGTCTCGTAGCCGTAGGAAAGATTGTCGGTTGTAAAGGGAGCGGGGCAAGGCCACTCTAAACGATTCTCGGATTCTGAATCAGATTTCGATTTCGATTTCGATCGGGATTTCGGCTTCGACTTCGATTTTGAATCCAGTTTGTTTTTGTTGATGATCGGATCGAGTTTGTGACGCAGGGTGTCGATGTTCATGTGGCGAGGAATTCCAAAGACGACAATAGTGTGGAGACGCACTTCCTTCTCCTCCCTCTTTGCCTCGGTCAGTGGTCTGGGCTCTGTTGGGAAAGGCTGGATATTCTCATGTCTCTTCGGCTTGGCTATTTCTGCTGTTACAATCTTACCAAAAAACTCTTTCTTGTTCAATTTCTTGGCGGCCTCCTCTGCATCCTCCACCATCACACTACACTTTACAACTACCACTCCTAACTCACAATTGAACGTATCCAAACCCACGAGAAAGTCCCTTCTTGTCCTACAGATCAATTCGAATTCAAACGAATCTCACATTAACGATAATCGCTCGACGAACAGGACCATACTCATCTAGAGCCTTTTCTAATTGCTAAACATTAGCTCTGTAATATATAACAAATACATTGGTGGTAAGATCCTCTGGAAGGTTTTTAATAATGATCGTGTTTTCTCCTTTGCTACTTGAGTTGAAAGCCATCTTAGACTTCGACTAACCAAATAGAGCTATAAAAGAAGAAAATAAAAGAAGAAAATGACTATTCCTTTAGACTTATGTTTGTTTCTCACAAGAAAGTATAGGATTATAGAGAGTGGAAGAAATGAGGGATACTTACCAAGGGAAATGACCTGTAAGTGCAATGGGCAAAATCAATGGTGAAATGGTTTGATTAGTACCTATTTTTTTGGCTATAGTGTATTCAACGTTTAAACATTATGAATGATTATATATTGTGGAACCAAGGTTTTACCATTCTTGTAAATTAACTTTGCACAGAGTACTATGAATAAAGTGGTGTATACCATAAATAATTTGTAGCTATTCGAAGAAATAAACTTATTTAAACACACCAGTGGCAAAGTCAATAGTTTGATATCTTATTTTGGTCATTTATAGCTCTACATATCATGGGTACAATCATAGTAGGACATTGACACTGATAATGTTCATTCATTTCATTTGCCTATTCTGGATGTAAATTGCATATGAATTGGTGATTAATTGTCAAAATGATGATGAATTAATAATGAGAATACAAAACAAGTAAAAGAGAGTATTACTCACTTTATCGCTGTTCTTTTTTATATATTCCGTGAACTAGATTCAGTAAGCTTCGATTACATACACAATCCATATCCAAATCTCGACAATAGGCAATCCTTCTACTACACAATCTATTATTTTCTATATACTGGAATATGATTGCACATTAGTATCTATCTTGTGATTCGGTTCCTAAACTTCACATTAACAAAAAGAAACTGTCATATCTTCATTAATTAATCTTTGTTTGAAAGAATAACTCAAAATTTCTTTCATTTTCTTTGACTACTAACTATCATTTGTTGACTGAATTATCATGGCTACGATTACTATGTATCCGGACCCGCCAATTCTGACCATTGATAAACCCCCAAGCAAAAAGAAAACCAAGCACGAGCAGCTAAACTGTTGGGAACTCTGTATTACAGAACAGTTTCCTGTTGTTAGTTACAAGGAAAAACTGAATGAAACAGTCATCTGTGACATTGGTTCTCCTCATGCTGGCTACATATTGGAAACAACTATGCACAAAAACAAGTTCAACGGAGAAGCTATTCTTCGAGATCCTAAAGAAATGAAAATAGCCAAGTTCCACTTCACTAATGGGATTGCTATGGGAAAATGTACCATGTATTATCCATCTGGAGAAGTCTTCTTTCGTGGGAGGTTGAAGGATGGATACAGAGATGGATACGGGGTGGAATATAATCGCAAGGGAGACAAAGTGTACACCGGCTTTTACAAGCAGGGAGTCCGAAATGACCATATATTGCAAGTGGAAAACATGACGAATTGTTGGGTAGAGACCAACAGCAAGGATGAAGTTATTGCGATTTATCACAAGAATGATAAAGGAGAAGATCATGGATTGTGCGCTTTTTACGAAAACGAAAATCTGTACAAGATTTCCAGATATGAAAATGGCAAGGAACTCTATCCAGTATATCTGATCAACAATAATGCAAATACTATGGAATACTATTACGAAGGAGTACTGAAATACAAGGGTAATTTCAAAAGAGTATCACCATGGTGTTTTTGGAGACAAGGTCTTGGTGAGGAATATGCTTCTGATGGTACCACAGTTAAATACCATGGTACCTTCTATAAAGATCGATATCAAGGAATTGGTTCTTATTATTACAAAAGCGGGAGAGAATCCTGCTTTCATCAGTGGCATAAAGGACGACCGTGGTGTTTGTTATGGGCTTTGTGGTCTATAAGCTTTGTCTCAGGATTTATTTCTTATTATATAGGAGATAGTACACATGATTATGATGTTAGGTCCATTTGTGCACTAACATTCTTCTCCTCAATATTCGTATGCTGTATTTCGTCGTGCCTTATTGGTTGTTGATAACTATTGAATGCTAGCGTGACTCCATTGCCTTAGCAGAAAAACGATGCATGTTCTATAAGTTGATATCGCTTTGTTTTTTGTTTTCTATACATACATGTAAGATGATTAAATAAACTTTGATTCAAATAATGGAATTCACACCCTTGATTCCAGTAAGCATGCCTATCCCTTTATTGATTCGCTTCACATTTTAATCAAAGCCATTTATCATTGATTCATTATTCTTCAAGGATATTCATTTTCATGTAAAACAAACAGTACACAAGCCAAATACGATCATATCTCCATTCTCAAGTCCGGCCAAAAGAATCTGTTCTCTTTCAGAGAAGCAAACTGTCGAATACGGAGCAGGCGGCTTGCAATCAATCCGGCCAACCTCCTTCAAATCCTTCAAATCTCGCATCACAAATCCATCTTGGTGGCAATAAATAACGCGCAGCTGGTTGTGATACAACAAAAACGAACCCAGCACGCCCACTTCCGGCACCACCAGCGAGCACATCACGCTTCCATTCCGTTTCAAGACCACAAACATCTGCTTCGCCTCATGCTTCTGCTTAAACCGCAGCAGCACGACCACGAGTCCGTTCAGCGCGCACTGAATTCCCTCAGGGCGCAGATGCTTCACCTTCTCTTTGCAGAGCGAAGCCACGATCGGCTGCAGCGAAATCGCGCGAAGCACTTCGCCTGTCGCGTAGCTGTGCAGCGTCACGCAGCACGTGCTGTCCAGCGCCGCTACGACTTGGAGCGACGCGTCGATCGCCACACACGCGACTTCCCCGCGGTGTCCCGACAGCATCTGGACCAATTCCATCTTCGCGTCGAGCGACGAACTGAACGAAAAGCGCAGCATCGCCGAGCGAACGCGGCTCTGCCAGACAGAAACGAGTCCGTCGCGTCCGCCCATCGCGAAGACGTTTTCATCGCGGGAAATGCACGAAATGGAATCAAAATGGGAAGACAGAGATTCGGTTTTCGTCGACGCCAGGCCGTTCAGCCACGCGACGTGCGCCAAAGCGTCCAGATCGCCGAAGGAAATCACCGCGTTCACTTCTTCGTTCTCCGAAGGCACCAGACTGAAGCGTGTCGCCGTGGTGACGCCCGCAATACTCCGCTTTGTGTGCTTCTCGCTGGGGAGAATGGTGACCGGGAAGTTTGTGGGATCCCTCTCCGCGGAATTCAGCTGGTGCAGACTGTATCGGCCGAGCGAATCAACGCAGAGGATCGATTTGGGCAGCACCAGAATGGACTGGAGCGCGGCTTTGTGGCGCAGTCGATACAAATGCTGCGGAATAAACTCGGCGACGGCCTGCGGAGAGCGCGCAGGATGCGGAGAAGTGAACAATTGGGAAGGCGTCTGTCCGTACTGCGCGACCTGCACCAGCATGTTGGCTCGCAAGGACTCGTCCGCGACCGATTGAATGTCCAAATCGTCCACATAGGTGATGTTGAAGAACAGATTGTGGTGGGAAACGGCTTCGTCGCCGCGCTGATTGACGCCCCAAATCAGATCGATCCATTCGTGGAGATGCAGACTCACGTAATCGCTTTCCAGCGCTTCGCGTTGGATCGCGATGAATTTCTCCGGATTGTCGTCGGCCCACGGCGGCAAAATCACGTCGCACGGCGCGGAAGGCTACTCAAAACACACGCAAAATCGCTACCTCCGCGTCATTGAGCGGGAAATGCGAAGCATTGCGGAAGAAGTCGGGGAGACAGAACCATTCGGGCGTCAATTCCTTCACGTCGCCCTGGGAATTCAGCGAACTCATCCAGGCGCCCTGCACCGAATTGAAGATTCGGTTGTACTCGTCGAAACAACCGTTCTGCAGATCGATGTGGAACAGCGTGTAGGGCTCGAGCCGCACGAGATAATGCAGCACGTAGCCCGGAGTTGAGTAGTGCGTTCCGTAGAGAAACGGCGGAACGGATGTTTCGCCCATCGCCTGCAGCGATTCGAAGCGTTCTAAAAAGCCGTTCAGTCGGTCCGGATTCAACGCGCCCACCGGCTTGGAGAGATCGCGATACACTGCAGGATCGTTGAGATCGATGGTTTTGGAGGTGTAGTCGGCGAGGATCCACGGGAAAACGGGGTACTGCGCGAGAGAATGGTAGGAACGGCCGCTAATGAAGTTGAGCTGCATGAGATATTCGAAGGTGGAGAGCTGCCGATCGAGCCATTGCTGCGTGATGGGCAGCTGATGCACGAAGACCGACGGCGTGGCGATGCGCCGGAACGATGGCGATCTAGAGAGAGATCGGGATAGAGGGTTCTACTTCTGGAGAGCGGGCGGAATACAGTTCCGGATTGTTTCGAAGAAGGACTTTCGGTCTTCTTTGGAGGCGAAATCCAAATAGACGGAGCGGCCGCCGCGGAAGAAAAGCTCCAAGGCTTTCTGTCCGAGGAGATGATTGCGCGGCAAGATCGACTGCAGATCGGAAACGCAGAACTCGTAAGGATGCAAATACTTATTCTGAATCTCGATCACATGCGGAGGCAGTTTTGCCGGCAGTTTTCCCGCCATGGGACGTAGCGAATCAGGACGGAAGACAAGCTTCGGCCCGATCAGTTGCAGCTCGCCGATGAGTTCGTACGTGTAAACGATCATCACCGCGTGCATTGTGAGCTGAACGAGATCCTCGTTTCCCTCTTTCTCCTCCATGGTTCCCTCCGTTTTCTCCACGGTAGCCTCCAAAATATATTCCTGCAAGGCGTCAAAAGAAGCGAACGAAAGATCGTCCAGCAACGGATCCGCCGATTCGAATCGAATTCCATTGACTTGGAAGCGATACGTCCGAACATCGCTGCCTCGCCGGTTTTTAAACAGCCCCTTAATGAGCGAATTGGTGCGTCGCCGCTTCTCTTCGGCCTGCTGCGACACGTTCGCGAACTGCTTCAAAAGCATTTCGACTTTGGTTCGAAGCAGCGACACTTCCGCTTCCGAGAGAACCGTTTTGCTTTGATGCAGCTGATCGTACAGCGACTGCATCGCCTTCATATCCATCTGCTTGTGCGTGGAATGCTGTCCGCCGCGCTTGCGCGCGTTCTGACGACTGGATCCGTCGTAAAGCGGAACCATCAGCGAATGGCCGCCTTCGCGATCGATCTGCTCGGAGCATTCGAAGAACGCGACGCGATTTTCTATGAATCGATTCGATTAGCGATTGACACTTTCGCGGAACCAAGCGCTGCTTTCGTTGCATCGAATTCGGAGAATGAGCTGGTCCAATCGGCTCAGATTGAGGCGATGTTCGCGTTCCTGCTGCGCTTTGAGGATTTTATCGGAATGCAGAGAGCGACTGCTTGTCTCTCGGAACAACGCGCGATTGTCTTTGCCGCCTTCAAAGCGAAGGAAGCGATCCTGCAACGCGGATTCCTTCGCTTCGGATTGCTGGCGGAAGGATTCAGCGGATCGTTTGGACCACGATTTGTTCAGTTCGACAAACACGAGCTGCATCTGATCGACTTTCTGGTTCGATTCCTCGACAAATTTCGATTTGCAAAACGCTTCCAGAGACTCGGAGGTTTCATTCGGAATCAACGCAAACACCGACTTCGCCAAATCCGAAACTCGCAAAAAGCGCGGCAAGAACGAAGCAAGGATGGTGTGATAGGACTCCTTGGCCAAAAAGCGTTGATAGCTGAACACGATCGCTTTGATCGACTCCGAAATCTTCAGCGAATCCTTCGCCACGCCCAGCAAATTCGCTCCAAGCCACAATCCATAGAAAAAACAACCCGTGGGGATCTCCAATTGCGTCGCCTGCACGTCCGCCTGCGTCAGTCTACCATTCAAAACCCTTCTGAACATCGACAGCTTCGCATAGGCGTCTAACGACACTTCATCGACCGCTTCTTCCGCGTGAGTTGTGGTGTCTGTAGCGAACCGAGCGATCAATTCGAGCATGTTCATGAACTGAGTTTGATTGGCTGCCGTGATCGAGGCTTTCCAGTTGAGAAGAACGAAGATCTTCACGTAGCTCGCGAGGTTCTGGGACTTCAGCTTGGAGAGATCTCGCATCTGGAGCAGCTCTTCGAGCGAAAGCTTGTAGAGAATCGCGAGAATTTGATCGGTGCTGAAAGGAAGAGAAACCGAGGAAATGCATTCCACCAATCGCTAGGAATCAGCTTCCAATCCAAGAAAGAGAAAACGGGCATCGAACTGATAGAAAACCGGACGAACACTATCATGATGTATTCCAACAGCATCGATCGGATGTTGTTTATAACAACATTATAACGACCTCGGCATTGCTCATACACAGCGTCGATGGCTTCCTCGCGGAGCGACCGCGGGTAGGAATCGGTCTTGTAGATGTGGATTAGTGCGCTGAACGCTTCCTCGCAATCCATCTCGTAGAGCTGCTTCACCACCTCTTTCGGCGAGGATTTCGAATTCAGCGAGGAAACGATCGATCGAATCGCGGGGAGAAGCGAAGGTTTCGAAGGTGGTTTGGATGCTTCGGAATCCGCAGAGGGAACCAGGCGAAGCAAATCGAGGAAGAAGGAATCGTACTTGATGGCTCTGCGAGTTAGAGCGATTCTTGAGGATCTACTTCATGTTTTCTTTCTTCTTCGCATTGCTGACCGCGTCGAGAATCGCTTGCAGAGCCAATTCGCGGGAAAAAATGCTCGTCGATCTCGCTAACAGACGAATCGCCAATTGCAGAAACAGAGGCCGGCGAATCTCGACGACTTCTTTCGATTTGGAGGATCGAGGGATCTCCGTTGCCAACTGCAAAATCGCTTCGAACTCCTCCGAAGAAAGCTCGAACGCGCACAGTTGTCGATAGGCCATGATAATCAAGCCGATGTCCGATTCCGTGATCACACACGACGCATCGCGATGAAATACGCTCCAACAGAACTCATACAGCGCGATTCGGACCGAAGATTCGTTGTGATGCAGCACGGAATGAACGATCAAATGCACCAGCGAGGCGGGCTGGATCGTCTGCAGCACGCCCTGGCTGAACGCCGTCGCCAGCACGTTCACCAACCGCTCTACGAACAAGCTGCTGACGTCTTCCTGCTGCAAATCAAGCAGCAAGCTCTCCAGTTGCTTCGGGTCTTTCTCGAGAATCTGGAGAATTCCCTTGTTGACGAGCGTGGAAAGCACGAGCTCGTCGCATCGCGAATCGTTCAGCAGCACGCGGAAGAACGACCAGCCCTCTCCGGGCTTCAGCGTCTTCAGCAAACTATCCACGACGTACTGGCGGAACGCCGCGTCGCCCTTTCGCCACACGCTCCAATGGAACAAAAGCGAGTGAGCCAGCTCGTCAGCGGTGCTGGCGAGCACGTGCGTGCAGAAATCTTTGATGGCGATGAATAAATCGTGCGTGATGCACGCGTCTTCGAACACTTCCAGCAGCGAAACGAGGATCGACACGCCGTTGATGCCCTGAAATTGATGCAGATTGCGAGAGGAATTCGCCAGAACGGCCGTGACGATCCGAACCACGTGCGACACGCACTCTGCTGGAATGCTGTGCGCCAATTGCAGCTCCGGAGCCAGTGATTTCTGGGGATGAGGCAAGACGAGAAAAGAAAACGATGGGGACCAAAAGTGGAAAAAACATCACAACGCCGCCCAGCGAAACGAGCGAATCGTTCACGTTTTTGGAGTGGATCAGAAGCCCTTCTTGGATCGTCGCGTTGAGATTGTGGCTCGAAACGTCCATCAGCGTGTTCTGATCGATCCGGTTGCACGCGTACGAAAACACAGCGTTCTCCGCCGTGCATTCCTCTTCCGAACTGCAATCATACAGCGCCACATCGCCCACAAACCCCTACACCTCGCTCTCCTCCCCCAATCCCACATGAAATCCCTCGCTGCACACCGAAACGCCCGCGTGCGTCAGCACGTCGCTCGCCGGCATCACCATCTTCGACGCACAAATCTCCTCTCCGTTGCGAAGCACCGTCAGCTGGCCTCGCTTCAGCGTCCGCGCGTGCGTGAGGCGGAGTTGGCACCATTTCCCTTCCTGCACGCCGTTCATCACCTGCATTCGACCGATGTTTTCCGCTCGCCTACGTCCACCAGATCCTCTTTTCCTTTCGACACCACGCGGATCCGCAGCGTCGTGCCGATCGCGATCAGCTCGAGCAGGCTTCCGTCGGTTGGCGTGTAGTTCTTCGATTGCACGCGGAAGATCACGGCCTGGCCGCTTCCCGCGGAAACGGAGCAGAGCGAAACCACGCAGTACGACATGGAGAGAACGTATTTGGTCGAGGGGAAGGAGGGGAGAGGAGGAATCGCAATGGGGTCGGTTTTCTGCTGAATGAAAAGCGAATCGAGCGGATGGGGAGGATTGGAAACGAGTTGGCGAATGCTCTGGAGGTGAGGGGGAAGGACAAGTGAGACGTCGAAAAAGATATTGAGATACTCGCTCTTCTTGATTACAAAACGACAGGAACTGTTAAAAGGAAATAACATCCACTTGGCATCGGTCGATGTGCAATTGAACTCGGCAATTAAACAAAACAACTGCATGATCCTATCATCAAAAGAGCGGCCGATCAACTACTTTCGCAAAAGTGTACCTTGGCTCTCAACATCCTTCGAATCAAGTGATCCTTGGCGAAAAAACAACATTACCAATTGCTTGATAATATCGGCACTAGAATAATACGCTTTCCATTTCACCCTACTCGTGTAACACAATACACGTTTCTACGGAACCTTTGAGATGATCTTCTAGTCCAAGGAGGACATCCGTGATCTCCTTAAATGATAAGGATTTGAAAGAAGCAAAAAGGGTTCTGCTCATCACCATGCTGCCAAATATCTACTCTAACGAAGATACGGTAGCAATACACTTCTTCGATTCAAAAAGGGGGTCTAAATACAAAGCTTGAAGCTTAATGAGTCCTGTATCCTCTCCAAATCTAAATCATACATTGTCCTCATGTATCTACTGGTTCATGCGGATTCAAACTATCTAAAAATACAGATATCTAAGAATACAAATAATGATATCCCGATTTTTGGAATTCCCAAAAAAGTCAACGACTCATTATAATTATGCAATTTGGGAGCTATCTTCCTCCTCCTTATCCATTTCCTGACCGCTGGTGGATGGTAGCCAACACTCCACAGTCAGTTCAGTGGTTGCAGCCAACTATTCCATTCCAGCAAAGCTACCCTTATTCCTACTATCAGATACAACAGCAATCGATACAAAATCAACAAGAAAAGAAGGAAACGACTGAAGACTCAAAAGAGGTTGTAAATGCAACAGAAATCACAGATGAAGGGTCCGAACTTGTACCAACAGATGAAGTAAGATCGATTTATCGAATCTAGATCTAGTTAGTCATATCAGAGGAGTGGATGGATGTAGTAGAGCGAGGATACAGGAAGATGATTGGTATCGCTGAAATGGGTATTTGATTTCTAGCTAAAATGAAAAAGAATAAAAGGAGATAATGCACTTCCTTCTTCGCAACAAACATTCTTTTAGTAATACTGATTTTTGTCATTTCTATCCCGTCTTTGTTGATCCCAACGATTATACGATTGATCCGGAGGATTACCATATCGTGGAGTATAGTCCTTCAAACTAATAATCTTGTCTATACACCGCTCTCCAAAATCAAGATAGTCTACGATTGTGATGTAGCTGCATATAGTACTGAGTGTGACTCTGCGAATTTCGGGTTGTCGAATTGTTTGGGCGAATTGGTGCATACTAGATTAGAACAAGAGTTTTTCGACATACTCAAGTCCGATCGTTCGACGCAGTACAGACATCGATGATGTTATGATCGTAGCATCTACATTTCAACGAAGAATGGCACAATCGACCTATAGCAAATTGAAGAATGGACCCGATTAGCGAAAAATCACGTCTCTGTATATTCGGTGTTGATTGGCGCATCGCCATTACTCTTTGAACAACGATGGGGGATGCACAAGCTGCTCTCCCTACAATAGGTGGAAGCGCTCTTGTAACTGTAGAAAGCATAGGTTGAAAGGTTAAAAAAGTAAAAATGTATGCGTTTTGAGGGAACCGTGGAAAAAAAAGTTGAGAATACAGTTTTGTATGAAACAATCATTCTCGACGAAACAAAAGTGAAAATGAAAAACTCATGAAGGATTTAGCTGCTGACCGAGCTCATTTACAACATTTGACAGATTGTTCAGCATGTCCGATAGAACCGTGCTGCTCGTATCCGTCGACGTATTTACTCTTCTTCCTGCCTCTCCTTCTCTTCCTTCCTCCCCTTCTTCCTCCTCCTCCTCCTCTTCTTCTTCTTCCTTCTCAGTAAACGAAGACGATCTCTTTCGCTCGCTTTGAATGAACGACGAAGGCGAGTTCACCACTTTGATTGGGGTTGCATTGATCGACGGCGTCGATTCCCTCTTGTCCTCCTCCTCCTCCTCCTGCTGCGCTCTTTCTCCTTTTCTTTTCCGTTTGCGGAGCGTCTCCCTCAACCTCGCTACTTCCAGCAGCGACCGCGTCCGCTCGGTGTTCATCATCTGCTCCATCTCCTTCACGCACCTCGTTTTCTCTTCAATTTGACTCTGCAACGATCCTGTTTGCCGCAACAACTCCGTATGCTGAATTTCAAGATCGCGTATTTTCCGATCCAAATCATCCTGCACTTGTCTCAATCTCTGCAGCTCCGTCTTCTGCGTCTCCGTCTACGCCTCACACGCCTCCTTTTCTCTCCACCTCTCCCTGCAGCCTCTCCTTCGCCGCCGCGTCCGCCAGCTGCGTCACCAGCAGCGCATCGTAGCTTTTCCGCTTCTCCTCCAGCGCGCGGTACGTCGCCTGCTCCCTCGCCTCCGCTTCCTGCAGCTGCTTCTGGAAGCTCTCGCTCTGCTGCATCTCGCTCTACCCCTCACTCCCTCCCCTCTCCCCCACGCTCGCGCGCTGCTGCAGCTCCCCCGCGGTTCGCTGCAGCGCCTGCACGCGCTGCTGCAGCTGATTGGTCAGCTGCTTCTCCTTCCGGAGGGACAGCTGCAGCCCCGCCGCGCCGTCGCGCTCGATCTGCAGCAGCGACTGCACACGCGCCAGCTCGCTTTCCACGCTCACTATGGTCGATTCCCCGCGGGAGGCGTACGGGTTCGGGTCTTCTCGGCGCGCGAAGCCTCCTCGAGGAGGCGGCAGGCGTGCTGGGACTCGGCGAGTTGGAGCGTGAGGGCGTGCTCGCGCTCTTTGGCGGATTGCTCGGAGGCGCGGAGGGACTGCAGCTCGCGCTGGCTCGCGCTGTAGACTTGCTGCATCTCGCTGATTTGGGACTGGAAGGAGCGGAGTAGAGAGCGGTCCGAGGCGGAGAGAGTGACTTCCTTGCGGAGCTGCGAGGTGATTTTGTTGAGGGTTTGGATTTGGGAGTCGCGGTCGGAGAGCGTTTGGCGGAGAAGGGCGAGCTGGGTTTGGAGAGTGTGGCGCTCTTCCTGCGGGAAACAAATAGACGTGGAAGGTACTTCGATTTGACCCTTTTCCATGGTGAGAGTATGGATCAGTTCTGCGTATTCTTGAGCCGAGTACTCGCCGCCCGCATCTTGATTGCCTACCCTCCTTTTTAGCGTTTCATTTTCATCACGAAGCTAGTATTTAGGGAAAACAAGTTGAGATACAATCTGATACTTTGAATCAACTTCTCCGAGTTCTTTGAGCAGTTGATTTATTCGATCTTCATTGGCTGCTAAGGTAGCATCTATCGTTACCTCCGAAAACAAGCCCTACCAAAAGTAAGTCGTTCCAACTGTAGTTTCTGCAAGTCGCACAACAAATGCGCTACGAGCGGTAGGGACGATGGATCTACATCCTTCTCGTGAGCGTTGATTTAAACACGTCAATCTTCCTACTTCAGTGTATCCATTCTGCTTCAAGATCAAGAGGGTGGAAGAAAAATCATCCATTACCTAAAATCGCCCCTCCTGAAGTCCGAGTGTGAAACAAACAGGTGATCTTAAAGAAGCGGAGTTTTCGACTTGCTCTCGCAGTACTCAATATTTCGAATGAAGTCCGGAGTCTCTCCATAGAACACATCGGTGAACAGAGCACTATCCTCTGGAGGCGTCTCCTTGAGACAATCATTAACCCATCCCTTGACCTCCTTCTTAATCGAGTTCTGGAACTCCTTCCACTGCTTCTCGTCCATGATTCCATTCTCCATGAGGATGTGTCCGATATAGTTGACACTATCTCGCGTCTGCCGCACGTTCTGAATCTCGTCGCGGGTTCGGTACGTCACACCCGGATCCGACATCGAATGGCCGTGATACCGATACGTCTTCAGCTACCCATCACCTTCTCTCTCTCTCCTCTCCCTACCTCCAAGAAGATCGGTCCATTTCCGGCCACGCAGATCTCGCGAGCGCGTCGGCACGCCTCTCTCACCGCGAACACGTTGTTTCCATCGGCCTGGATACCCGCGATGTGGTGCTTTCCCATCATGTAGTACTCCGTCGACGACGACGACCGCTCCGTGGAGGTGCCCATGCCGTACTGGTTGTTCTCGATCACGAAGATCTGAGGCAGGTGCCACAGCTTCGCCATGTTCGCGGACTCCCACACCTGGCCTTGGTTGCTCGCACCATCGCCGAACATTGTCACGCAGATGTTCGTTTCGCCTTCGGGGACCGATTTGTCGCGGTTATTCAGCATGTGCAGGTACTGCTCCGCGAAGGCAAGCCCAGTGCCCACAGGGGTCTGCGCTCCCACAATTCCAGATCCACCGAAGAAGTTCTTATCGGGCTCGTACATATGCATCGAACCTCCCTTGCCGTGGGCAGAACCCGACGCATGGCCAAGAAGCTCGTTGATCACCGCTTTCACTCCGGCTTCGCCCGCTCCCATGCGGAGGAACTCGACTCCGTGGCAACGATAGCTGGTAATCCAGTCATCATGGGGCTTGATCGCCTCATTAATACCAGTACCACAGGCTTCCTAGCGATTACGGATACAGACTAGAACTCACTTCTCCATCATAGAGATGAAGGAATCCGCGGATTTTACGCATCACGTACAGGGGATCGCTCTCAATCTCCATTCTTCGCATTGTAACCATATTTCTAGCAATCCGAAGACACTCTTCTTCAGTCACCTCGGTAGTCGTGGGAAGAGGATCCGTATCTGCATCAAAACAACGAATCTATAAATACGATGCACCTTGAACTCCGGGAGCTTCACTGTGAAGGTCTTGCTGCTAAATGCACGAATTAATTGACGGGGAAGTGTTTTTCCAACCGCGCTACCCACCATGTTAGCTCAGTCACTCATTCAACTAATCCCTACCAAGTAAGCATTTTACCAAAAAAGGACTAAAAACGATTGTGAATATGATTAGGGAGATTTTTTCGATCAGGGTACTACTTTTATTGATTATCAAAGGTTCCTATGATCACTGCTGAAAACTATATCATTCTAAACTAAGGCATCTCATTACAGTGGAGTGAGATATTCAGCGCTTGTGAAGAGTAGACTGTCTACCCGAAGAGGGGATTACCGAAGTGAGAAGTGAAGTCAGAAGACTCATTTTTGTAAAACACGCACCACTTTAGCTCCCACATTGAAATTTTTATACACACATGAGCAAAGAAGATAGATATCAGGCGATTGTCCAAATGTCGTCGAGACTATTGCAGTTTGAAGAGTTGTACTCGAGGATGGTATATCAGTTGAATAAAGAGCAAAAGGATGAACTGTCAACGAGTCAAGTTGATGGGTATCGCTTATGCGTAGGAGAAGGACAGCGTTGGTCATTCACGGTGAACTCTCTTCTCAGTTCGTGCGTCCTCGAAGAAGAAAAGTAAGTACTTCTTGTTTTGTCTTTTTTCTAGACTTTTGCAGTCTCTCATAAGGGCGATCGACGACGAGATCGTTCAATCTGTATTTCCAGAAAGATGGGCGTGAGTGTGTGTAGATTCAGGTGAAAAGCGTGAAGCGGAAGAAGAAGAAATCAATGCAAAATTCGATATTGTACCTTAATATATTTGCTTTTCCTAACTCTCAGTGATTCTCTTCTGAACGTCGAGTCGATCGCAGTTGGTTCTCCAGTATATTCCTCCTTTATATCTTTTTTAATTTTGTAGGCTGTAGCATACATCAACGGAACCTGGATCATGGTGAAAGTAATGCAAATCGACAATGGAATATATCCAACCCAGTCCTTCGCCAAGCACAATCCTTCACTTCACCTACACCGTGATTGACGGCGAGGAGAACCTCGAGAATCCGCAGGAGTTCTGCGTGGACTATAAGCACATCATCAACTACCCTCTCTCCTATTCCCAGGCGAACTTCACCGCCAACGACTTCGCTCTCGCGCCAGGCACGAAGGTGCTCGCGCTTTGGCCGCAAACCACGGCGTTCTACGAAGCGATCGTGCTTCCGCGCAACAATGTCCCGGTAGATGATTGTCAGGAAGGCGGTGAGTGGCAGGATACGATGATTCTAGTGCAGTTCGAAGGGTACAGTCCGGTTTCCTTGTTGTACCACGACGTGATTCCCTTCAAAGCAGCGTTCTCCCTTGTTTGTTAGAAATTGAATCGAGGGTTGGATGGAATTAGGATGGAAATAAAAAGGAATAAGAATGGAAATAGAATCAAAAAAGGATAAGAATGGAAATAGAATCAAATAATGATAAGAATACAATAGCATAAAGATAAAAAAGAGAATGACATAAAGATATAGAATCACCGAATGAGGTAGGAACAAACACACCACAGTTAATCTTACTTAGAATGATGAACACTATGACTCCGTCTCTTCACGATCGCTTCCACGATCTGCACAAACAGCAACAGCACCGCCGACACGCCGAGCGAGATGATCGCAATCACCAGTGCCTGCGACATGCACTTCCCGTACACCGGGCCCCACTTCCCCTTGAAGTCATCCTCCACCTCGCATCGCTTGAACGCCTTCCCCACCGTATTCGCGGTCGCCTTCTGGCACGCGAAGCTGCACACGCCGCCCACTTTCATGCGCGGACACGTCGTCGTGGCCTCGCACCAGCGATCGTACACCTCGATCTCCATCACGAACGACGCGCTTCCCGCCGCGTTCTGCGCCGTGATCGTGTACGACTGCAGCGCCGAGGTCTCGTTCGCGCGGCCCAGCAGCGTGCCCTTGGAGGAGAGGAACATACCGCTCGGGAGCGCCGGCTGCGCCGAGTAGGACGCCACCAGGCCCGTGATGTTCGATCGCAGCGGGTGCAGTGTGTTCCCCGTGGGGATTCGAAGCGTGGAAACGGGAAACACCAGATGCGAGGGCGGCATGAGCCGGCACTCGGAGCGATCTTCGGGCTCCCATTCGTGGTCGAGACAGTAGCGCGAGGCGAGTCCGGAATAGCCGTAGGGGCAGGGCGAATAGCTGACGGTGTCGTTGGCGGTGGCGAAATAGCCGTCGATCGAGGGACAGAAGTTGTGGCCCTGCGGAGAGCGGTAGACCAGGAAGAACTCCAGAAACTCGAACACCGACACGTTCACGTCGTCCACCACCTCGAACCGGATCGATTGAAACCCGGCCGTCGCGGCGGGCACGAGGAACTTCCGCGGCTCGCGGTCGTAGAGCGACGTGTTGCACTGCCGGTCGATCTCGATCCAGTCCTCCGCGCCGCTGAAACGCCCCTGCAGGCTCCAGGTGAAGTTCTGGATTTTGTTGGCGCCGACGATCCAGTACTCGTTGAAGACGGTGCGCTGGAGATTGGCGAACTCCCACTCCCAGAAGGTTCCCACCTTGAAGGGGGCGCGGTAGGCGGTGGTGATATCCATATCGAAAAGGTTCTCCACTCTTCCAGACATGGCTTGCGTTCCATTCAAGGACGCGTAGCTGGTGGAGAGAACTGAAGCCTCGGTGGTGTCGAGGACCGTGATGCAGTCGAAATCGAGCGGCTGGGACGAGAATTCGGCCACGTGGAGCTCTAACGCGAGCACGTTCTCGCCGTCCTTTGCGTGCATCACGCGCAGAGGGATCGAGAACTGCGTGAAGGCGGAGCCATCGTGGTCGGCGAACGCATAGTCCCACGGACTCGGGTCTTCGTCGAGATTGAACCGATACACGGGATTGCCGTTGAAGTACACGATCACGCCGCCCACGAACCGAATCTGCACTCGCATCAGATCGTACTGGTTCATGTCCTCCAGCACGAACCGACGGCGCAGATAGATCGCGGGGTTCTCGTGCTGCAATCGGGCCAAGCCCCCCGTGAACATCTCCATCCACTGATAGTCGTCGAAGTTAAGGTCCGTCCAGTCCTTCGTCGGGTCGCAGTCCGTGCACACGTGCCACAACGACGTGCGCGGCTGGATCGGCTGGTGGACCTGGAACACGAGCGTCTTGTTCGAGACTGGCTGCGGGAAGGTGCGCGGCAGCGCTCCCGTGGCCACGACGAAATGCTCCTGGTTGGTGGTGAGCGAGTAGCCCGCAGGAACGTTCCATCCGCTCCCCGAAGTCTCCACGAAGAAGAACGTGTAGAACCCGTCGGACAGGCAGAAGCTGTGTCGCTCAACGTGAGGCTCGTGGCGATCGATCTCGTGTCGCTCGATGGGCTCGACGTCGGTGGTCTGGCCCGGGTAGAGCGCCCACCACGTCGCGGTGAGGCCTCGATCGACGTGCAGAATGAGACGATACGCGGCGTGATCGTTGGCGCAGGCCAGCACACTGAGGGAGAACACAGTCCCCACGAAACAGCCGTCGAACCGGCGTGCCGAGACCGTGAAGACCTGCTCCAGCACGATCGCGGGCGTACCGGCGATCTGGCCGGTGAGGGCATTGAGGTGGAGGCCGTCGGGGAGCGAAGGCGTGATGGTGAAGTTGTAATAATCGGGCGAGGGAGGCGACAGGACCTCCAGATCGGTGTCGACGTAGAGCGTTCGGCTCGGGTATTGGAACGGAGGGACTGGGCGGTCCATCTGCTCTCCATACAGAATTACTTCCGATAGAATCATCGTATCGGACGTCTGAAGATTGCTGAAGCGAATCTCGTGCAGAGGCTGCGTTTCGTGAATCCAAAAACGAACACGCTGCCCCTTCTCGGTCCATTCGATGTCCTGGATTACACTCAATTTCTTCCAAGGCGCGTTGTTCTGCGCGCGTCCCGAGACCAGGAAACCGGAAGGACCGGGAATCACATCATGGAAATAGCCAACAAGGTCGATGCGAGAGATCACCTCGCGTCGCGTTGAAGAATCAAAAGACAGCACGATCTCTGCATCTCTGGTGCAGTGATCGCAACGCACCCACGTTTCGTGATCCGCATCGACCAGTGCGTTGTGTGGACCTTGCAGCCCCTTTACCGAGCTTTCCATCGCAAAACCGCGGTACTGCGAGCCGGCTCCAGCAAAGCGAAGCGAAAAATCGAAATGTCCGTCGAACGCGGACGCTGTGGTGTGTAAAAGAACGACCGTCACGAGATTGGTCCCCTTCGTGAACACGGGCTCCCACTTCGTCCCCGTCCACACCGACGAGGGCAACAGAACCGACCGATACGCCAGATCCGCGTAGCTGCCCGTGGCCGTGACGAACTCCGTGATGGGCTGGTTCTCAGGGAGGTGGTCGCGGAAGACCTCGATGCCGTTGATAAGCACGGCGACTCCATATTGGTAGCGGAGATACATCTCGAAGCTCCCCGATGAAAGATCGGGGAAGTAAAAGAGCTTTTTGTACAGCTGGATCTGATTGGACGAACTCGGGAAGGCGTCTGCGTGGCTGACGTTCCAGTGCTCGGTCTCGGTCGAGGTCTGCCAGTTCGCGGGGAGACTGTCCATCCAATAGAACCAGTCTTCACCGCGGGAGATCGAGTAGCCGACGTTCACCAAATACTCGGTGGGAAGGCCCGCTACAGTATCCATATGGCAGCCTAGCAGCAGATCTTTGCTTGCGTCGGCTCTCAAACCGAACACTTCCAGCTTCGAACCAGTGTACCAATTGTCATAAACGGTAGAGCCCAAGGTGATCTTCAGAGATCGAGTAGCGGAGCAAAAACGATAGCTCACTGCTTGTCCACCCTTTTTCGGAGTGCTGCTCGTCACATTTATAAGGACTTGGCCAGAGTCGGCATCCACCACAGAAAACAATTCAAAATACACATTGGAAGATCCGTAGGTACGTAGTATTTCGAACGCGTGAGTGTTGCACTCTTTGACCAAAATCAGAAAAGAACCATGGGCTTCTTTGGGATATTTAGACTGAATTTTGACGGTAATATTGCCCTGAATGGCAGAAGGAGTTCCAGTAATTGAACAAGTCTCACTATTTAAAACCAATCCTTCAGGTATTTCTGAAACTGCACTGCATTCTGAGAAGTTGCCATTGAGTGGATGGATGTCAGCTGTATCAACATTGGATATAAAAGAGTAAGGACCGCCAAAATCGATCCATTCTTGACCACTGACAATACAAACGACTAGAATAATATCAGCTGACTAAGACCTACTAGAAAGAATAAGGAAGATGGCCACACTCATAAAAGTATGAGAATCAACACAAATAAATGGATCCCGCGGGAACTTTGATTAAAGTAGATATCAACCAGAGGGTAGGCATTCAAAAACCAGGTCATGGATATTGCAAAATACTCTCTTAAGCGAATAAAACGAGATCCAGATATCCAGAAAGGTTTATCAGTATATCGGTTATGGCAGAAGGAAAATACTGGGTCGAGAGAACTGTATTGCCATCTCCAAATCGTAGATGGCAAAATATCCCTGTCCTCTGAGGCATCGAGCATCCTTGAAAGTCATATTCCAGTTCTCTCTGTGTACTTCGTATTCCACTGCATTATTGTGTAGGGCAGAGCAAGAATTTACTGTGTCTCCTGAAATTGACTTGGTTACAAATGATGCGCTTATGGAAAATATTGTAAGCAGCATCTTCATAGACGATACTGAAGAAATCGAGCCTGAGGAAGCATCGCCCACTGATTCCTATTCTCTGAACATTGATGATGACAAGATGCTGACAAACGAAGATCTGCGCAACTATCCTATTAAACTCACACAACAACAACTTCTTCTCCTCAATTCCCTTTCAAATAGATTGACACTTCTCTATAACGATGTGGAAAAAGCTGGCGTGCCTCTCCACTTTCTGCAGCCGCACAAGGCAGCGCTTCAGCGTATGATCACCGCAAGTCGCGAGGTTCAATTCAAAATCCAGTCGTTTGCTAGGAAGCATAGGCCTGTGGACAGTGCGTCGATCACTCCAGACAGTTCGGTGTTCGCTGACGCGCAGGCAGTGGAAAAGGAGCAGGAACGACTCAAGGGTCAGCTCGATGCACTCAACGAAAAGCTGAATTTTTTCTCCTCGGAGTACCAGAGAATCACAGAGCTGTATATGCAGGAACGAAATCGAAAGCAGGCAGATACAGTGGAGGGGCTGTAGAGTTCGAATTGGGGGATAACAGGTAGTCTAAGAGAAAGGGAAGAGACGCAGAGAAAGATGGAGATCCTGCAAAAAGAATCGGACGACCTACAATACGCATTGAAGGTTCTCTTGGAAACGGGCACAGTGATCCCTCCAGAGCTCGACGCGCATATAAACGATGTCCTAGCAACTCATATTTCCTTAGATTTGCTTGTTTCTTTGAAATGATAATGATAATTGGTGCGCCAATGAAATGGCGCGAATCAAAGGTAACATGACAATGGCAAAGTGACCACATTCGTAATTATATCATTTTCCAACTTTTTCTGGGGTCTCTTGAATGAATCTGAGAAGTGAAGAAGATTTCGATCCTGACTCAGAACATGAAATGGACCTTTTCTTTTGCAAGCCGGCAATTACGTGTCCACATTGCCTTAGCATGATGAATGAAATAATCGAGCTACGAATGGAGCTGGGGAGGAGAGAAGATTATGAGAGAAAAATAAAAAAGAATTTTACGATAGCGCCTACACTCTACACGTTCTACAAGAACCGATTGGATAAAAGGCAGTTATTTCGGTAGGGGTCGAGATGGGGGGTGATTGTCAGCTCTGCAAGTATGACATCTCAGTCCATTATACAGTCAAATGAGCAGATTGACTACAGTTATCAAGAAGCTATTATCAGTAAGTGCTTTGCTCCTCTTCCTGATCCGTTTTTTTCTACTCCTGGATTTGTGTCACAGTTTTTATGTCAGTGTGACGAGATGTGTATCCATTAACAATCCCCCTTCATGCCTAGGCAATATCTTGTCTTCAGAGTCGCGGCTACTCCGTCTACGATCTCCCGCTTATGTCTTTGGAGATTTTCATGGGAACATGGCCGATCTCCTCACCTTCGCTCGAACGATGTGGCCTCTAGGGATGCATCTGACGCCCGGAACCTTTCTGTTTCTCGGCGACTACGTAGATCGAGGGATGTTCGGTCTTGAGCTCCTTGCCTATATCTTTGCGCAAAAGATCATGCTTCCCGAGAAAGTGTTTCTTTTACGAGGCAACCACGAGGTGAAAGCGGTCAACGTTTCATCTCTCATCTCGCTCCATTCTAGGGCTTCGACAAATACTACGGAACGAGCTGCTTCCTCGGCCAGCTCCGCGCTCGCTTCTCCGAGGACATCGCCATGGAGATCTGGACTCGCGCCAACAAGGTGTTCGACTATCTCCCCATGGCCGCCACGATCGACGACGTGATTTTCTGCGTGCACGGCGGCATCCCGCGCCCCCTCCAAGGCGAGCAAGCAGCCTCGATCAACTCCATCGATCTGATTCCCTCGCCGTTCGAACTCACGCCGACGCCCAACCCGCAAGAAAACCCCGAGCTGAAGCAGCTCGTGACGGACCTGCTGTGGTCAGACCCCGCGCAGAACCGGCAGGAAGCGTTTCTGGACCAGAACGGGTTCGGAATGGGCGAACGCGGACCCGGCGCCGTGTGCTACGGACAGAAAGCCGTGGAGGAGTTCATTCGCGCCAACGGGCTGTCGCATATTCTGAGAGCGCACGAACCGACGGCGAACGGAGTGTCGGTGAGGAAGGGAGCCAAGGTGATTACCATCTTCAGCACGTCGAGGGTAGGAATGGAGGGGGATGGTGAGGCAAAGGATCACAATTATGAAAATGCGTTTTGTGGATGCATTCTGGTCGATGGAGAGAATATTATCGCGATTAATCACCCGGACGTTAATGCAGAGCAGCAGCAGCAACAGCAGCAGCAGCAACAGCAGCAGCAGCAACAGCAGCAACAGCAACAGCAGCAACAGCAACAACAGCAACAACAGCAAGTTCTGCTTTGAATTGTTTGTTAGAAACGAACGGAGTGTGTGTGAAAGGTGAAATGGGGTAATCTTTGGAATAAAAAATAAAAAGTGCGCATACTTCAATATGTGTAACACAAATAATTCCTTAAAATCAAGAATCGATATTATTCCGCTTTCAATTATCCAAAAAAATGAGCAAACAAGGGACTGACCGAATGAACTATGATATAGTTTACATAAAAAACACTAACAGGTCTTCCATAGCTCAGTTGGTTAGAGCGTGCGGCTGTTAACCGCAAGGTCGACGGTTCAAGCCCGTCTGGGAGAGTTTCTTTTGCTCTTATTTTTCGAAACCATCTGGTCGTGGAGCTTTCTAGTAACGGCGTTAAAATATGCAAAATTGCATCTGTTTATTCTTGTGATTCAAATTCGATGGTAAAAAAAGAATCGAAAAAAGGGAAAAATAAGGCAGTTAACTATTATTTGTTTAGAAGTAGTTGAAACTCCGGTTAGTACATCATTATCTGTGCTTTTCAACTAGGAGTTTGCAGTTATTGTCCCATTTAGTTCCGAATTTGATTAGTTCTTGTTAAGTGAAAGAGCAAAACTGGAACTGGAAAACACTGCTAGTAATGGTAGCAAAGAGGTTGTACCTCATCTTTTTTCTGACGGAAGGAACTTTCTGGAATTAGTGAAACATGCAGTTTCTTGTCCATACAAGCTGGGAGAATGCCCTATTACCGAGTGTGCATACACCCAAAGGATATTGGCATATCTGTCTCCAGCGGTAGCCAAGAAGAGGAAAGCTGTGGAAGAAGCGAGAGGTCGGTGTGACAAGTACTCGCGTTTGGAAGACTCGCTTGGAAAGATTAGTCGCCCTTCCAAGAGTCCTCTAGTCCGTGACTGTTTTCGAAGTAGTGAAGGATTTATTAGCATCAAAGTTCACTACAATATTGATCCTTGTGCTGAATATAGTTTGCCTTTGGAAACAATGACCAAGCAAGAAATCATCAACTATGTTAGCTTTTTGAAAACAAGGAACTTACAGGCTTATTTTGCACCATTGATTCAGCTGTTGATGCAGCACAAAGACAACCATGGTATTTTTAACACGCCTGTTGACCCGGATGTCCAGAACTTGCCTACATACTATTCCATTATCAAGAAGCCGATGGATCTGGGTACTGTTCGGGATCGCTTAGCAAGCGGGTACTACACTTCTCAGAGTGAAATAATGGATGACATTTCTCTAGTGTTCAGAAATGCGCAGAAGTTTAACCCGGCCCCTCATTTTATTTATCTGTGCGCCTCTTCTCTAAGCAAGGTTTTCGAAAGCGAAGCAGCAAAAATCCAAACTCGCATTGAGCAGAATCGTGTGAATCAAGCCAACCATTTCTGCTCTTCTTGCCGAGGAACGCCCTGTCGAATCTGCGGCGAGAAGTGCTTGAGGTATAGTCCTCCCGTGTTTGTTTGCGATGGCGATTGCCACGGACGCATTTTGCGATGCTCGACCTACTACATCATCCGTGGACAGAAAGGACGGTACTGTCAGAAGTGCTATGCAAAGAAGATCGCGGGAATGGACAAAGCGGACCGCAAGAATCTCCTCGTGAAGAAGAAGAACGACGAGATGTTTCCGGAATCCTGGGTGCAATGTTCACGCTGCCACGAGTGGCTCCACTGTATCTGCGGCTTGGTTCATCCTCGCCAAGTCACCAACAACTACGTCTGTCCGATCTGTCTCTCGGAAGACCCGCGAAGAATACCGAAGCCTGTCCAGGGAGCGGCTGCGATCCCGACCTGCTCGTTGAGCGAGTACTTAACGGAGAGAGTGCGTCAGCGTGTGGATGAAGTGGTGCAGAAGTTGCCGAAGCGATTTCGCCCTTCCGAATCCGAGCAGACGAGAATCAAACAAAGCCTGATCGTGCGAGTCGTGAGCAACATCACGACCTCCGTGACGGTGAAGAGATCGATCGCGCCTCTCTTCACCACCAACCACTCCGACGAGCTCTCGCTGCCCTACCGGAGCAAGTGCATCGCGTTCTTCCAGCACCGCAACGGCGTGGACATTCTGTTGTTCGTGCTGTATGTCCACGAATTCGACGAGAACACCATCCCTGCCAATCGTCGCTGCGTGTACATTTCCTATCTGGACAGCGTCCACTTCCTCTCTCCCCGCTATCTCCGCACTCCCCTGTACCATACGCTTCTCAACGGCTATCTGGCCTATGCGAAATCGAACGGGTATTGCCGCGCACACATCTGGGCATGCCCTCCTTCGCGCGGTGATGACTACATTTTCCCTCATCACCCCCGCGATCAGCGAACGCCCAACGCGGACCATTTGATTGGATGGTATCGCCAGTTGTTGGCGGAAGCCGTCGAGGCCGGGATCGTGAGCCACGCCTCGTGCCAATTGGACGAGCTTCTCCATATCAACGCGGTGCGGAGCAATAATCCGGATATCAACCAGCGGCAGATTCGATGCTTTTCGATTCGAGAGGGCGCCGAAACAGAACTCCCCGGACTCCCCGGACTCCCCGGGACGCCATTGGAGCGAGCCCAGGGATCTCCGTTTTCCCTGTCGTCGTGTTCGTCCGTCTATGAAACGGAGAACGAGAACGACTCGGAGGTGGGGATGGACATCATCAACGAGAACGAAGCGTTCTTCTCGTCCGATATCTCCTCGATGAGTCTCCCGACGCCCTCGATCCCTTCCATCGACTCCACGACCCACCCTTCCTCTGCCTCCCTGCTCGCTTCGGAGTCGCTGAGCGAGCTGGAGCGCGTTCTCCTCTTGACCGTTCCTTATTTCGAGGGGGATTATCTTCCCTGCATGGGCGAAGACATCATGGACGAGATCTACCAGGACAGTTTGAAGCCCAAAGTCGTTCGCAGCGTTCGCATTCATCGCCTCCTGACATCTAGACGCCTCCTCTCTCGCGCGCCTCCTCCATTTCTTCTTCGTCCAAGCACAGAGCCGAGCTTCGCGACCGAATTCTCAGAGACAACATTCTGCAGTTGCCTTCCGAGTTCCTCCGTCGTTACGCGAAGTCCATGCTGGAGAATCCTGCTCGCTTCATGATCGCCTATCTCCGTCCCACATGTTCCTTCTGCGGTCAAATCATCGTGGGCACCGGCCTTCGCTGCGATGACTGCTTCGTGAACAGCACGCCCTTCTTCCTCTGCCAGCTCTGCGCGCAGAAGGTTCGATCGATTGACTCACTCAATTCATCGTAGCGGATCTATCACGCCCATCCCTGCTCCACCGTTCAATTCCCATCCCTACCGCCCGTCGTCGAGCGAGATCCCACCATTTCCTACCCGTTTTTAGATAAACGACACGAGTTTCTGCGACTCTGTCAGGGCAACTTCCTTCAGTTCGATACGCTGCGGCACAGCGTGCTGTCGACTTCGATGATCATGCAGTTCATCTTTCATAAGACGCCTGACCCTTTTCTTGATCTGTGCGATTCCTGTGAGAAGATTATTTATGACACGGGGTATCTGTGCAGGTATCGAGACGACTATTGTTTGTGTAAGGACTGCGTGGAGAGAGATGGAGACATTCATGCCAGACTTCATGCGAGGAACGTGAAGGAATTTTGAGTTATATTTTGCTATGTATTTTTGAAGCCCTTGGGCAAGGAAACGATGTTTGTTTTTTTAAAGTTTTATGAAGGAGTCTGTGGAGTTGCCTCACTTTGTGGAGGATCGAGCGATCGACTCCGAACCTGTTTATATTGCAAAGTATTCGCACAATGGACAGCTTTTGGCTGTAGTTCACACAGACTATTCTCTCTCTATTTGGGATGCAAACGATATTCTAGTCAATACCTATGAACAAGCTTTTTTCACACAAAAGACGCATAGCGACCCCAACTCGGTTCACCTCGTTTTTCTTGATTGGTCTGCCAGCGATCGCTATCTCTATTTTATCGGAGACTGCGTTGGGTTTCTCATCGACATTTATGGAAGCAAGAAGGATGCGCGGAGTTTTACGTCGATTTTGATTCGTTTTAATTTATACATAGATTTGATCAACCCTTAAATTCCTTTTCTGCTCATCCGGAGGAAGATATGTTGTGCCTTGTGACTTGTCTTGACAAACTAATCGAAGTCGATATCCAGAAAGACGCAACACGAACACTGCTCAACTACCGAGACAGATTTCGCTCTGACACAACCCGAAGAACTTCCCTTCCTTCGTATGCACAATATACTGGGTTTGACAATCTAATCTTGCTCTGTGTGCAGGGTTATCTCTGCTTGGTAAACCAAAGCGGGGAGATCATTAGCGAGCGCCCGCTCAAGTTTTCGCCCCCCTTTCAGCAGCGAGTTTGCATCAACCGCGAAGACCGCACCTGCATTGTAGCGCGCCGTTCCGAGCTTTTAACCATTTCATTGCCCTCGATGGAGATTATCTCGTCCTACCGCGATTCCGTAAACGATTCTCCCTGGAAGTGTGTGGAGAGTCTTCCCTCCCAGAAGCTCGTAATGGCGATGCCAGAGAACTACGTGCTCGATGGTCCTGTGTTTTACATCATGCCTCCTGAGAACGGAGTGGACGTGGTGATCTACCGAGAGCCCAAGCAGCGCATGGCGTGGGGTCTGCTTCATCCCTCGGGAAACAGCATTCTCTTCTGCACGGACCAGCGCGAATTGCTGCTGTATCGCAACGAGGATCGCACGATTCATTGGAACGTAGATGAGCGGCAAGCAGCCTCCTTTCTAGGGTCCCATGTATCCTTATCATTTCACGTACCTCAAGAAAAACGAGCAGGGACCGTCCACGATGGAGCCTTCTTTCGAAGCGGACTATTTCCCGATCAGTGATCGCGGCATTGAGTTCATGCAGTGTGAGGTCCTGGGTCCAGTCCGGAAATCGGAAGGAACCGAGGATTCGAATGGAGTGCTGGGATCGAAGAGGACAAAGAGGGATGATCGTATCGACAAGGCAAGCGAACTTCATCCAATCGACTTGTTCTGTGACTGTCCAGAGAAACCGCAAGTTTTCTATATGCACCTCGTAGCGGAGGATCCAGAGCGCGCGGTGCTGCATCATGAGAACATGCTCCCTGATCCCCTTGATGATATTTACAATCGTGTGTAAAGTGGTTTGTTGAAATACCTGTTAAAAAGGCAGTATACAAGCACGCATAGCCTAATTGGATAAGGCGCTTGCCTACGGAGCAAGAGATTGTGGGTTCAAGTCCCACTGTGTGCTTTCTTTTTTGCTTTTATTCCTTTCCAACGACGATTCTTCGAATCCCACTTTTATATTCCACCCTTCCTCCTATTCCGGTTTCGGCCTCGTTTCGCCCAGTAGATCGCTGTATAGAATTGATCACCTTCTTTTTCAAACAATTCGTTCTTATCTTTTCTTTTTCCCCGCTTGAGTGTTTGCCATTTCAACTTTTCCTTTCCTGTTGAAGTAGCCTCCGTTTTCCTGACTTAAGCCAATGAAACCAGATAAGGCGTTTCGAAGTAATCAGCAAGTGCTTAGAAGATCGATAAACAAGAGGAATGCTATAACGAAGCATTCGAGTTTGAAATCAGAAAAATCGACTCCAGCACCAAAGAACGATCGATTCAAAAGAAGACTCGATATCAATCAAGCGATTATTGAGGCGTTGGATGACTATACAGCGGAACATGTCGATGAGTATTCAAGGTATCAAAAAGAGCTTCTTCCTTCGCCTCCAATTTACGAGAAGAAGTCATCCAACACAGAGAAGCTGTCTTCCCAAAAGAAAACGAAAAGGAATCACAGTTTTGATATTCAGACTCACAAATCTCCTGTTCTGAGTGCAAAAAAGGCACCACCAGTTCATGACGAGCTTCCGCCGCTGGAACCTTTGAGTTTGCGTGTAAAAGTTAAAAGTGTAGGACCAACAGGTAACAGTCGGTAATCTGTGTGTGAGGAATAGAGGAAGATTTTGTGAATCAAGCAAAAACGCTCTACCGCAATCTATTCAAGGGCGGCTCGACGCTTCCTACGAAGTCCCTATTCTCTGCAGAGCAGGAAAAAGAGCTCAAGCAACTCTTGCTCAAGATTGTTCGTTCGAACGGGTCTCTTCCCGGTACCAACGAGGAACCTGTGCTGTTCTACTTCTCAAACAGCGCGATTTCTCGCTTGCTGGACGCGCTCCGTTACGAAAACCCCTACGGTCTGAGCATTCGAAGCTCTGTTCTCGAAGCTCTGGCTCGCTACGATATGAGTTTCCATCGCTTGATCAGTCATGGCTTGCACGAATATCTGCTCCAATATGTGATGGACGAGCGCGGTCTGCGAGACAACGACGGTTGGGCAGAGAGCGAGGTGTGAACTGTAGACGATTTCGCGACGATTCATCAGCAGATCGGCGGGATCCATCGCTATGTGATGTTGCTGCGCGTGCTGACAGACGTAGACGTGCGCAATGGCGTGAACGATAGCTCTTTCGTCAGGACATAGCGCGCTGCGCGCCCTCCACCCCGCAGGAGTTCCAGCAATGTTTGAGCCAAGTGCAAACGCTTTTGAAGAGCGTGGAGTGTCTGCTTCGAACGCGATCGGGCGTGTCCAAATACGCGGAGCTTCTCTCGTCGGTGACGATTTCTCTGTTTTCGCTCGCTCCCTCGCAAATTCCCTCGTTTTACTCGTTTGTTTTGCAGCATTGGCCAATGTACAACTCGGAGAAAGTAGCGGTGAAGGCGGTGTGGAACGCGTAGATCGTGTCGTTCATCGACCTGCTCGAAAACCTGATGGCCTCTTCGCCTCCGCTGAATCTGACGCCCTTTTTGCGCGACATCGCTCGCAAAGTGTTCAAGAAAGTGTGTCGCGAGCTGCTCGGAAGCCACCTGGTGGTCAGCAAGCGCGCTGCGTATTTCCTGCAGAATTATTATCTCCGAAGCAACTATATCGCGATGGACGACGCCATTCTAACGACTGTGAAGAAGACGCTGAACGAGGGAAGTAGGCTTCGGAAGGGCGATCGAAGTGTAGTGGATCACTGGAACGAAGTCGTCGCGATGGCCTGCGATAAAGCATTCGATATGATTTTAGATGCCCTCTAGTCATTTACTCTCATGTACAATTGGCTTGTTTCTTCACAAACACTCCATAAAAGACAAAAAACGCTTCTTGCTTGCTCACTTTCGATGTCGCTTCGGCATTTTGATCGGATCGATGATCGTTCCCATGCGCGTCTTCACTTCCGGCTTCGTCAAACTCAAGAACGAGCTCTTGCTGTTCCACTCTCTTCCCAGCGGCTTCCGCATCGCGCGTTCGTACTGTTCGCGCGACGTAAACGGGAACGGCACGCCCTCCACGCGCATCGCGCGCTCCCTTGCCTCCGCCTTTTGATTGATAATCACATGTTCCAAGTGCGAATCGCTTCGTTCCGGCATCTCCACTTCCGGTTTCGGTTCGCGGCGTCTTCGCTTCGGCTTCGGCGCATCCTATCCATCAACCCGGACCTCTGTTTCCACGATTCCAGCCCAGCTGCCCCAGCCCTCCATCTCCCAATCGTTCTGGATGTGATGTTTCTCCTTGTACTCCTCCCTCTCTCGCTCGATCACCTCCGCCTTCGTCTCCGCGAACTCTTGCTCCGCTCCTGCATCCGCGAACGCCTGCGCCATGAGCGCTTCTTGGTCCAATTCGTCCTCGAACCCCAGGATTCCCTTCACCGGTCCCTTTCGTTTCGGTTCCGACGATTTCTCGATGATTACCACCTTCGGACCCTTGTCATCCTCCGGTTTCTCCTGTTTCCCTGGTTTCCCTGGTTTCCCTGATTCGGTGGACGGCGTTTTCTGCATGGATCCATCCTGGTTCATCCGCGCCGTTCGCTTCGCAGAGGCTCGTTCCTATCTCTGAGGTTTCCCCAGTTTCCCCACTTCCAGTCTGGCGACAGCGGCCTGCACATCCACGCCGTCCTCCTCCTTCTCCTTCTCCTTCGTCCCTCGCTCTCCATGACTCACGTTATCACGCGCTGCCGCCAGCCACGGATTCTCCCCCGCGGGTTCGTCCAGCAGCGCGTCATCCGCCTCCGATTCCCCGCGGGATCCCGCTTCGGCTTCGCTGAGATCGTCCAGCAAATGGCTTCGCGAGTCCTTCGGCTCTGCCGCGTTGTCTTGGACCGAACTGGGAATTGCCGAGTCGTCCTCGAAGAGGCTGGGAATTGCCGGAGCCTCGAAGAGCGGCTTGACGGTGATCGGGTCCTTCACCTCCAGGCTTTTCCCTTCGCGCTTCGCTCTCCGCACCACGCCGCCGCTCAGCGCTTCGCGGATCGCCGCCGCCTTCTCCGATTCCTCCTCCTCCGGTTTCTCCGATTTCCCCAGTTTCTCCGATTTCTCCTCTTCTGGGTCGGATTCCCGCGATTCGTGTTCGAATTCCTGGTCGAACTCCTTCTCTTCCTGCAGCGCCTGGATGAGTTTCTGCGCTTCTTGGCGGGCTTCTTCGCGTTGCCGCTGCAGCGCGCGCTTCATGAAGTCCATCCTGCGTCCCACGCCCCCTCGCTGCCCTACTGGAACACGCCGCGCTGCGTCGTCGCCGCGTCCCCGTCGATTTCCGCGAGAACCGACTGCGCCTCCCGCAGCAACGCGTCGTTCCCCGCGGTTTCCGCGTCGTCGCTGGAGGAGTCCGCGTCGTTCTCGCCTTCGATGCGTCGGCGAAGACGCTCGCCCTCGCGCAGCTGCTCGTTGATCGCTTCCTACGCTGGGATCTGCACGGAACGCCTACGCGAGTCGCGGCGTTCGCCATGCCGCCGTGCTGCAGCGCGCGTTTCACCCACTATACATCTCGCAGAAAACCGCGGAACCCACCTTGGAGGTGTTCTTGTGCTTTAACGACATGCGCTCTTGCACACGCTTGAGAGCGTCCTTCTCGAGGAGCTCGCGGTAGAGCTCGGGGTCGGTTTGTTTCAGCATCTAGGCGATGAATGATGATTGGACGGAGAACAACCTCACGCTCCTCGGCTTTGCGCTTCTCCTCGGCTTTCTTGTGGATCTTTCGGTACTTCTTGCTCTTGATCTTGTTGATTCGCTTGTTTTTCTGCTCTTGGTAGAACAAGATCGACTTCATCTGGGCGAGCTCGCGATTCCGCGCTCGGACCTCTTCGACACTGAGTTTGTTCAACTCCAAGTCTTGGTTCTCCTTGTCACGCACTCCTTTCTCCTTCATTTCACTCTTCTCCAAAATCTGATTCTAACTCCCAACCTATATGCACGTACCACATCGATCTCCTTTTCTAGTTCGGTTGTTGGCTCAAACTTCGAGGCTAACGAGTTGGAGGATGTCTTGAAGCTGTTTGGAGCTGCGTCTTCAAAGCGGAGAAAGTCTTCATTTCGGTTTTTCAAAACGATCCCTCCCCACAGAGATACTTGGCCTTTGCTTTCTTCGTATGCAACCTAGAAAAGAATCGCATTAAGAATCAAAAGGTACATTTCTTTCCAACTTTTCTCGCTGATGGCGAGGCAATGCTGCCGACACTTTTGTCTATGCAATCATTCCACTGTAACAAGCATAATACTTTTGATTTTGAAATCTGAGTCACTTTCTGTCGCAAACTACTAAACTCGGCAGAATCACCAAGTTGGCCGACGAGTGCCTCCATACTAAGTCCTTGCTCTTTCGGAGTTCCGCTCATAGTGCAAACTTAAACGAATGGGACAGAATTGTTGACTTGGTCAATCGCAGACAAAAATCCCCCGAAAAATGGAATTGCAAAAGTATGGAAACAAACAATCCAAAACTCTTCTCCCAGCTTCATATTCTTCTCGATCGTTCCCCACTCGCGATAGAACGCCTCGGCGATCTTCACTCCCGTCTCGATATCCTTCGTTCCGCACATCTCTCGAATACTGTGCATCGCGAGCTGCGGAATGCCGCAATCCGCCGTGAGAACTCCGAGCTGCGTGCTGATGCGCGGTCCGACGGTCGATCCCTCCCTCATATCCTGCTTCTTGACGGAGGACTGGAGATCGAGGCGGTTCTTCTTGCAGAGATAACGCATGACGGCAGCGGAGGGAGCGGACGTCGCCATGTTCTGCGAGGCAGCGAAGGACATCACGACGCCCTTGTTGAGGATGCAGCGATGGTTGCTCTCGGTCTTGTCGCTGTACTCCGGATTGAAGGCGTGCGAGACGTCCTAGCCATCAAAGAAAAGAACAAAAAAGCGACGTAGGACAGCAAGAACGACTTGCGAATGGCCTGGCTGACGTTCGATTCGCCCGACAATTGACTGATGATCGTGCGAAGACTCGTGCTCTCCGCGCCGGCAAGCGAAGCAGAGCCGATTTCCTCGTGGTCGAAGAGGGCGAGCACGCGAACCATGTGGTCGTCGGCGACTGGCTGCTCGAGAGACTGCAGGAATCCGTGCAGACCGCAGTAGGTCATCGAGAGATTGTCGATCTTGCCGCTGAAGATGAATTCGTCGTGGATTCCGCCGATGGTTGCGGGCTAGAAGGGATGATGCGAGACAAGAGAGAAGGTACGGTTGGATCGTAGAGATAGCAGTCCATGTCAAGAACAGATTCGGCAGAGACGCCGGCCTCCTTGCAGATCAAGTCGACGAGCTCTTTGGGGTGGCGATTGTAAATGTCCACTTCGCTCTCCTTCTCGTCCAGGGAACCAAGACCAAAGATGGGGAGAAGTTGCGTTTCCTTGTTGAACTCCACTCTGTCACCCTTTCGCTCCTTTTCATCGGAGAGATGAATGGCAAGCGATGGAATAAAGCACAAAGCTTTATGGAGATCGAATATCTTGGTTTCAATGCGGCCTTCTTTCTCGCACTACTCAAATCACTTCGGTTGCATTTCCCTACAATCAGGCGTCCTGCGAGAGAGAGATCACGATCTGCCCATGTATAGAACTTACCTCCTCCATACATCTCCACTCCCAACATCAAATGTCCCTTCGACTCCTGCTTCGAAATAGGCTTGAGCTTTAGCGACGGGGAATCGGTGTGTGCAGCCACAATAGCGAACCCGTCTCCCTTTTGGAATTCCTTTCCAACACAAAAAGCAAAGAGTGATGTCTCGTTTCGGGTGAAAAAGTAGCGTCCATTGGGCTGTACCTTATCATCCCAAACCTCTTTCTCACTGAGGCGAGTAAAACCGGCAGCCTGCAGTTGTTGGATACAGGTCTTTACGACATGGAATTGGGTAGGTGTTTTCCTTAAGAAATCAATAAATCCGGTGGCAGACATGAATAAAATACTCTGCTCTGTTTATTTTTGTTCACCCAATAGATTTTATTCTAAACTATTTGGGACAATTCTTCATTATTTTCGTATCTTTCATCAGGATAGGCGTGTGCATATAGTATGGTAATAAAGAACCTTGATAAACTGCCTCTTGATATGTTATTTTTCGTGAGGTATGTTAACAGATATTATAATGAAATATGGAAGCAAATCCAAAGTGATATGAAGAATTTCAATACACGGTATGCTAAAAATAAGAATGCCAGATTTCGGTTTGGAAAGCTTACCCAGCTAACTATGATACTCCTACGTTTCTGTTTCAAGACCAATATGGTTAAAAAATGCAGGGAATGCTGCGTCACAATTATGAATAGCTTGGGTCTTGTTATTACTGAAGATCAATTTAAAGAGTTTATTGAGAATATTACGAGAAATAAGCGAGTTGTGGATATTATTGTTTTAGCGAAAAATAGTAATGTTGATTTGCAGAAGCCTATGAATTTTCAGTTTGATTGTCATACATGTCCACCGGGGATCATGCGTTTAATAGCTATTTTCGCTGAATATGAGGTGAAAGTGATAGGTAATGAAATTAACTCAATTAGCAGTGGTCATCAAAGTACTATAACTCCTGCTGTGCTCCTTTTTGGTGTTCAAACTTTTCCTATACGAAGGTATGATGAATTCAATTCTTATAAACATATAGGCCTATTAATACGTATAATTGCTCCAATTTATTATCTTACCCGCACCAATTGTCCACGAATACTGGTCAAATCGCAATTCCCTCCGGTCATTATCAGGAGGGTAGACAAACGGACCCGTCACAAATAGCGAACATTGTATTACAAGAACAAAATCCTAGTAATATGGAAGATAACAAGGCATCCGCTGCTCTCTTGCATCAAATGCCAGATCACGATGCTAGTTTCTTGAGTGATTCATCTCCTTTTTCTGTTTCTCTCAGTCCGATAGACTCAGAACCATCTTCTTTCTATGGAGTAGAAGAATACTTAACAATCTCCGTGAACGATGGATTGACTGATTGTTGATATCTCCTAAACTTACCTTTGAATAGCGTCGAATCCATTTCCACCAAAGATCCTCTTCCTATGGATCCTCCATACTTCTCCCTTCCTCCTATTAATACTGTGAGCGCAATTAGTTTATCTGAGCCTTCTTCGGCAAGGTTTGACATTTGACAACTTGTAGGAAGCTCTAACCTGCCAATTTTCTCTTGAGTTATTGCTTGTGACAAATGAATCATTGTTTACAAACACAAAATAGATTCGAGAGGGAATGATCTACATAAGGGAATTCATTTCTCATAGTCATAATGCCACGCCCTACTTTCCTTTGAAGGAAGGAAAAAACGATTGCAACAAACAGGTCCTTAACTATCCAGTTTAAACCTTCACATCCTTCTTAGTAACGGTCTTCTTCGTCTCATTCTTTCCGCTCTTCTTCATGTTCTTCTTCGTCTTCACTCCGCCCACAGCCTTTCTTCTTCTGCTGATACGGATCAGCAGGAGGATGACAACTGCGACGATGATGATCACCACCACCACCAGGATGATGATCGTGAAAATCGCCAGGCAAGCTCCGGAGGGCTTCTCCCACTCTCCATCGGTCGCTCCCAGCACGCAGGCACGCTTCTGCGTACCGATGTAATTTCCCTGGTTGGCGCAGTCGTAGACGGCCGTCTCTCCCACCACCGTGGTGGGGAAGAAGCCATCAGCGCGGCACTGTCCCTTGCGAACGTAGATCACAATCTCCACGCGAACCGCACCCGACGGATTGCTTCCCGTAATGGTGAAAGGCCGCTCGGTGATGGCGAGTTCCACCGTGGGGATACCCGAGATCTCTCCGGTCTCCTTATTCAGCGTCAGGCCGGTCGGCAGCGGCCGATCCACGCTGAACTCGGTGATGATGTTATCGTACGTGGGGACGGAAGTGGTGCGGCTCGTGCCCACCACAAACTCATAGGTGGACTGCGGGTAGATCAGGTTCAGCGGCACCTTGTAGCGGCAGCGATCATTGCGAGGCTCGCCCAGCTGGCCGTTCGAACACTCTCTGTACATGTACCCGGTGAATCCCTCCTCGCACATCGCGGGTGAGATCTGGCCTTCGCCCACCGTGGGATATCCGTCCACACCCGGACACATCGCGCCCTCACTCTTGCAGTAGTAGAAGAGGAAGGAGCTCAACTGAATCTTGCTCGAAGCCGTGTCTTCGATGATCCACTTGAAGTTCTTGAACGGCAGCACGTTCATGGGCGTTTCGAACACGTTGATGGCACGCAGGGCGATCGGGACGGACACTTCCGAGGCGAAGTTCATGTACTCCGCATCCTCTGTGTCGGCGTTGTTGCCCATCAGAGAGAACTGCAGAGCGGGCAGGGCGGTCCACGACAGAATTCCGTATTTGTTGAAGAGCGTTCCCTCGAGATTTTCCACCGTCCAGTTGATGTACGAGTTCACATCGTTACTGAATTGCTTGTAGGTCAGCAAGTCATAGTCCAGAAGGCTGCTCAGCGGCAGAGGGGTCTCGGATTCCTGTGACTCCGCCTCACAGTCCGTGCCCGTGACAGAAGAGTACGTATCCAGGACCATCGAGCACTCCTCCACACCGAAGATACCCGTGGCATCGAACACAATATCGGTGGCCACGTTGGCAGGATTGTGGATCTCGATTGCGAGCACGTTCGTGCCCACCACAGCTCCCTGCATCGGCAGGATGATGTGGAAGCCAGAGTAGACAGTGCTATCGTGCTCCGCAATCGCGGGCGTAGAGGCGGTGAAGTCCTTCTCCAGATTGAAGCGAGCCACGCGGACGCCGTTGAAGTAGGCGGCGATTCCTCCGTTGTAGAGGATACGCACGTTCAGCACTTGGTAGTCGTCGAGGTTGGGCAGATCGAAGGTCTTTCGGAGGTAGGTGGTCACAAAGTCGCTGGTGCCAATCGCAGAAGGGAGCATCGACTGCCAGGTCGAGTCGTCGAACGAAGCGGTGGTCCAGGAACTATCCACAGTCTCCGCCTTCAAGACCTTCCACTCCGTGACGGTGATTTGGAAGGGGAGGTAGGACGAGAAAGTGGTGCTGGAAAAAGAGGGCTTCGTTTCGGACTCGCCGACCGGCTTGGTATCGAAAATGGTGGCGCCCACATCCACGGTCATCATGTATCCTCCGGGAATGAACCAGCCGTCTCCATTCTTATCGAAAGCGTAGAACGTGTAGATGCCGTTATCCAGACAACGGTCCAGATAGAGCAGAGAGTTGCTATTGAGAGCTCGGCTGATCGAGGCGAGCAATTCCCCTCCATCTCCGCGTCCCTTGAACAGCTTGTAGGAGCACTCGCTAGCATAGTTATCGATTCGCATCTTGGAAGTCATCATCGAGCGCTTGCCAGAGCAAGGAGACACGTCGAAGTTGATCGTAGTCGACACAGACTCGCCCGTCGTCGCCTTCTTGGCAGAGATCGTGTAGTCCTTCGCGGGTGCATTCACCGTGGCCGTTCCGTAAATCACACCGCTCTGCGAGCAGATCTTCACGCCCTCCGGCAATTCCGGAGAGACAGTGAAGTCGCGATACAGATCGCTGGAAGGATAGACCTCGGCCATCTCCACATCCTTGATCACCACCACAGTTCCGTATTCCAAGTTAGGAACCTCCCGGTTCGTGTTGTCGCTGAACATATCGATTCGGTTGATCTTCCAGATGCAGGAAGACTCATTTCCCGTCCCGATATCCTCGAACTTGTACTGGTTGTACGGGGAATTGTTCTTCAGCCAGATCTTCTTCGTCTGGCCCAACAGGGACCAACCCAGTCCCGTGTACTCACCCAGTTTCGTCCAGTCCGTGTCCACACTGTTCTTTCCGTACACCTTGAGCTGGCGAGGCTGCTTGCCCTCCTCAGAGTAGGAAACCTGGATGAGGATCGAAGAGATCCACTCGCGACGATCGTTGTTGAACGTGATCGAGACCGAGTTGGAGACGCATACAGTGCAAGCGATGAAGTCGGAGTGATGGAAGGTGAAGGGACCGTGCATTTGTTGGATCGCTCCCGACGCCTGGTAGGTATACTCGAACACACGGCTGTATTCGTTATTTCCCATCAGGCTCAGCGCCGCGTTGAACGTCGAGTTGGTGCTCTCGTCCGAGTTGGCGATCAAAGCGATCGCGATCGTGTTGGATCCAGTCTGCAAGTAGGTCGTCGCGCTCGCCTCCTCATAGGTCTCTTCGTCCATCGTCTCATAGGTCATCAACTTGACAGGGAACGACATCTGGCGGAAAATGAGCGACGGATAGATGTTGCTGATGGCAGCCGTCGTGCTGACCTCCGTAATACCGTTCATGAAGATCGGGATATTGTTCAGGTAGATGGCAATACCGTATTTATAGCGCACCGAAACAACGAATCCAGCAATGTTGTCCAGACTGTCGATAGAGAAAGTCTTCTTGTAGAGCTGGACGCGGTTCGTAGAGGCCGGGAAGGATCCGGAAGAAGCCTCTGTCCAGCCGGAGGTATCAGCAGAGTACCAGTTTTCAGGAACCTCTCCCGTCTTGTAGAACCAGTTATCCGAAGGATGGATAGGATAGTTGATACTGACGAAGTAGGAGGTCTCCAGACCCAGATAATTGTTGTAGCGAGCACGCAGAAGAGTGTCCCACTCATTCGAGCCCAGAAGGGTGTTGACATACAGGTACGAACCAGAATCCCAGCTGGCTAATGAGCTAAAAACATCGATTCCAATGCGAGGAATCGTGATACACAAGTTCTCTCGAACATCTGTGGCCGTCGGCTGACCACTGCTGATAGCGACACTGTACAAAACCGTCTCAGTTTCCGGATCGATCACACTGAAACCCTCGTTCGAAGACATATACTTGTAGGTTCGCAGGATCGTGACCACCATTCCCTCACAAGCATTGATGGTGAGCGTGAATGTGGAGCTCATCGAGAGGGAGGCTGAAGTGACAGTGAACGTTGTCTGAGCGAGAGGAGCTCTAGCATATCCACTGACTGTGCAGCTATCAGCATCAAAAGTTAATCCATCAGGAAGCAGCTGACTGTTGCTCAGAGTACAATTAGAAACTTCGATGCTTGTAGGAGTAATGTGAACCTCTTCCAGGTCCACGTAGTAAGAATAGCTATCCTTCTCATAGGAGAAGGAGGTCGGGGTTTCCGAAATGAGACAGGTCATGGGCATAAGCTCAAAGACCAGTAAAGTCGAGTCGGTAGAGGAGACCACATTGAAGCGGTAATATCTATAAAGATCAGCCGACCAATAGCTATAGAAATTATTGTAAGCGGAGGATTCACCATTCCTGATGGTCAGCAAAGGATTGTAGACTGAGCTATCCACAGATCCATACACATTGGCAACAGCAATATTGTTGGACTCCGAATTAATGTAATAGCGCATTCCATTAATGTACGGGGCAGAAAGAGGATCCATCATGTAGCTAACCTTGATGTTAGCAATATCACCCGAGAATGTGGCGCTGGTGCCTTTGTTCATGTCAAAAATGTTTTCCAAATTACTGCAACTAATCGAAGAGGTATAAGTTACAGAATAAGGATAAATGACGCAGTTCATTTCGGGAATGCCCGAGGCGAGCGCAGCCATGTACGCATCAAAGTCGACCGTGGTAAGTGTCGTTCCAGTAGTAGCATGGATTTCCACAGCCAAAACTCCACTAGTAGCAATCTCACTTCCCATTCGGATGAAGCCACGCATCGAAGCCTCTGGATAGGATCCAGAAGCAGCAGTCGACTGATCAATAGTTCCTTTAGGCATATTATCGCGGAACGCTTCCACTCCATTCACATAAACAACTACTCCGTAGCGATAGTTCAAACGGACCTCATAGGCACTCATTCCAGACACACCCGTAAAGGCCTTGCGGAAATACTGCGTTCCAGAATAGCTTCCGGTCACAGAACCCATGGTCTCCTCGCTCCAAGCACTATCTTGGAAGTCGGTTTGCATCCAGTCAGCAGAATACTGATTCGATAATTTCCATGCCTGATATCTCTTAATCGGGTAGTGCATAGAAAGCGTAAGCTCATCATTGCTATCGGAAAGAAGATAACCCTTGAAGAAAATATTTCCATATTCTCCATAGATCGCCAGGTAGGAACCGGACGCCCAAGAGTCTCCAAAACTATCGGAAAGCTTCAGCGTATACTGATCGTTGCTAGATGAGGTGAGGCAGTCATTAGTATCAGAAATCTCGTTATTCACGAAAGGACCGCTCGTATATACAACTGTCTCTCCAGATGATATCGTAAATGACTGTTCGGTACAGTAGCTTTTACACACCATGTAAAACCGTGCATAAGTTTTTCCTGTATCGCAGAGCTCTTCGGCCACTATGCAGTGGAGTGCGAGAAGCGCGAGAACAATTGAGAACATCCTTATTATAATTTAAATAACAGGAATATTTTGATAACCACTTGTGGTCGAGGAATAAAATTAATTATAGTTTCTCAATATGCCCTTTAATTAATACATATGTTAATTCTTCTTCTTCTTTGTAGCAAATTGACTGGACACATCCTGCTAGGCTCTAGACAAAGACTCGGGGCTCTCTTTCCGTTTTTGGAAAGAGTGTTCATATAAGCGAGTTATACGATTTTCTTAAGGTAGACTCAATTTTCAGATAGACAATCTCCTTTCCCAGATGAGGAGCAAAGAATAGCAACTGTTTCTTCTATATATCCTAGTACCCAATTTCTTCCAATAGGATTCGGGGAAAAGCCTTGTGTTTTGTTCTTGAATAGTACTGTCTTTCCCTTCCTTATGAAAAGATTATTGGGATTTCTTTACAAATATGCGAGTTTGTTTTGCACATAGGTTGTGAATTTGACGAAACACAGTACCGTATATCGAGGGAGGGTTATACAGCCCTCCTTCATGCATTCTGTTGACTGCATAAGCATTCCTTTTGAAATTTAACTCTCTACTTATGATTGTCTCAAAGAGTCTATTTGTAGCATTGAATAGAGAATTAGAATGTATTTATGCCCAAATTTTGAAAAAAAGGTCAATCTACTTTTCGAAATGGGTATTTTGCTTCCCTTGATTCTAACGTATTCACGATAACAAGTGATTGCTTTGCCAAAACTGAAAGTCTGGATTTTCTTAATTGTTGAAACAGAACACTTCAGAATATGCTTTTCCCCTTTTATCAAAACAACCCTTAAAGATGAAATCTATAGATGGCTGCTATTCATACTCTCTCTTAAAGTAACATACTATTCCTTCTATTGTTCATATTCTAGGAGCATTCTGATATACTATATGAATTATGCTTGAATGAAATACAGGTATCATGATTACCCCCCTCCATGATAGAGATTGACGGCCAATCGTTTGAATTCTCCACTATTTCATTGACGATTCAAGCTATGTCTTCGGTATTTTGCTCGCTTATTGCCCTAATGTCTAGACTAAGGCTAAGGACTCTGCTAAATCTATGAACCCCATCTTTGCTGCTACTCCCAAGAACTTCCGCATTGGAGGAGATGTTCTGGTATGATAGCGCTCCGTTCGGCCTAATTTCATAGCCTAAGAAGGATCTCTCCCGATTCCTGAAGTGGCCCCGTTACGTGATCATCCAGAGACAGCGTAAGATTCTGAGCCAGCGTCTGAAGGTTCCTCCCACCGTGAACCAGTTCAGCCATGTGTTGGACAAGAACCAGGCTGCTGAGGTGTTCCGTCTGATGAACAAGTACGCTCCTGAGACGGAGGCCGAGAAGAAGGCTCGTCTGGAGGCTGCTGCCAAGGCGAAGGCTGAGGGCAAGCCCGTGGAGGAGAAGCGTGCTCTGGTTGTGAAGTACGGTCTGGACAACGTGACGAAGCTGGTGGAGCGCAAGAAGGCCAAGCTGGTTCTGATTGCCAACGACGTGGATCCCCTGGAGCTGGTGATGTGGCTGCCCGCTCTGTGCCACAAGATGGGCGTTGCGTACGCGATCGTGAGCGGCAAGGGCCGTCTGGGCGCTCTGGTGCACCAGAAGACCGCTACTTGCGTGTGCCTGACGGGAGTGAACCCTGAGGACGAGGCGGCGCTGAACTCGCTGCAGGAGAGCTTCACCGCCAAGTACGCCGAGAACAAGAAGTGGGGTGGCGGTATCATGGGACTGAAGACTCAGCGCAAGCTGAGCATTCGTGCCGCTGCCATCGCTGCTGAGAAGGCCAAGAGAGCTTCTCTCTAAGCTGATTGTGAGGCTACATGAAGAAAGAAAGAAAGGAAGGAAGGGTGGAATCGTCATTGGTGAAGTTTTTGTTTGAAACAAGGAGAGAGCAATAGAATGTATTTATATATGACAACTGATTTATATTGTGGAAAGGAGGGCTGAACTGTCCTCATCAAGACGCTTGGTTTCCTTGGGAATCTATGAGCGTAAGATAAATGCAGATGTAGCTCACCTCAGATAGAGAGGAGTTTAGCTGACAGAGCGCATTTTCGATCGCACTACGCTCTTCTGCTGAAAGTGTTTCACCATTTTGAAGTCTGTTTATTTTTGTACGAATTTGGTTTATGAGTTTCTACGAAAAAGATGCAACGCGATACTTACGTCATTCCTATCTAATATCTTCTCTATATGAGAAAACGACGTCTTCCACGGGTCGGGAAGAGTAGAGATCGTATCCATAAACAAACAGGAACACAAACTATCCAAACAAAGTAAGGATGCAATTTCCCTCTGGTACAAATCTTCGCTTCCTATAGAACCCTTGCTTCCTTCTTCCGTGCGTGGATCTACCTCTGAACATCCTCGCTCCGCAACTAGCTGTTGCTCCTCCAGCAAACTTTCGATTGTATACTTCAAATCATTTGTTTGTTTTTCAGTACACGCTGAGACTCGGATCTGTCCTTTCTCTATATCCACACTGACTTCCCCATTGTATTTCTCCTTCCAGTGCTCGATCATCACTTCGTAATTGTCCCAAAATGTCTGCAAAACGGACGGCGGGGCCTCAATCACTTTGTTCAACAGCTGGTAAGTCGTTACGACCGCTTCGATCCGTTCACACGCTCTTCTCACCGATTCAATTTCCCCGTGAATATATACGCGATCCTTGCTACCGACCACTTCCACCGTGGCTCCTGTCGATGCAATGATTTCTTTGATTTGCCGTCCTTTTGTACCGACAATGTGTGCGATGATCAGCGGGTCAATGCTAAGCAAACAATGCTGCTGTGACAGCACTGCAACTTCCTTTGAAATCGTGTCCATCACGCGAGAGAGCCGCTCGGATAGTTCTGTAGCACTAATGGGAGGCAAAGGTTTGGAAGGATTGTTGGAATTGGAAGCTTCCAAAGGATCCAATGGATCCAATGGATTCAATGGATCCAATGGATTCAAAGGATTCAATGGATCCAAAGGATTCAATGGATTCAAAGGATTCAAAGGATTCAAAGAATTCAAAGGACCCATAGAAACCATAGGAATTATAGGATCGGCAGCACTGGATGTAATAATGAGCTTGGAAGGGTTGCTGACACGAGAAACGTCCATAGGATTGAAAGGCTCCGGCCGTTTCATGCAGTAGACATAGCCTTCGCTGGGCTCCACGTGGATCAAAACGTAGGGATCGTCCGAAGCGATCTTCTTCCCCGTCATGGAGAAATAGTGACACACGCCCGGTGAGATTGGGATTCGTAAAAACAATGCCGGGAACAAGCTCATCAACTCTTCGTAGAGCTGTGCATGTGCTCGATGGATATTGCCCAATTCCCCGCGGATCAACACCGCTCCGCAGGAATCGTGCGAAATATTGCACTGATTCGCTAAAACCACCAGCTTCATCGGGAACGAGCTGGTCGCAAACAGAGTATTCACTGCATTCGTATCGTACTTGTACGAATACGTGGGAGTCCCGCGGAAAACCGCCTCGACCAATGCTTTCGCGGCATCCACGTTCTTTTGTGTTCCAGAAATGGAGAGATCTCCATCTCCTCCAGCCTGCTGGGTCAGCTTGAGAACAGCATTCGTGATGATGTGGATCGATCGGAGGGACCGACACCGATCCACGAGCAGTTGATGAAACTGCTTCAGCGTGATGTGAAGGACATGAGTGACAATTTGATTCGTCTTGATGATGGAATGGATTTCGTTCGATGCCTGCTCGGCGGCCTGCTGCTCTCCCCAAATGATCAGGCGACCGGATTCGCGGCGAGGGAGGATCCGGCAGTTATACTTCGATTGCAGATATGCCCGCGTTTTCCCCTCCTTTCCGAACACTAAACCAATGTGTTCCATGGGGATGGAGCACGGATAAGCGTGGAAGTTCCCTGTGGACTTCTTGAACGCCAGGAATTTCTCCCGGATCTCGGCAATGTCGGCTTCCGCTCCCTCGCATCGCAGCGATCCCGAAGCCGCATGGAACGTCACTTTGAGGTCTTTGTATTGCGACTGCAACGCGGCGAGCGATGGCCGCGACAATTCGTACGCGTAGTAGAAATGGTCTGGACTGAAATGACACCAGAAATGAGTGCGTCTGAAATCCTCCAGCTGCGATTCGATCCACAATTTGGCATCCAAGACGTTCTCTTTTGGTCCGAAAATGCTCAGCCTGGTTTGGATCCCCACACTCTGCTTCGTTTTGACCGCGAATTTCTTCTCCGTTTCCCGGATCGCCGCTCCCTTCATTCCAATCACCACTCTCCCCATCAGCTCTTTGTCTTCCGTCAGACTCTCCACCCAATGATCCGAGAGCCAGGACTGCACGTACGCCGCCGCATTGGTGACGTTGTCATCGAATCCTTCCAGCTCGATCTCGTCCTTTTCGTCCGAAGTCATGACTCGCACTGACACATGATACTTCTTCCGGATCTTATCGATGTGGCTTCCTTTCGATCCAAAAAACGCGCTGCGCAGCTCGAAACGAGAAGGGAGTTTCAGGATAGTGATTCGACTGATGAGATCGAGCGCGGCATTTCGTGCGTCGCGAAGTTTCGCAGAATCTCCACAAACAATCATTTTGAGATTGAACTTATCGATGTGAATCGACACATTGAATTGCTTTTGAATTTGCTGCACTTTCTTTCCGCCATTGTTCAGAAAAAGAGGCAAAGCGAGTTCAGGCAGATCGATCGTTTCGTGGGTTTTGGCGTACTCAGCAAGCATCATTTCGACCCGTTCCGACGCCGCATCGATGTCCGATTGGCATCCACAAAGCTCAATGAACGGCTTTTCCTCACGCGCGCTGAAATTGACTTTGCAGTGGAACCGTTGCTGCAGTTCGCGGACAGTGACTCCTTGATCTCCAATCAGAAAAGAAACGTGAAACGACGAAGGGAGTTCTTGCGTTTTTGAAACGTCCTTCAAGGTCTCTAGAAGCGCGCGAATCGCTTTCTATGCGTTACAATTCCGCCTCACTCGCACTTCGTCATTCTCGCAATCGCTCGGAAACCCGTACAGACAAAGAGCAAACTGCTCCGTATTCACATGCACATATCCGCGGATCTTATGGCTCAACTCCTTAATCCGCTCTCCGCCGTCCCGAAGCAGTCGCTCCATCACAGGCAACGCGATTTCAAACCTCCGGATCTCTTTCGACAGGCTTTTCAAACTCGCCTCGAACGCCTGCAAAGCACGCGGACCGCCCTCGACGATGATCGAGTTGGTTTCTCGCTCAATCTTCACGCTCGTGTAGGTTTTCTCTTCCAGCAAGTGAACAAATCTCCATCCGTTGGCTAGTAGGATTTTCTACCTCAAACACCACGATTCGGACTGTACAAGTTGGAGGGAAGTCGCTGAAAGAGTCAGGGACGTCCAGGAAAGCATGTCTTCGATGAGAGATTGGACTGGTTTCAAGGAGGCAGCTATGATTTGTGACTTCGAAAGAGGTGGAAACCCGGTCCATAGACAACGCAGGCAGGCAGAGAACGTGTGTACGTAATCTTTACGCCGTATTGCTTTTCCATCGTTGAAAACTAAGCGTTGGTGAAGAGACGAAAAACGTACGTGTTGGGAATGATTCCCCCGCAGCTGACGATACACTGATTCCTTTACTTGAACCAACTCACTCGATACCTCGTCTGGCGTGATGTCCAAACCGTTGGAGCGAGACAAAATGATGGACCAAGCAACACAAATAGCACCATGTAACTCTGTTACTTTCTGACGAATATTTTTCAATTGCAAAAACATCCTCTTTTTTTCCTAACCGTTATGGCAAAAGTAAGTAATCACGCTAGTAATATCACCTAATTCCTTCTCCCATGCTTGCTGCCGGCGTATTCCGTACAATTCCTTTTTGTATTTATCGATAATGAGTTGCCTCTATCAATAAGGGATGGACACTGCGTACAACTTGTTTCGTTTCCTTAAGCGAGTAGGAGGAAACTGCTAGATCCTCCTCCAACTGTTCGATAATCGCAGAAATGTTGTCCACTGTGCTATACTTGTGAAACTCTGGGTTTTTACGAATGGCACTCGCTCGGTTCGATAATTGATCTATTACGGACTACGCTTGAACAAAGGGTATAAATCTACAATCGTTGCTGTTCTTCTGTTTTCCAAATCACATAACCTTTGTTTCAAATACTGAATAGCTTCTTTATTAATCGTACATGACTCTTCTTCCCTGCTCATTCCGGCAAGCTGTGTATTTCACAGGGGAAAAGTAATATTTAACATGTAATTGTTATTACTGCCGAAATAAGTAAAATCCCCGTTTTCCTTTCCCACTTTTCTATTTTGGCGCGTTGTTTTTACCATTTTGTGATGGAGAAAACATTCACAGATGATCAAGTTTGAGATGCTCTGTCGCTTCTCTTCGTAGATATCAATGTTTCGTCAAGTCTTCAATTTTCTTGACAAACAAAAATGCGGTCTTGTTTCCTGTGAAAAACTTGGAGAATTAGTGCGCATATCGGGATTTAACCCAACGGAAGCAGAAATCGCGAATATCAAGAGTCGATATTCGGAAAAAACAGGAATCACCTTTGACGAATATATTAAACTACTTTCAGGTCTCGATTGCATCGGTTCCATTTTGAACTTTTCTCTGATGAATAGCAACCGAGGACGATATACGGGGAGCCTTCAAGGTATTTGACAAATATAATGATGGAAAGATCAAAGTGGACTTGTTACGCAATGTGCTTACGCGTGTGGGAGAACCCCTTACAGACCGTGAAGTGGACAATTTCCTGGAAATCATGGGTATGAAAGACAGAGACTATATAGAATACGACGCTCTTTGCAGCCAATTAGCTAGTTATGTGTACGAGTGTTTGTAACAAACGAATCTTAATCGGAAGAGGAGGAGGAAGAGGAAGAAGACGAAGAGGAGGAGGAGGAAGTAAACACTTTACCCAAAATGTTCGACTTAATCTTATGGGGTCCGTGCTTTGGCTTCTTTGCTTTCTTCATTCCCTTCACTTTCACTTTCTAAAAACTGACACAACAGATACACTTTCTACAGCGCCACAAGAGCAAAATCCCTTTCTTACACCTGGAGGAAGAGTAACATAGCGCTTACATTTCTTACATATAATAGGTTGATTCTAAAGTCAACGATCCACAATCACACTTACGACTGGGTATCCAGGGGCAGGAGATGGATTTACAGGATAGGGAGGAGGAACGGGAGTAGGATTGCCTACTTTAAAGTGGAATAATGTGTATACTCGGCATAGGAACAGGCGCTGGTCTGGGCGGATAGGCAGGAGGAATTGGCGCTGGAGGCTGACTTCCTGGAGGCGTATATCCTGGAGGCATATAGGCTGGAGGAGGATAACCCTGAGTCGATGGAGGATAACCTTGAGTAGTGGGAGGATAACCCTGAGTCGATGGAGGATAACCCTGAGTAGTGGGAGGATTTCCATACGGGTTGCTGCTAGTGAATAGACATACGCAAGAACTACTATGGATTCTGCGGATAGCCTGGATACATGTAAAATTAATTATGAGCTTCAAGTATTATCGCGGGAATTCGGTTCTTCAAGTAAGTGTACTCAATTCTCTCGAACAAACAATCATAAGCAACATATTTTACACGATACAGCAGAGAATTTGTGAACATAGACCTCTATGGCTCCATCACACTCCTTGCGCTAACCAACTACACAACATTAGTTTATGGATCATTTTCGGATTCCTCGTAAACAATTAAGAGGAAACAAGGAAAACAGTCCAGCTATTTACGCTCTTCTTGACACACAAAGAGAGGTAGGTTGCTCTCTCTGTGTAACACTAAGAGCAAAATATACATAAGAGTGAAGCCTACCTATAACAGCACGGTTTGTAGAAAGCAAATAATGGTAGTAACAAAGGTGTTCAATAATTACTTTCCTTGATAATCATGGAATAGAGTCATTTTCGGTTCTAGCGCTCATTACCACCCTACGAAAACTTCCATGGATTGGTTAATAGTGCATGAACACAATGCATCATTTTATTTCCTATTTCATGGCGATTTTACTGTCTAATCTTTAATACTAATTCGAAAAATATATCCCCTTATTATTCGTTAATTTGTTTACTATATAGGGGCATATCCAACAATTATATGTCCCTTGAATTGTCGAACTATTGAACCAGTTTTTTCTTATAAAGATCATGTCTGGAGAAAAGAAGCAGAAGCCTGAAGATTTGCTTGCTAAGCTGCGTAAGATAGAGGATAATAAGCATTGCGCTAACTGTGGCGACTATGCGAAGCTCGGTCACACCAATGTGTGCGGTATCTTGTTTGCTGCCTACTTCTTATTTTTAGTTCCTTACAGCTCTTTCGTGTGCCACATGTGTAAATCTGCCCACCAGTCTTTCTCGCACAGAGTGAAGAGTGTTACCATGTCGACCTGGACTCTGAAGGAAGTGCGTGCTCTTTCTGAAAAGCACGGTGGAGGTAACAAGGCTTGCATCGCCAAGTGGCTGTCCCATGGAGATGTCGAGAAGTACAGACCTCACCCCGGCGATTCTCTTGATAAATACAAAAACTTCATTCGTCTCGCTTACGAGGAGAAGATGTTCATGGCGAAGGACGACGCTGAGGAAGAGCCCGCCGAGGAAGCCGAGGAGCAGGCTGAGGAGGCTCCTGCTGCCGCTGCCCCCGCTGAGGAGGAGGAGGACGTGTTCGACGAGGGTCCGAAGAAGAAGGCCGTGAAGAAGGCCGCTCCCAAGAAGGTGCAGCAGCAAGAGGAGGAGGAGGACGTGGACTTCGGTGACGAGGAGCCCGCTGCGGCCGAGGAGAAGCCGAAGAAGAAGGTGGTGAAGAAGGTGGTGAAGAAGGTCGCCAAGAAGCCTGCCGCGAAGGCGCCCAAGTCGCCTCAGGAGGACGATTTCCTGGGAATGAGCCAGCCTTCCCCTGTCCCGGATGCGAAGGCCACCTCCGCAGCTGACGACGTGAACAGCATGTTCGCGCCTGCGCCCGCCGCCTCGCCCGCCCAGGCCGCTGCGCCCGCGCAAGCGGCTGCCTCTCCTGCCCAGGCTCCTCAGGGCCAGCAGGGTCCGCAGGCGATGGCTGGAATGCCCGGCATGGCCGGCAACATGACCCCGCAGCAGTGGATGGCGTACCAGCAGCAGATGGCGTACTACCAGCAGATGGCCTATTACCAGATGGCCTATCAGCGCCAGATGCAGATGGCTCAGCAGGGACAGAAGTAAGGAGAGATTTTGCTATGGAGTGTTTGTGAACAAACGAAACGATTTGAACGAGACGGATGCACTAACCCAAACAAGAGGGAACAAACGGATGTTTAATCGGTCTTCACAACCTTGGAAATCTCCTGGCAGTACTTTTCAAGATACTGCTTGTAGAGACGGTCAAAAATCTTTTGCAGGAACTGCAGGAACTCAACGATCAAGGTGCAATCATCGAAGAAGGCAAAGAAGGCAAGGACCAAGCACTTGATCACCGTGTACGTAATGATAGAGTCCAACCATCCAGGCAGCATATGGACGCAAGCAAACAAAAACCAGAAACCTGCCCATTTCTTCTCAGTCTTCTTTTCTTCGTGCATGTCATTGATCGTCATGAAGAGAGACGGGATGAACACAAGATAGATGTAAAAGCCGCGGTTTCGGAAAAGAGTGTGCATAATACAGAACACTATTACAGAGAGGATCATAGTGATGTAGTGGAGAGGTACATGGATCTTTTCCTCCAGTTCCTTGAACTGCTCTATGAATTACAACCACGTTGAACAAATACTGCCGCTAGGCGTGCAACACTTGTAGAAGGACTCCACCTTATCCCAGTATTTCTTAATGTCTCCAGAGCTTACCATTCTGTACAGAACAAAATAGAAATTATTTGTTTTTATACATGAAGATATATGGGACCATCTTTTGCATATGGGTCATAAGTCAAGCGAGTTGTTGGGTCATGGACGTACACAAAACAGGAAAACAAATACACAGATTGGAGATGTCGAATGGCATCACTATCGTTTATACTGACCAATTCAATACTTTTCAAACAAACCGAACTTTAGACTCCATAGGTTGTTTCTTCTGTCATGGATTTACAGTATTACAAAAGGCTACTCATTTCAATAGTTGGAATCTATGCTGTATACTTAAATTATGGGTTGGTGCAAGAACGAATGTTGGAGTCGTTTTGAGCGATCACGTTGTAGATATCGTTATGTAAGTCCTGACGGAAGTCGTTTCGAATACACCTCTGTTCTTCTTCTTCTCCAGTGCTCGATCAACTTAGCGATTGCATTTGCCAGTTTTTTTCTGTTTCGTTCGTGACAACTAGGTGATCGGATCTTTGGGAAGCCCACGAAGCCGTTTTCAACCCAAACTCCCAAAAAGGAGCTTATTGGGCGAGCGGTTTTAGTTAGAAACCATGGCATGGAGTAGAGATGGCTTTTCTTTTCAATGGAAGGGAGGAATGCACAATCCAAGATATTTCCTTCGAGGGAGGGCTGGCGAGAATGTCTTTTCGACTCAGGGACGGCGAAACTCTAGAGCGAACCATCCGAAACGATGAGGTCGATTTCGTTTGTATGGTCGATCGTAGGACATCCGTTTTGCTCCCGATGCTTTGTCCCACTACCGCATCTACGGCATCTGCTACACGCTGGCCATGATATTTTCGAACAGCTCTCTGAAGCATGTGAACTACCCCACGCAGGTCCTCGGCAAATCCTGCAAAATGATTCCTGTGCTCCTCGCTGGAACGCTCTTCGGAAGTAGAGTTAGCCCCCTCCGTCCACTCTAGCACGTACATACTCGCTCCGGAAATACATCAGCGTCTTTATCATCACCGCCGGAATCGTTCGTAGGCATCATGGAGCCATGATCCCATCTAGTGTTCCAAATGATGGGGTCCTCCAAGAAGATCAGCCAGCGGTCGAACAGCGCTTTCGGCCTGATTCTTCTCTTCTTATCGCTCTGTATGGACGGAGTCTGCGGCATGCAGCAGGACGTTGTGGTTCCTCAATTCAAGCCTTCGTCGCTGCGGCTCCAGGTCATGCTCAACATTTACGGGATGGGCGTATCCGCGGTCACCGCGATCTTGAAAGGGGAATTGGTGCCTGGAGTGGAGTTTCTGGTGAGGAACAAGCAATGTCTGTGGGTGAGGGACGAGAGGAGGCTTGAAGGGTAGTATGCGGTGCAGTTTGGGTTGTGCTCGTCGGTGGGACAGATGTTTATACTATATACGGTGCGACATTTTCCTCCGTTGGTGTTGTCCACGATAACGACGACAAGGAAGTTTTTTAGTATTTTGATTTCTGTTTTGTTTATGGGCAATGATATTAATAAATATCAAGTCGGTTTGGGGAATGGATGTGAAGTGTAGTGGATCGGTGTGTTTCTTGTGTTCTTCGGAATTATGTTCGATAAGGTAAAGGGGCAGCAGCAGAAAAGCCATGGAAATTGAATCATTTGATGTGTTTGTTAGAAATCGGGCTTATTTCTGGAATGATAACATGCCATCATTTGGTAGATTTAGAATGAGTAAGCTTAGATTATATGTAAATCGGTTTTTCAACATACTTCAGCTGGCAGCTATTTATGTTTACATCAATGCCTACTGTCTATAGTTCCTTTTCTTGTATCATTTTATCATTTAGCTATGCCTTCTATGTTATGATTACGGGACATGGTAATATAGGAAATCTTTTAAGAACGGTTTTCTTATTGGATGGTTATTGACTGTAGCTGGCTTCCTCCTTGGGACCTCAATATACATGTGTAAAGGGATCTGAAAAGATTCGAGGAGGAAAGACTATGTATTTTGTCAATCATCGCTCCTGGGCAGACTTCTTTGTCGATGGGTGAGAGAACACCGTTTTTATGACTCGCAGAGATATGATCACTGGCTGCAGCTACTTATCTCGAATGGCAGTTATTTTTGCCTTCCCGTCCGCCTGTTTATGCGGATATCTGAACCAATTCATTTGGTTCTTCAAGAGGAAGCGAGGCATTAGCCGCGAATGGTTCACCCACTTTTTCGATGAGAATTGGAAGGCTCGGTAGTGTTTTGCATATGGACTGACGCACAGCCCTGATCACGGAGTGATCGTGTATCCAGAGGGCCACCGCTTTAAGGGCGAGGGAACTCTACAGCTGAAAACTGGAGTGATGGAGGTGGCTTATAATCTGAAAGTTCCTTGCCAGATTGTGCTGAGCAATGGAAAAGAGAACATCATGGACGAGATCAGCCTCAAGATTAACCGGAACGTGATCTTGACGATTTGCGTATCGAAGGTGTTGGATCCGACCAAGTTCGCTACCAAGGAGGAATGGTTCGACTATGTGAAAGCGGAATGGGAAGCGACGTATACCAAGCTTCACTCCTCCGAAACGGACGGACGACTGTTCGTTGGATCCCTGCCCGGAGTCTTGGAGAAGGGTACCGGGTTGGAGACTGCGCCGCCCCACCGAAGACAGACTGCGATCTTGTACACGCTGGCTGTGGTATCTGTCGTTGTTGCTCTGATCGCACTGTGTTGGTTGCGTGTTTGTTACAAACAGAAGAGATTCGAAACTGATCGCGAATCCATTGCTCGCGCTGTCGCTGCTCCGCTTCCCGTTTGCGTCGTTGGTATTTCGCGATGATGCGACGGAGCCGTTTCTCTCCGAATTTCTGGATGAGTCGCTCGCGTTCCTTGGTGATTTGCGGATCCTCTGTGGAGTCCGCATCGCCATTGTGAGGAGTGTGCGTGATCTTAAGCGGCCTACATCGGATCCCATCATCCCAAACACACATACATATCGTCCTCCGCGCCAATACCGAGACGATTGTTCTTCAATCGTGTGGGGATCGGCTCCAATCGCCCTTTCCCATTCTCGCCCAGTCCTTCGCCCTCCTTCCAGCCCATCGACATCATCCACTTGGCTGCTGTGGAGTCTGGGTGGATGAAGCTGTTGATATAAAGATGGTCTTCTTGCTTTCGTCTAAGTTGGTGGCTGATTGACCTTTCATGATGGCACCAGTCTTCTTGAAGCAGAGGGATTTTGCACAAATCGCAATACAAAGAGCCGTCCTCAAGAAAGCGCGGACTGCACTCTGGGCACGAGCAATGATTTACCTTAAACTCGGGAAAAGACACTTCGACCACTTTCTCTTGATCTGCACTTGCCTCGTGGGCTTTTTCGATTTCGCGGATTCGTTCCAATAGCTTGGCTGCCTGCTCGTCTTCACTTGGGTCTTTTTCTCTTTTGAAATCGTGCTTTTGGACTTCGCCCATTCCGATTTCGCCATAAATACTAGTATATATAGGAGTTACAGTTTTCTCATCTCTTTGCAATGAGGGGTGTTGACATTGAGATGATTCCGATTGCTTAACGAATACTTTACGTCGAAAAACATCTCTCATGTAATCAACACAAAACGGTCGATAAGGAATCGAAGAAACATCGTCCCTTTCTTGCTGCTCCTTCTCGAGTTTCGAAGCAAGCCTTTTGCTGTTCAATTTGAAAGCGAATAAGAACAATAAAGGATGCTGATTTTCGTAAAAATACTTGTTCGATTTTTATCAAAATGATAGAAAAATCGACACTAGATAGCTCTCTATTGCCTGACTGTGGCTATAAAGTGTCCTTGTACAACATACCCAAGTTCTTTAATTTGGTATTTCTGGCAGCGTAAAATCATCGTATAGGAGTCGTTTAAGCGAAATGACTGTAAAGATATTAAAATTAATCGGACAGAATATGTGATCCAAATCGTTTCTTGTGAGATCTAGGCAAAAAATTCTGACAACCGCGTCTATTTCTTTGTGGATAATTATCGTTCAGGTATGTGAAGAGATTGACTCATTCCCAGCTCTGCGTCTTGTAGAGCTCTTAAACCTTAGTGTAATTAAGGGTAAAATAGTTTCGGCCCTAATCGTACTTCCAGATTCGGAGTTAAAGAAGGAAAAGCCTCGAACTGTGTGTGTAACTGGATTTCCTGCTAAACTCAATCCGGATGATCTTATTAAATGGATATACAATGTTGGAAATATAGAACGCTATTGGCTTGAGGTGGATGATCGTGGCAACCGCCTAAGCTTGGTAATGAATTCCGAATCTGCCTGCAATGACCTTGTGGATTTGATTAGTTCGTATCCATTCGGGGATGTGATTCTGACAGCCTCAAAGAAAGCAATGTATAACTGTTGCATAAAGAACATCCCGCTGTCTTGGAACGAAAGCAAGCTTCTTCAGTACTGCAAGAGGTTTGGCAAGATCAATGCGAGTATAATGACGAAGGTGAAGAAGTCCTCGATGGCTTCCGTGGAGTTTTCCTCCATTCGGGAATGCGCCAAGGCGATTTCATGTAATAATGACGAGGAAAAGGTGGAAAAGGAGGAGGATCTGAACGGTAGAATCCCCAAAAACTGGTGTTTGAGCGATATTATTCTCCGGAAGAATGGAAGGAAAAGAAGAAGCAAGAAAAGAAAGAGGCCATGTTAAAGAGCGGCGTTAAGGGAGGAGGAGCAACAGCAGCAGCAACAACAACAACACGAGGAGGAAGAGGAGGAAAAGGAGCAGTGACAGCAGCAGCGACACGAGGAGGAAGAGGAGGAGGAGGAGGAACAAATCCAATTGCAAAGCGAGGCGGACGAGGAGGGACAAATCAAACTGCGCATCGTGGAGGAGGAAGAGGAGGAATAACTCGAAGAGGAAGAAGTGGAAGCGAAGTTCGGAAAGAAATACCCGAAAGAACGAATCAGAAGAAGGTGAAATTCGAAGAAAGGAGTGAAGAAGAATACGAGGAAAAGGATATTGAATATAGTGAGAATGATGATGATGATGATGATGATGATGATGAAAGTGTTGATCTGGACGTTGGTTACGTTACCAGCGACGATGACGATAATGACGATGATAACGATGATGACAACGAAAGTGATGATTCGACTCCTAACGATACTTACGATTTCGATAACACAGATCTCTTGAGCTATTTTGGAAATGAACTCCACGATCGGTTGATCTTAGGCGAGGACGCAGAGAATATGGATTTCTTAAATGAAGAGATTTATATGACATCGTCGAGATCCACTGAGAAGAAGAAGAAGGAGAAGAAGAAAGGGGAGGAAGAGGAGAATCAAACTGTGAAGAGAAGACAAGAGGAGGTAGCGTCAACGAAAGAAAGACCTTCCTACCCATTCAGTGTCTTGCCTGTCTCTTATTCAGATAATGCAGACACGATCGACTATTTGGGCTTCTCGTCGCAGCTTATGGATGTAAAAAACCAGTCTCTAGACTTGGACGAATTACTGAAATAACACTAAAGAAATACCAGTCTTTCCATTTTCTGCAAGTGTACGATGGACCTATGCTAGCAAAGAACTAGGTATCTCTTAACAAATGATATAACTAAAGTAATTGAAATATATATTGTTTACTGAAATAAGCCCAAATTTTGGAACTCCACAGCGTTTTCAATTTGCTTAAAATGCCAAATACACAGGATGCGAAGCTCGAACAAATTAATCTGTTTTTAGCTGGTGGCATAACAGAGCTTCTGAAGGATCCAAAGTGTAAACTCTACTTTGAGAGTAATGCCGAAGCGCACATGGAGGGGAAAACTCGAAAGTCGTGCATGGTGTATATTATCGGCGATTCTATTCTCATCTGCCGCCCTCGCAAGTATGGCAAGAAGTTCTATGTCAAGTATCAATTTGCAGTGAGTAGAGTTCGTGTTTGTGAGGAGTATTCGGGAAAGGATAAAGAAATCCATTCGTCTTCTCCTGACATTCCTCTTTTGCTATCTTATCGCAGTCGCCTGAATGCCATAACGTACTATTATATATGGTTGTTTCATGTGGGGTGGTTAATCTGTAGGTTGCCGAGTTGCTCTTTGAATTCTACATTTTTGAACTCTGTTGAGGAGTGCTATGAAGACTTTGTAAACCGAGATGCGATACACACGTTTTGGCATCCTTTCCCACGTCCCCTGTTCTTTTCGTACCACAACGAGCTGATGCAGCGGTACTCCACAGTCGAAGTAAGCAACGCTGGTTCTCCGGATGTGAATGGCATTTACTATCCTGTGGGTTGGCAAAACAAGTCTTTTGTGTGGAAAAACGACCAGAACATCTTCATCTCCCGCGAACTCGTCGACAACCAGCTCGGCTGGATCTTCGGGAACATTACCCTCGTCTACTACGGAATCTGCACGAACTCCCTTTTTCTCCCTTCAGACGCAGACTGGGTCTGCTACAGCGGCAAGCCGCCCTGCCCCTACGTCGTGTGCCACCAAGCGGGCTCCGGAATGGCTTCCTTCGAGCTGCAAAACCTCGCCAAAACGGGCGTTTCCGCGGTCACGTGGACGCCCTCGCTGACCAACCAGTTTCTGTATGTCGAGAGCGCGAGAGGCGATGGGTCGTAGACACAGCCTGTGCGAGGACCTCTACTTCTCGGAGCAGAACTACAACCGCTCGCTGCGCTCCGTCCGCCGCGTGATGTTCGCGGGAATCAAGGACTTTTTGCAGAAGCAGCAGGCCGCCTCGCCGGACGCGGACGACTCCAAATCGATCGACAAGCGGCACAGTCGTAGGAGGCCCGGGATCTCTCCCTCACCAGCAGTCTCCGGGACGTTGTCGTCGTTCTTCCGGCGCTCTTCGGGGTGGTCCAGCTCGGGCGATTTCTCACCCTACGCGTCGCTGAGGTCGCCCAGCGAGCTCTCCACGCCCATCGACGCCACGCTGAGCGAGATCGCCGCGGTCGACGCCTGCTTCGAGACGCTCGTGGGGGTGAGCGACGCGTTCCTCGCGGGAATCGAGCGGAACGTGGAGGGCGCGGAGTCGGGGGAGGAGGAAATCGCGCGGCTGGCGGCGCTGTGCGTGGAACTGCAGGGCGGGTTGGAGGCCTACGCGGACTACGCCGAGGAGCTCGCGAAGATGAACCAGCTGCTGCGCGATTGCGTCGAAAATGACGCGTTGCGGAGATGGGTCGGCGTGGGAACCGCGGGGATTCTGCGATGTAGACGCTGTCGGATCGCGTGGAATTGAGCGGAGATTCCCTCGAATGCTGCTTGTATCTCCCCGCGGAAGTCGAAACCGGGATGCGACGTAACGCCTAGCGAATCATGAGCTATGAATCCACTCTCGGGAACTGTGTTCCGCACCTCTCGGAACACAGTCAGTCCCTCACGCTCGCTCACAAAGCCTACAAGCTCGTTCAGTCCCTCTACGATCGGGTTTCCCCAGTTTCCCCTTTTGAGCGTGCAGGTGAAGTGTACGATCTACCAGCTCCAGCAGTCGCCGCCCCTGGCTCCCGCCATCGCGCTCTCCGTCCCGCTCTCCATCCTCTGGCGCCAGGGCAACCGTCTCTACGGGAGTTTCAGCGCGTGGATGGGGTACAAGGCGGAGATCGAGGCGGTGCACACGACGACGGGCGTGCAGGGCCGTCTGTTCCTGTTCTCGCAGTTCGCGTTGTTCGCGGTTCCGAACGTGTATCGCCGCAGCAACGAGTTCGTGGTGGTGCTCCGCCTCCTCACCGACCTTCTCTCCATCGAGCCCTCCTCTCTCGAGCCCTCCCGCGTCCTCGGGCTCGCGCTGCCCATCGACACTCCCGCGGGGATCCGCACGGAGCACTTCCTGGTGATGTGGGCAAAGCCGAGACCCGGGTGATGCGTAGCTTCGAGAACTCGTCGGATAAAGTGTCCTGCGAGAGCACGCTGGCCATGCTGAAGCGCGAAGCCATGAAGAAAGTGCGCGCCAGCGACGAGGCGGGCAGCACCGTGCAGGACAAGGCGCTCGAGGCCGCGCTGGACCCCGCCGTGTCGCCGTTCGCGGACCCGAAAGACACGCTCGCCATGCAGAGGTGGAGCCGCGGGGAAGGGCTGACCGGTAGATTGGCGGTGTACCGGGAGTTCCTGGCGACGGAGCTGTCGTACATCCGGGATCTGTCGACGCTGCACGACGTGTATGAAACGCCCTTTTTGAATATGCTGGATCGGAAGAACGGACTGCTGGATCGAGCCGAGATCCGAACGATTTTTTGCAACTATCCGGAGATCCAGCAGATCCACCAGGCTTTTTATGACGCCGTCAAGGCGCAGATCCACGAGGTTCGGCTCTCGCAGCTGCTTTCGCGGGAGTTTCTTCGCACGGCGAATCAGTTTCACTTGTACTCGAAGTATTTTGCGGCGTATGAGCGCGCGTTGCAGCTTTTGAATCGGTTGTTTCGCGAACGGAGCGGATTGGAGGACTATGTGTTTTTGTTGTCGAGAGATCCCCGCGCACAGGGACTCGATCTGTTCAGTTTCCTGATTAAACCGATTCAGGTAGGCTTCGTTTGCCGGCAAATTTTGAATGAATGAATTGAATGAATTGAATGAATTGAATGAATTGAATGAATTGAATGAATTGAATGAATTGAATGAATTGAATGAATTGAATGAATGAATGAATTGAATGAATGAATGAATTGAATGAATGAATGAATGATTGAATTGAATGAATCATCGATTGAATCCAATAAATAACTCAATTGATTGAATCATCCATTAATTCACTCATTGAATGTTTTTTCTAATTGTTTGCGTAGCGAATCTGCAAGTATCCGCTGTTCTTTAACCGATTACTATCGATTATGGAGGAGAATCATCCCTTTCGCAGTGACGTGAGTGCGCTGAACGATCGAATCGTGGAAATTGTGACACGCGTACGCGATGGAGCGACATGCGATCTAGATTAACGAACATATGGCGGAAGCCGAGAATTATAATGCGCTGCTGTCGATTTGTCTGGGAATCTCGCCGCCGCAGAACGATTTGGTCGACGCGGGACGGCGATTGGTGTCATGCATGGAGTGTCGTATTGAAGTGAGTCGGAAGATCAAAAAGGCGGCGAATTTGATTTTGCTTAGCGATGTGATTCTCATTACACAGGTAGAAGCGCGAGTTGGTTGCCATGTAGAATACACATTCGCTCTTCTCAAAGCCAACGGTGCAGCTAATCGATCGGTTGGAAATTAAAGATTATTGTGTGGCGTTTCATAGCGCAAACCCCACCTCGACGAATTTTGACTTGGTCCCATTAGAATCGCTAGCTACGGCTCGCAAGAGTCGAATTTCGGTCTTCTGCCAGACGCCGCAAGATCGAGAATACTTTATCAAGGAGTTCTATCAGTTGAAAGATGGAACGAGTATGGGGATCAATTCCTCGGAAGTCTATCATTTAAAGAATGTGCGTTCTGTTTTGCGAAACACGTAGTGTGATTTAGTGCAATGTTTGAGAGAAAACAAGTTATGGCGGTGGGGATCCGACTTTGTACTGTGAAAGTATCACCAACAGATTCCACCAAGCCCCTATTCGAACAATCAACTCTTTATTCCTCTATTCTTAGGTAGTAGAAAAACAGTCAGATGGTAGGAATTGGTTTTGTGTGTCAGTTGGAATGGTGAGATGTTTGGAGTTGGGTAATTCAGTGGTCGCTTGAGGTCGGGGGAGGAATACCTAACCAATGTATAGGGCAAGCGAACAAAGAAGGTTGGAATTTGCGGAAAGTATGGAACGCGCTACGGTTCTTCTCTGCGTAAGATTGTGAAGAAGATTGAGATCAGCCAGCACGGAACGTATTTGCTTTCTTGATTTGTGCGTAATTCACAGGTATACGTGCGCTTTCTGCGGAAAGAACACTGTGAAGCGTTCTTGCGTCGGCATCTGGGAGTGCAAGAAGTGCAAGAAGGTGGTTGCTGGAGGAGCTTGGTCCATTTCGACTCCTACGGCTCTCACGGTGCGTTCTTCGATTCAGAGACTTCGCCGTTCGAAGATTGAAGCCTAATCTCTCTGCTGTCTGAGAATAGTGTCATTTTGTTACATTCTGATTGTTTGTTGAGAAAATCAGATTTGCTGTTTAAATCCTACAATTCTGTTGGGAGGACTTTCTAGACAAAGGTGAACAATGCAGAACAAATCACAGGGTGCCAATGCGAAGGAAAGTCGAAGTTGTCCGTATTTAGATACTGTGGATCGGAAAGTGCTGGACTTTGATTTAGAAAAGGTAACGGTATAGTCAGAGTCACTAAGGCGTAGGAATGCTCGGTAACACTTAGTCACAAAAACGTATATGTGTGTTTGGTCTGTGGAGTCTATTTGCAAGTATTGGCACAATGCCCATTCTCAATAATAGGGGAGAGCCGAAAATACGCCAGTATACTTCCATTCGATGCAAGAAGACCACCATGTATTTCTGAATACCGAAACCAAAAAGTTCTATTGCCTTCCCGACAACTATGAGATCGTGGACCACTCTCTGGAAGATATTAAGATGGCATTGGATCCAGAGTTCACTCCAGAATCGATAAAGAAGCTGGATAGCAACACGATGCATTATCGTGTTCCTACAGGAGATGAATATCTGCCCGGTGAAATGGGAATGAACGTAGTTGATAATGCCGACTACGTAAACGTGGTTGTGCAAGCCCTTTCCCATGTCACCCCAATCCGTGACTTTTTCTTGATTCCTGCGAACTATTCGTACACATCCAACCCATTAGTGCATTCTTTCGGTGTACTGATCCGCAAACTCTGGTCACACACTCGATTCAAGTGCAATGTGACTCCCTACGAAGTATTTTTGTTAATTTTATTATCTCATTCTCCAGTTTTTGAACGAAGTCACGCGCAGCAGCAACGAGAAGTTCACCGTGAAGGAGCGTCGCGATGCATCGGAATTTCTCTGCTGGCTCCTGAATTCGCTTCATACGGCGCTGAAAGACAAAGAGCACAGTTATCTCGCGCATTCCCTCTTATTTTAGAGACCACCGTGATCGATCGCTGCTTCAAAGGCCGCATTGAAGTCACTCGCAGAACCTACAAATTAGTGGGGATTTCTGGATTCCAAAAATCTAGTCGAATTCCAGTAAGCGCGTGGAAGTGGCCGCCAACGACGGCGGCGTGCACATCGACGTTTCCCCGTCCGCGGATCAGCGCAATTACACGGACTACGACGTAGCAAATTTTGGCGGGGAACGAAGCCAAGGTGGAAACCGCGGTGAAGCAACAGGACTACTGGATGCTGTCGCTGGACCTGCCCCCGATTCCGCTGTTTCGGAACAGTAACAACGACAGCGTGGTGAACAAAGTTGAATTTTCGCGGGAAATCGAGTGTAGTTGCCGCTCTATTCGCTCCTCAAGAAGTTCGACGGCGAGACGCCCACCAAAGAGATCTGGGAGAACGCGGAGAAGACCTACCGGATCGTGAAGCTGCCGCGGTATTTGATCTTCGCGATCCACCGATTCCAGAAAAACGAGTTTTTTTTCGAGAAAAACACGTCGATCGTGCAGTTCCCCATTCGAAACATGGAGATGCGACACTTCTTCTTCCCGCCGCGGCGCGCTGCCACGGTCGAGGTCGTGAGGTCGATGAGTGCGACGCCGCTGCGAGCGTTTATCACGCAGAACGGAGAAGAATGCGTAATGATGTCATGGCGTGAATGAGCGGTAGAATGGGGAAACAGGGGAAGCGCTGAGAGAGCATGCGATCCGAATGGTGGAAAAAGGGGAAACGTGGTTACCGTGGATGGGATCTACGAAGTTCGATTTGGTGGCGAACATTTGTCATGACGTGGATTTAGAAGAAGATCGGGAGAAGAAGAAGAGAAACCCGCTGTTGGAGAACCCGGTGACCAAGGGGTCGTATCGAATCCACATGAAAAACAATGCGGATGATGAATGGTACGAGATCCAGGAATTGGTCGTGAAACCCACACGAGCGGAGTTGGTTATGTTGTCGGAGAGTAGTATTCTTGTGTTCGAAAGGAAAGATTGAGTGGGATGTTTGTTTTAGTTAACGTGGTGGGATGAAGGAGAATGCGAGTTTGAATAGGGATAAAGGCTGTATGTTTGAATAGAGAATATTGATAAATCTCATGTTAATATGAGTAAAGATGGATAATCCTATCAGCGACTATGGCTTTTGTTTGATCTTCATAGTCATTCGGTTTCGCCCTCTCCATCACCATTTTCACGATTTAATATTCTTATATTTATATTCAACAAACAACAAATCATGAAGATAGAACTAACAAGTGTCGGAAAATAGCAATAAGGTTACTGAGGCCAAACACGAAGCCCTACACATCACTCTTTCTATATATGCTCGCTCCTACTTCGTCCGCAGATTCGTATTTTCCAGAAAAATTCCCATTTCCAAAATCAATGAGATGCACCTTCACACACGAACTCGCCTCTGCGCTCCGTGTGAGTAAAACGCTGGAGGACCAGAACCTCCAGTTGCACTGTCGCACATAAATTCGCAGCTCGCATAATTGGTCGATCGCGCTGCGAAGAAGGGCGGGTTGGAGGCGGTTGTCCTTATAGAAGAAAGAAGAGAGCGCCTCTTCGATCGTTTCGGGGGAGAATTGTTTACCCCACGCTTTGTTGTGAATGGTCCATTCATGTGTAGACAAGTCGTACATCTAGAATCAAGGATAGCCGCTATGATTCACTCGAAGTCCACAAAGTCGGATTCCTATGCTTCCCGTTGTAGTTTGCTTACAGGTAAGTTGATGGCGAGCGATCTTAATTGGAGATGCTTTATCCCCTAAAAATGATTTAACAAGATTCGTTTGTACAGTAGGTTTGGGTTCCAAGCTTTACATCCAGTTGACAACAATAAGTGAACTCAGTTTCGAGATCTTTTAAAAGAATAAAATGGCTACGTTCAAACAAAGTTATTGCGAGTACCTGTGATAATTTTCGCTTTCGTCAGATTCACTTCCATGCAGATCATCCTTAAATACAGAAGCGGTTATATTCTTTGTATTGTGAATATCCTTAATGTTAAAATAAACAAACGCAAAAACCTCTTCATTACATGATCCATAATAGGGTGTGAAGAACTTCAAAATAGGTAAATTGCTGGAGTAGGCACTTTCGTAGCACTCAATTTCATTTAGTCTACATCGTTTTGCGATCTGGTCTTCATTTTGAAATCAACGAATATACCTTTCCATCCGCTAATTTGAACATCTTGCTATGTCCCGAAATCAAACCCATAGACGCTCCATCCATCCTCCGCAAAAATAATAATAATCTGAAGAAAAACCGTAAATATAAATATATGTTCAGTACAAATATAGCGACATTTAATAAACAGTTGCTAAAAACCTTTATAACTATTATAACTAGTATCAGTAATTAATGAGAAATTATTTTACGGCAAAATGAGGACTATTGTGTGTCATTGATCTGTATGTTGATAATGCAGGATAGGATTATTGAATGTGTTGCCAGTATGTCGTTTGCTTCAAAAAATATCTGTGTCACCAATCAATGAGGTGGTCTTATTGTGTGTTTTGGCATGGCAATCTGTGCAACTATTTCTGCTATTGCCTATCATGGAGTTAGAAGTGATATGGGCTTGTGTTTCGTCCGGAACAAGTAGTAAACCTTTTTAGAAATTCGAAATAAAGAGAAATACGGATGATTGGATATGTGATAAAAGGAATGGAATAGGTATTGCGAATAAAAACGGACAGTACAATGCAAAATGGATAGGGCTTCTCTAAGCTCATAAATATCCAAAGAATGATTGATTGCTATTCCCCAAAAAACGGATCCAGCATATTTTCACATAAAACAATGGATACTCCATTCTATTTTGCATCTAATAGGAACACATTCAATCCACAATACACACCACCATTCCTTGTACACATTCATTTGTTAAGCACAACAAAAACCTACTCCATATGTTCAAAAAGCTTCATCGAGTCAAAATATGCACACAACACCTATCGGTACTTGTCATACACTGTAAGACACTCTCTTTTGCAATCACCTTGGTTTTCATTATTCCCGCGGAACATTTCCTATTTCTTATTCCTTTCTCTGTAAATAAAAATGAAGGTTTGACGTTCCCAATCTCTTTTAATTCTGAAGGTATCCGAACAAAACAGCGGGAAGCAGAAGTCTCGTCGTATTGTAGCACATTCACATATTAAAGGACTCGGATTGGATGAGAGCGGAAAGGCCATCCCTATCGATTCGGGTTTAGTGGGTCAGGAGAAGGCGCGTGAGGTAGGCGATTTATTTCAAGTTGCTGAGCACTGCAGGCTGCAGGTATGGTCGTGGACATGATCAATTTGAAAAAAATGGCCGGTCGTGCTCTTCTTTTGGCAGGACCTCCCGGCACAGGTAAAACGGCTCTGGCGATAGCAATTTCGCACCAGCTCGGTCCTAAAGTATACGAGCCATCTAAATTCGACGCGTAGGTCCCATTTTGCCCGATGAGCGCGTCTGAAGTGTATTCGAGCGAGGTAAAGAAGACAGAGATCCTAATGGAGAACTTCCGCCGTGCGATCGGTCTTCGCATCCGCGAGACGAAGGAGGTCTACGAGGGCGAAGTGACTCTGCTGACTCCGGAAGAAGCGGAAGACCCGCTCGGAGGCTATGGCAAGACGATCAGCCACGTGGTGATCGGCCTGAAAGCGTCGAAGGGGAGCAAGCAGCTGCGCCTGGACGCGAGTCTGTTCGAGAACATCGAGAAGGAGAAGGTGCAGGTGGGCGACGTGATCTACATCGAAGCCAACAGCGGCGTGATCAAGCGCGTGGGCCGCTCCGACGCGTACGCGAGCGAGTACGACCTGGAGGCGGACGAGTACGTGCCTCTTCCGAAAGGAGAAGTGTTCAAGAAGAAGGAAGTGGTGCAGAACGTGACGCTGCACGATCTGGACATGGCGAACGCGCAGCCGCAGGGCAGCCACGATCTCGCGGGGCTGATGAACCAGCTTGTGCGGCAGCGCAAGACGGAGATCACGGAGAAGCTGCGCGAGGAGGTGAACCGGATGGTGAACAAGTACATCGAGGACGGCGTGGCGGAGCTGGTGCCCGGCGTTCTGTTCATCGACGAGGTGCACATGCTGGACATCGAGTGCTTCACCTACCTCAACCGCGCGCTGGAGGCCGCCTTCGCGCCCGTCGTGATCTTCGCCACCAACTGCGGAATCTCCACGGTGAAGTCGGGGAAACGGGGAAGCGTGAGGCGTAGAGGGACGGACATCGTGTCTCCGCACGGAATCCCGCGGGACTTGCTGGACCGGTCGCTGATCATTCGGACGGTGAACTACAGCGTGAAGGAAATGATCACGATCCTGTCGATCCGCGCGGTCACGGAGGGAATCGAGCTGCAGGACGAGGCGCTGGCCGAGCTGGGAATCATCGCGGCGCGGACGTCGCTGCGCTACGCGACGCAGCTGCTGACCCCCGCGAAGATTATAGCGGAGAGCAACGAGAGAAAGGTGATTCAATATCCTTGAGGTGATGGAATGGGAATGGAATGAATGGGTGAGTGAATGGGTGAAAGGGTTTGATCGGGTTTTGATCGGGTGATTTGTTGAGTGATTTGTTGATTCATTGAATTGTGAATTCATTCATTCATTCACTCATTCATTCATTTATCGACTTTTGGGGGACTTAACGTGCACGCTGAGCGATGTGAAGGAGGCGGATGATCTGTTCCTGGATTCGAAGCGATCGGCGAAGCGGCTGACGGAGAACAAAGAAAAATATCTTCAGTGCTCTGTTTGTAACAAACATAACATGAGGTAAATGAACGCAGCTACTTGTCTTCCGTGATCCAGTCTTCCATAGGATCGCTTCCAACTCTCTACAAATAAACGACACAACAAATAAAATCCACCTTGTAACCCCAGCGAGGTCGCCATTCCTTTGCATCTTTGTCGTACACCATTCGTTCTCTCTTATGTTTCTTGATTCCGTTTTTGCGAGCAAACTTCTCCCACTTTGTCTCCTCCTTCTTCGGAATGGGCTTTTCTCGAGGAATTCGGCTCACACGCGCCGGAAGAGTGGCCTAGACGTGATACAAAGTTAAAAATTGCATACGACCGGACCTACGTCCGTGTTTTCTGTGGGAAGTTCAAACAAGTGGTTGATAAGAAACTGGGTGTTATCACGCGTTACCTTCAGCAAATAGTCCTCCTTATTCGCATTAAACTCCTAGAAAGTCAGAAAAACGACTTCCAGCGAGCCTACCTCCATATCGACCTGGTGGTTGTCTGTAGCTTCCAAGTTACCCACATCATAATCTAAATCATCTCTCTTTCCAGGGATGTCAGCCCCAGGTTTCTTGAAGGCTATGAAATCAGCTCCAATTCGTGTATTCTACTATCGGGCAATAACTCTTCGGCCTTAAGAATCGCAGACATAAAATCAAATAAGCTAGGCCAAATTTGGTGAGAAAATCGCACGGGCAAAAAGAGGACTTGGTTTAGGATAACTCATCTAGCCTACGAAATCGAATTTTTATTTGCAAGATGGGTTCTAGCTCAGACGACGAAAGCCATGAAGTACAAGTTGACGAGATAGAAGAGATGAGTGTGGGTTCAGACGCAGAGCTTCTGGAAGACACTGAAAAGGGACCAAAATGGAACCATAAAGAGTCCAAAAAGAAGAAGAGAAGCTATGACCCACGATATGCGGTGCCAACCTATGAAGAGAAGCAAATGATGCGAAATGCAGACATGGATATCGAGATGTCTCTGTTGGAAGTGGAGGTATGTTTGTTTGTTTGTTCGTTGGCTGTGCCTTGTGACAGTGTCTCATCCGATACGTAGGCTGCTGAGTTTGTCAAGACTCTTTCGCTCCCTCACAAGTGTGAGGGCAAAATAAAGTCCTTTATCAAGAAAGTGGAAGATTTCTTGCAGCAACTCCCCGAGAAGGACGTACTTGTGTTCTACAAATTAGACTCAAGCACAGATCACACTTGACGATGTCGACAAGGAAAGTACGTTCATTCACACCATCCCAGGCCATACCGCCCCTCTCCGCATCCATTTCTGCAAGCCCGACTCGATCAGCGTCCTCGAGACCTACGACCAGCTCAACCAGTCGTCCACTCCGATGTACATCGACATGTACCTGGTTCTCAACACCGTATTTCCTTTTTTTAAAAAAGTAATTTCTCACCCTCAGCGATCCTTCGCCCCCACCGACTTCCAGAACTGGACCTACCTCAACAAGCGCTCGCTCTACCTCGCCGCGCTTTTCCCGCTTTTATCGAGGGCGTTTCCCTCGCTTTCCCTCCACTTCGCCTGGCTCCACGGCGACTTCGACAAGCCGCTTCTCCAGCTCGCGCTCCCGGCCTCCGTCTGCGCGCACCGCTGTTTCCTCCGCCTCCTCCCGGCGCTTCCCGCCACCTTCTTCCCCGCGGCCAAGCTCGCTCCCTCCAAAACCAACGTCCGCGTACCGGGCGTTTCCCCCGCGGGACCCACCTGGTTCTACAATTCCACCGTTCTGGAGGACCTCCTGTTTCCCCATTACGTCGCCTGGCTTCGCCGCGCCGCGCTGCGCGCCCCCGCGCTGAGAACCGCGGGGAACCTCGTCCAAGTGGAGAAACCGTGGAACCCTCACGCGTAGCACTGGATAACCGCGGGAGGCCTGGACCCGCACTTCGACGGTTTCATCGGCGCGCTGCTGCTGGCGGCGATGGTGGAAACCGGGGAAATGGGGGCGCAGCTTTCCCCGTGGCAAATGTTCGGCGCCTTCCTCGCCTTCCTGGGTAGGAGAACCGCGGGACTCCCATCTAGCGCGCTCCGCGATGGACGAAACGCCCTTCGTGTTCCGGTCCGCGGGGGAGGCGGCGATCCCCGCGGTTGCGGGGCTGGACTGCATGCAGCTGGTGGACGGGAGTTTCGGCTTCGTGGCGACCTACCGGATCCCCGCGGAGAGCGCGCGGGAGATCATCGCGCACGCGAAGACGTCGCTGGCGCTGTTCCATTCCCGCGGGGACAGCCGGACGCTCCCGCGGTTAGTGGGGCGGCCGCCGTTTTTGGGCGGGAAATACGACGTGGCGCTTCGCTTGGCGCTCGCCGATCTTCGCCGAAACGCCCTCTACCGCGACGACCCCGCGGGACTGAATTTCCCGCGGTTTGTGGTGGCGCAGCGGGACGTGGAGCGCTGGGCGAAGCGCGGGTTGGGCGCCCGCGCTTCCCTGCTTCGCTCGCAGTTTTTGGCGGGAACGCGCTGGCGGGTCGGCGAAGCGGTGCCGGTCCCCGCGGGACTGCTGCTTGTGTTCAACTGCAACCCCGCGAACATTTCCCGCCTCGCGGACCGCGGTCCCGCGGCCAAGTCTCCCGAGGTGGAAACGTGGAAACAGCTGTGGGGGGATCGGAGCGAGCTGCGGCGTTTCAAAGACGGCAGCATCGTTTACACGAACCGTAAAATCGGGACTTTTTCTGGCATCTAGTGTGGAGCTGCCGCCCCGGCGAAAACCATCTGATCCCCGTGGAAATCGTCCGGTACGTGCTCTCGCTGCACACTTTCGCGGTTATCGAGCTCAAGTGTCTCTCCGCGCCCCTCCAGGAATGGATTCCCCGCGGGACCGTAGAGGCGGAGATCCCCGCGGAACTGCTCCGCGACATCATGGAGACCGCGAACTCGCACAACAAAACCGCGGGAATCGACTACGGCGCGCACATCGCGTCCATCGATCCCGCTTCGTCTTCCCTCCTCGGCGCCGCGCTCTTCCCCGCGGAACCCCACCCGCTCCTCCAGACCGGCGTCGCGGCGGCCCCGCGGGTGACCCGTCTGCTCCCCGCGGGGAAGTGGGTGATGCGCATGCAGGGCGCGACGAACCTCCCCGACGACCCCGCGGCGCTGCAGCGCGTGAAAACGCTGTGGTTCTCCTCGCTGGCGGCGCTGTGGGATCCCACGCTTTCGCTCACGTGCAGATTGGCCAAAAAAGGACTCGACTGCGTCGCCACGCAAACCTCCCTCGATCTCGTTTACCGCGGGAGACTGCACCGATTCCTCGCGTGCACCGACCGCGAGGCCACGCTCCTCCCGCGGGTCTACCGCGCCAGGCCGCAGATCCGCGGGGAAATCGTGGAATTGTTGGTGGCGCCGCCGCACTGCGCCGCGGTGAAAAACGCCGCGCTGCAGAACCCCGCGTTCCTCCCCGCGGTTCGCACGCTGCGTCTGTGGGCGGACTCGCATCTGCTGTCGGCGGCGTGCCCCGCGATGATCACCGAGATGATCATGATGGCCGTGCTGACTCCTTCCACCGCAGCGCTCAACCCCGCCGTGGCCTTCGTGCGCACGCTGGAGCTCATCGTGGGCTTCGCGTGGCACTCCGACGTGCTCTTCGTCGATCCCACCGGGAGTTTCACCGAATCAGAGAAACGTGGAATTCTGCAGGAGATCGAAATCGTGCGCGCGCAACCCTCCGAGAAACGCGCGCTGTTCATCGTGGCGCCTTATGATCGAACCTCCATCTGCACGGTTGAAACGCCCGACAAGCCGAGCTGGGCACACGTTCAAATTGTTGCGCAGCGCACGCTGCAGAAGCTGCAAGCTGATTGGCTGACGCTCGGCGATGAAACGCCCTGCTTCACGCCGCGGTACAGCGACTTCGACTTCGTTATCACGCTGAACGACGTGTATTTGACGCCGTTCCCGCGGGGAATGAAGTTGGTGTGTGACAACCATGAGTCCCGCGGGGCGGCGTATGAGTGTGAGGGATCGAAGAATTTAATGTTGGACCGGTCGCGGTTCCTGGTCGGGTACGAGCCGGAGCGCGAGTTGCTTCGCGCGGTGCAGGAGGAAGTGGGAAACGGCGGCGTGGCGATGATGAACACGGCGTTCGGGCGGAAAATCGGAGTATCGTGGAAACCGAGTTACTTTTTGCCGATGAAACTGTCGATGGGAAATGTACGGGACTGCTGCCCGGTGAAGATGGGGGAGGACGTGCTGCTGGTGCGCGATGTGTTCGATTTGATGCGGAGAATCCGAGCGAAGCTGGGAAACGCGGTGAAGTCGATTGATTTTTAGCGAGTGTTTGTTCGAGGAAACGTGTCATTGGAAGAAGGAAAGAAGGAAAAAGAAGGAAAAGGAAAAGGAATAATGGGGAGGGACAAAGGAGAAAGAGAAAGAGATGAGGATAGAAAAGAGTCGATCGAATAAAGAACAGGAAGATGGAATGCCTTTATTATAAATGAACAATAAATTGATTCCTCGATTCCTCGATTCCTCGATTGCTTGGTTTCAACAAACAACGTCAAAATAAAAATGGCTTCTCACGATTCGATCAATCGGTGCGACTCCGCATATTCGCAGATCCACATCACGGCCGTTTCCACGACGCCGTACGCATACCCAGCCGAAGTTGTGGAAATATCATACGGCATAAACGTGTCCACCACGATGAGATGCGCGGGGATCTGCGCGATGTTCTCTCTACGATCGAATTCCCGTCCAATCCGCACGTCCGGAGGAACAAAAAACACACCACTGAAATCACGTCGTCCGTCGACATCGCGATCTCTACTCCTTACAATCCCCGCGATTCCCCACGCCGAATCCCATCGAACTCCAAGGAATTCGATCGAGCGATCGCAGAATTGACGAGGTAGCGAATATCCGAAAGCATTCGCTTCCACGTGTTGATGAGAGCGAAAGGCGTTGTGATTTCGGGATACTCGATGAGCATTTTGCAAAACTCGTCGAGAGATGAAATGATACTTTGATACTGTTGATGAGAGCGAAGAGCATGAAGTGTGTACGTTGCATTGAAACATGGGAGGGATGTGGACATCGTTCATTGTCAAATGTTTCATGCTTCGAACCGCTTGCTCGAATCGAAGAATGTCCGAATGACAATATTCAACGATTTTGTTGATGATTTTATCCGATAACAGTCGATAACAGAATTGATGAAACGACTAGTTCGTTACGAATTCGATGAAACACAAACATAGAACACGATTTCTTGTTGTTCTTTCAATGAATCGCAGACTTGACAAATCGATTTCGTTACAGCTCGACTTGTTGTAACCAAATCGCGTCCTTTCTGGCGAAGCGATTGTTCGAAACGTTTTCTCGCTGTCGCATTCGGAGTACCCGTGGAAACCGTGGAAACCGGGGTATCCGTGGCACCCGTGGCACCCGCAGTACCCGTAGAAACATTGGACACAGTAGAAACAGTAAGAAAATCTCTGTTTTGGGGAGAAGATAGGGCGGCGAGCTCGATCTTGGAGCGATCAACAGCTTCTTTTAACATGTCAAGACAGGGTGTCAACGCTTTGAAGACCGAAAGATACTGAACAGTGCGAAAGGCTTGACTTTCTGTGAGTTCTTCAGGAGAGATTGGGTACTCAAAAGAGGAGTTCTAGTGGTAAAAATCCAATAGAAGGAATGGAACTAAAAGGCCGGATATAATAAAGATACGTAAACATGCAGCTTTGTTGAATGATATCAAAAATGAATGGGGACGACCCTTTGAAAGAAGGGACTTCACTTCCTCTAACGATAAGGTGTAGGAATGAAGCAGAGAGAAAACACGAACTTCGGGAAAGCCCCTACAGAGCCTCACGTCCGTTCCCACAACAGCAATCTGTTGCTTTTTCTCATTTTCAAAACGAATCATGCTAACTTGGCGCATTAAGTGAATGACTGCAAAGTGACACTTTTCTTCGATGATCTACCGACATCCGATTTCTTGAGGCGACGGTTCATGGAATTATTCGCAGGAACAAACAAACAAGCATCCTTTCCATCCATGTAAGATAACACAACTTTCTTGTGCGTAATCACATACCGAATGAAGTCGTATTTCCACAGTTCATGAACAACTGCAGGAACAAGGCGCTTCATACTAATAATAACACATGACAAGATCCATTTGACATTTCGATGTATTTTGTGTTTTTGATATTCTGCAGAAGATATCAAAGGAAGTAGAGTGGTCATTTCAAAAACAAGACTCGAGCTACTTTTGTGGAATGAAAAAAGTGATACCTGACAATTCAATATTTGAAAAAACACAATCGGATACACTGCTTACACAAAATGTTGTATAAAAGTGATTTTATTACACTCTACCCAGCTTGAATCTGAAAGTTCTCTCCAGAACTTCAAAGAAATTACTCTCAAGTGTATTTTGATTACACATAAGTGTTTACCGGTCACCGACTGCTTTATCACAGACAGTTTAGCAAGCTACATCTCTAAAATCATTGAATCATTCGATTATTGATAGTTGTGAAAAACGAATTGAAATCTGGAAGTGCAAAAATCCTAAAGATTTGCTAAGGTTTCCTAATTATCGATATAGTATTTGTGTCCTTTGTTTCAGTGAACCTGCTTCGATTGTAAGTTTCTGAGATGGTAACTGTTTCCAATTATGTAGTCTAACACGGTCCTGTAGTAGTAGTTATTATGTCGAGTTCACAGCTGGAGCAAGGAACAGACAACAAGATAAAAGAACTGGATCAGAATGAAATGGACTTGCCTCAGGAAGATGCAGCTGGCGCAAGCCAACCGCTCATGTTTTCTGGGTTGGGAGAACAGCCACGTGCAAACTCATACGATTTCTTTGATAACGATATGGTCACACCCAATTTGGCAAGCGGTACTTCCGCCGTGTATTCTCCCTTCTTTTTGCAAATGTTTACGACGGAACGACGAGGGATCGATAGTGGAAAATTATACCCGCGCGATTATGGTGATGCCAAGCATCCCGGTATCCTCCAATCTCGTTTGACGACACAGACATCACAGCCAACGAGAAGATCGCTCCCCCGCTGGTCCTCCCGGACAGCGCCACGCAGGTGAACAAATCATTAGAGGATATGATGTCTGTAATGACAGAAAACAACCCTTTTTTCTCCGAATGCCTCGAGCAGCTGACCCACATTAGTCAATGCCGCAAGTTGGAAGGTGAGTGTACGATTCCTCTCTGCTTCCCCCTCAAGCGCGACATGTACCTCCGTTTCCACGTTTCCACGTAGTTACCACGCCTCGAAATGCACGGACGAGGACTGCACGCTGTGCCAGCTTCTCCGCCCGCTCCTCCTCATCCACAGCATTTCCTGTACCCGCGAGGATTGCCAGATTCCGCTGTGCCACGTATTTCTTCGCCTTCCCGCCTCTTTTGCAGCGGTACCGAAACGCCTGGTTCGCCTTCGTTCAGAGCCTCGCGGGGCTTCCCGTCCCGCGGTTAGAGCGCCTCTTCGAGAGCAAGCAGAAGCTCCGCCCCGCGGTGAAGCAGGAGGTACGTCCCGCGGGGATCCGACATCTAGAAAACGCCCGACCCGTCGCTCTCGCAGAAGCGCGTGCATTCCCGCGGTTCCAAGACAGGGGTAAAAATCGTGGTTATTTTTGTAACGGGGAGAGCGACTTCTACGGCGAAGATTTGGCGCGCTCCCCGTCGAATTTGGCGGGGTCGAAGCAGTCCACGCCGTCTCGTTCTGCGGAATTAACCGCGAAACCGTCCGCTCTGGGAGGCGGTGCGAGCGGGACTGGGTCGCAAAATGGCGGGACGGGCGCGGAGGGCGGCGCGCCGACGGTTTTGGCGGCCAAATCGGGGCTGAACGAAGCGCTGAAGGGGTCGAACGCGTCGCTGTCGGTGCAGTACATCGCGTGCTGCAAGTGCGGGAAGCGACGCGCGGTTCCGGGGTGTGCATTCCCGCGGGGATTGACGGGTAGGACGCTGGACGTGAGCCTGCTTCCGCACTTCGAGTGCTCGATGAACATCTGGGACGACAACAAATATAACGCGTGTAATATTGAGGAGAACGTGGACGTCAACTACGTGATCAACCTTTCGGTGGCTCCCCGCGGGGATTCTCATGTGTAGAAGAAGGGCCCGAACTACGAGCAGAGCTGCGCGCAGTTCGTAAACAAGCTGAAAGCGTTTCTGGCGACCAATCAGATCATGTCGTATCGGCCGCCCACGCTGGGGCGAAAGGAGGTCGATTTGTACCGCCTTTTCCGCGAGGTAACCGCGTACGGCGGCTGCGACTCGGTGGTCAGCAAGGAGGGCACCTGGGCGAAGATCTACCGCGGGCTGGACAATTTCTCGCCGACGGAGACGTCCGCGTCGTTCCGGCTGAAGAAGATGTACAATAAATACTTGCTGGCCTACGAAAAACACGTCTTTAACTTCCTCCCCATCCCCGCGAAAAAACACAGATTCCACATGAATTCCGCGGGAACCCCCATGAATTCGATGAATTCGATGAATTCGATGAACTCGATGAACTCAATGAACTCAATGAACTCGATGAACTCGATGAGCGGCGTAACGCCCATTTCCTCGATGGGGAGTTCCATTTCGAATTCTATGTCGAATTCCATGGCGAACTCGCAGACCGTTTCCACGGGGATCCAGAACAGCATCATTTTCCCGCCAAACACCTACACCTACACCGATGAAACGCCCGCGAAACGCCCCACCAAGGGAATCGTGGAAACCTCGTTCGCCGGCTCCCACACCAGCGCCCTTCTATCGAATTCTACGCACTACACGCCCGGCGCGGGAATCGGGCTCACCGCGGGAGTTTCGTGGAACTCTTCGCTCCCCGCCATGGGGGTTTCGCCGGTGAAACGCCCGGCGAGCGATGGCGGGAACGCCGGGGACCGCGAGCACGCGCTGCGCAGCGGATCCCCGCGGGTATCGCAGATCGTAGGGGAAACCGTGGAACCTGACGGGCAGAACACGCGGTCGCGGTCTTCGCTGAGTTCCCCGCTGGTGGGCGGGTTGCCGGGAACCGCGGGGAGCGGGAGTGTCGGAACCGCGGGGATGGGAGGGCGTTCGGCGGGGCAGTGGGAGCAGAAAGTGTGCCAGTCGCCGATGATCACGGGGGAGGATCCCGAGGGCGCGGCCGGGCTGCAGGCGCTGATGACGCTGCGGACGTCGCTGTCGCCGACGCTGCGGAGCGTGGAGGAAGCGTAGGGAAGGAGGACGAGCGTGAGAGCTAGGCGATGGGAGTCGCTGGTGAGCGTGGCGAACGATGTGATGGGCGGAGAGGAGCTGGAGAAGCTGCCGGCGGCGGCGGTGAACTCGATGAAGTAATTGTTTGTAAACTGTTGATGTGGTTATGTGTATGTATGAGTGTTTGAGACAAACAGGGAGGGAGTGTTGTGAACAACACGGAGGAACGCGTTTACACGTTTCGAATAGAGACACATCGACTCGAAAGATCGATTTTGGTCTTTGTGTGAGTGGAAGCTTATGCGGCGAGCGGTTCGCTCTTCTTCACAGCTTCCTCTTTTTCGTTTTCTGCTTCCTTCTTTCTCGTATCGTTGCTTTTGTGGATTGTCGCCTTCCTGGCTGATCGGCGGAGCGAATAGTTCGCGATGGACAGGCAGACGATCATCATCACGCACATCGCGATCGCCAGAATGCGATAGCCCCACGCAGCACCGAACGAATTGTTTATGTGCCCCATCAGCACTTGGATCAGCAGATTCACCATACAGGCAATGCACAGAATCACGCTAATCGTGTTCTGTGCATTTTCGCCAAACACTTGCATCGGAACTGTGATCGACGTGGGATAAAAGGGAGAGATCAGCAGGCCCGACCCTGCCAATAACCACACACCCTTTTGACCCAACGAGAACGCCACGAGATACAGCACAATTAACACCACGTTAAACCCAATCATGCTCGTAATGTCGCCGAAAAAGTCGATAATGAAGCCGACTCCCAGCCGAGTCACTGTGTAGAACAAATAGAACAACGAGAGAAACCGCGAGCCTTCTTCTTCGATCTTCATTCCATACAAGTCATGGAGATACAACGGACCCCAATTCACCGTGATCGATTCGATCGCATACACAGCGCCCATGTTCAGACCCAATATCCACACCATGGGTGATAGGAAGCTCTTCCACACGCTGCTATGGCTGTACGCAGGAACAGGAGAATTTTCGATATCCACACTCAAGGAATCAGCCTTCGACAAGGGCAGCTCTGCCTTTGGATTGTTTGCTTGGTCTTGGGTTTGAGATTGTGCTTGAACTTGCGCTTGCACTTGCGCTCGCTCTGGCGCTTGCACTTGAACTTCGGAATCAAGAGAACTGCTCAACGCAGATTTCGCTCCCTTGTCTGCTGAATCAACACTTGATTCCTTGATTGAACCTTCCTTAGCTGGAAGGGGCTCTTTTTCTTTCAATGACAGATGGGACAACAAAGTGACCACAACGCCAAGCACCACTGGAATCATCAACCCCAAAAAGATCCCACGATACCCCCGGTCCCAAAAAGACAACATAATACTTGCATACTCGGGCCCCACCATGCTACCCATCCCATAAAAGAAGTGCAGATAGCTCATCATAACACCTCGGTGGGAGGAAAACAAAACAGTGGACAGAGTATTCATCCCAACATCGAGTCCCACTCCTCCAAGTCCTTCAATAAAAAGCAAAATGAAAACAACCCAAAGCACGCTCACATTGTAGAGAATACAATATGCTACGAAATAGGAAACGAACGCACCGACAAGGATTGGTTTCACATCTGTATAAGACATTAGAATGCCCAATAGCGGAGAGCCGATAATGAACGACCATGAACCAGCAGAAACAAGGTATCCCTGAATATTGTACGGTATTTCCAATTCCGTTTTCATCAAACCATAATAGACTCCCTCGGATGCTTCCACAGCTCCAAAAACGAAAAAGATAAAATAGCCAACAACCAAGCTCACCCACTCTCCCTTGGTATACCCATAGAAGGACTTGCTTGTCATTTGCGCAAAAAAGAGTGGGGCAAAAATCGAGGGTAAAAAGGGCGCAAACATAGGTTCATATTTTGTACCCTCGAAAGAATGAACAGAGTCCCGCGGAAGATACCCTTTCAGGAGTTTCAAGCATTCACTATTATTCTTGATGGGAGGAATATTTAGTTGTATTGACTCGAAGCCCGATGTTGTACCAGGTGACCCTGATGGAGCGTCTAGCGGCAATCGTAATCGTTTTTTATACATTGAGTGAAGTCAAGCTGTTCCGGAGGAGCCTGTAGTGAAGCCAGAATCACCAGTGGAGGAAGAGAAGACCGCAGAGAGCACCACCGAGAATATATTCAGTACCGACTCGAGTAGTGAAGATGACGTGTTGCGAGGTGTGTCAAATGTTGTCTACCGAAAGGAGTATGGCTTTTTAAATTTGGAGTGAATTCTAGCTTCGTTCAGAACGTGTATACTTTTACCTCCGAGCAGCTCGGCGTTGGCGCGACTGGCCCTATCCGAGTCGTGATCAACAGGTAACTCTTAAGATAGCCTGCTCATGGAAAAGAAATACCGGAGGCCGTTTTGCTATGAAAACTATAAACTTGATGGGTTACAACGCAATTCAGAGGGAGCAACTTCTTCAGGAAGTCCTCATTTTGGGAAGACTGCACCATCCCAATATTGTGAAACTCTACGAGGTGTTCCAGACGTCAAACGCCATGTATTTGATCCAGGAGCTGCTCAGCGGCGGAGAGCTGTACACCCGCCTCATTCACAGTCCTCGTAAAGGTTGTGTCTGCTTGTCACCGTAGTTGGAAAGTTTTCAGAGGAGTACTCGAAGAAAATCGTGCGAGATATCCTCAACGCGATCTACTACCTGCATGAGACGAAGAACATTGCTCATCGCGACCTGAAGCTGGCCAATATCATGTTCACGGACACCTCTCCGGACGCCGAGATCAAGCTGATCGATTTCGGCCTGAGCAAATTCGTGAGCGGGTCGGAGTACATGCACAGCCTCGTGGGCACGCGCTACTACATCGCTCCGGAAGTGTTCATGCAGGACTATCAAGGCATGGGCTACAACAAGAGCTGCGATATGTGGTCGATCGGAATCATCACGTACTTCATGCTCACCGGACACAACCCGCTGCCCGCGACGATGGCGAGTCTCCCGTTCGACCAGCTGCACATCGACGAGATCCCGTTCCCCGACAATTTCTGGAGGAACATCAGTCCGGAGGCCATCAGTTTTGTGAAGGGACTGCTCACCATCGACCCTGTGAAGCGAATGACGGGTAGGACGCGGCGAGGGAATGCGACGCGTAGTGGTGGACGCGCAGAACCATCCCTGGATGAAGGTGACCACGCCGGTGGCGCCGATCAACCTGCCCTCCAGCATTATTTCGTCGATGCAGGAGTTCCAGAACTACAACCATCTCAAGAAGGCCGCGCTCACCGCCGTGGCGTATCATCTGAACAACGTAGGAGCGCGGAGGGCGTGCGAGGTAGAACGATCTGATGCGTCTGAGCGATTTCTTCGAGTATTTCGACAAGCAGGACGATGGCTGGATCTCCTTCGAAGAGGTTCGTGGAGCGAGGGGCGGAATCATCGGGTAGTTCCGCGATGCGTTGATGGCGCTGCGCGATAAGGAGACCTTCGCGAAGAACAAGGATCTGTTCTCGATCACCACCGACGAGAAGAAGCTGCGGCAGCTGTTCGACAGCATGGACTTCGACCAGCAGGGCCGAATCAATTACTCGGAGTTCATGGCGGCGTGCTTGGCTCGAAAGGAGGGCATCCACCGCGAATACGCCGAGCTCATCTTCAAACTGTAAAGCTCTGTGCGGTGCGTGAGGGGTAGAATCGACCGGGACCACGAGGGCTCGATCGAGATCGAGGACCTGCACTTGTTCTTCGGCGATGAAATCTCGGTGGACGAAATCAAGGCGTACATCATTCAGACCTTCGGAGAGCTCAAGACGCGGCTGACCGAGACCGACCTCGAGTTAATTATGAACACGAAGATGATCACGGCCAACAGGGCCGAGGAGCTCGTCAAACAGCAGGTCGTCGGAGATATCGAGGAGGAAGATTACATTAATGTGACATCGCTGTTCAATCGTGTGGTCAACTCGACGGAGGTGAAGGAGGAAGATGGGAAGACCGAGGAGCCCGATCCGGAGGAGGTGCATAGAAGATGTCTTGCTCTTTCAGGTGTTGACAAGATATCAAGTCAACATAGAATTCCTGAAAAAGAATAGATGCTATCATTTTATTGAATTGTTTGTCGGGTGTTTGTTAATTGAAAGGTCGTTGTCAATCTGGAATGCTCATTTTCTTTTATGGAGATTACTGCAATCGTTCGTAGAAGCTTCGGTTAGTGTATATTCATAGTTTTGTCGATAGTCGGCGCCGACATTCTTTGTGCTCTCTTCACCGAGGTTCTTCACCGAATTCGATCCTGCCGATATACATTCAGCAACAAACATGTCCTGATTACTGGAGGATCGAGTGGATTAGGTCTCGAGTTGGCAAAAAAGATTGCCAGTGAAAGGGCAACGGTCACGATTGTTGCGCGAAACAAGGGCCTTTTGAAAAAGGCAAGGGCTGAAATCGAAGAATACTGCAAACAATCTGGTCACATGAGTCAACAGGTGTTTATAGAGTGTGCGGATGTCTGCAGCAGGGACGAACTATCGACCGCTGTGTGCAACGCAGTCAATACCAACGGGGCTATCGACGTTGTCATTTGTAATGCGGGAATGGCGAAAACGGGCTATGCATTTGGTCAGGAAATCGAGGACTATCAAGCATCCATGGATATAAATTATATGGGAACGGTGAATACTTTATTTTGTACCGTTCCTGACATGATCCGAAGAAACCGCGGAGAAATCTATCTTGTTGGAAGTACGTGCAGTATGCTGAGTTACATGGGCTACACAGCGTATGCACCGAGCAAATATGCAATAAAAGGATTAGCCGATGGTCTTCGCATGGAGCTGGATCGCCACAATATCCAGGTTGGGTGCATTTACCCTCCAAACATGGATACACCTTGTCTGGAGAAAGAAAACAAGACAAAACCGGAGGAAGGACTGTTCGTTGAGAAATACCTAGAGTCTTTATTCACTCCGCAGTTGATTGCGCAACGTGTGATTCAGCGTATTAAAAGAGTATGGCATGATTTTAATGATGATGATTTTTTTGTAGGGAGAACCTCATATTTACTGCGACATTGATTCCTGGGCGATTTGTCTAAATAGTTCTGGAATGGGCCCGCACAACAATATTTTCAATTCTTTGTTATTTGTGATTCCGAGCATCATCTTTACGAACATTTTCAGACTCATGCTTCTGGGAATCTATCGCTTAAAACGTTTTTCTACCTCCACTCGCCTCAATCTGTGGCTACAAGGAGTTTCTAAGATAGAAAAGTGAATTGATCTGTTGATTGACAAACATTAAATAGCAGTTGCTGATAATTGATATTGATATCTCACCTTTTGGGAATGTGAGACTTTTGAACAAATAGGTGAAACGTAGTGACACGAGATTATTTATTGAATAGGCGATTCGATGTTGTGTTTGGTTATCATTTCCCTTCATTTGTGCTTCCTCATTGGTAGTCTGTGATCGAACCGTTTTTGCACATTTCAATGTTTAACAATTTTGGAACGTATTGAATCGATAGTAAAATCGATACTTGTTATTATTATTTCTTTGTTATCCCTTCGTGGAAACCATTTCTCTTTATGACATACACATTTTCGACTCCTAAGAGAAATGCCTCTTTAAGAAAAAACCCATTCATACAGGATGGTAGTAAAAATAGAGTTTTGAAGACTCGATAGTCAAGAAGGAGAACACTGTGATGAAGTAAAATTGTTACGCCTTGTATGCTATAAAACAAAGTGAAAGTTGGAGATCATAAGACACAATAATACAATACTGAATTCAGGTACACCATTTCATTTATACTAGAAATTACCCTTAGTGAAACCGCAATGGGAGTTTCACTTGTCATTTCTATTTCCATGTTGCATTTATTCTCTTAGTTTTTAGAGTAATGAAGTGTAATTGCTTCTTGTGCGAATGACTCATGTCTAGTCGATCTTCTCCATATTTGCGAGCCTCTTTGTACATTCCTTCCTGAGGTGAAAACTCCTGAGAAGAAGGTGATTGGCATTCGTACCGCTTGACTCCCAGGTTCCCTTCCGTGAGCGCTGTCTGTGGACTGTGGTTGCTTTGTTCGTTTACCTTGTGTGCTGCCAGATTCCTCTGTATGGTATTGCCAACGCTGCCTCCTCGGACCCCCTGTACTGGCTGCGTGCGATCTCTGCCTCGAACCGGTAGTTGGCAGTGTTTTGGTGTCATCGTCTAGCGGCACTCTGATGGAGCTGGGAATCACTCCCATCGTGACGTCCAGCATGATCATGCAGCTTTTGACGGGTCTGAAGTTGGTGGTGTACGATCAGAGCGTGAAGGAGGAGCGCGACCTCTTCGAGAGCGTGCAGAAGCTTTTTGGCCTGCTGCTGACCTTCATCACCTCGTTCGTGTACGTGGTGTCTGGCATGTACGGTCCCACGAGCGAGCTGGGCTGGATGACGTGCGGTCTTCTGATCTTCCAGCTGTCGCTCTCGGGCGTGATCGTTCTTCTGCTGGACGAGATGCTGCAGAAGGGATACGGTCTCGGTTCTGGCATCTCTCTGTTCATCGCGACGAACATCTGCGAGTCTGTGATGTGGCGCGCGTTCTCTCCGATGACGATGGACACGGGCCGCGGCAAGGAGTTCGAGGGCGCGGTGATCTCGCTGTTCCACCTGCTGATCACGCGGAAGGACAAGATCCGCGCGCTGCGGTACGCGTTCTACCGCTCGGCGCTGCCGAACCTGTTCAACCTGCTGGCGACGGTGGTGGTGTTCCTGGTGGTGGTGTACTTCCAGGGCTTCCGCGTGGAGCTGGCGGTGAAGAACCCGAAGTACCGCGGCCAGCAGGGCGTGTACCCGATCCGTCTGTTCTACACGAGCAACACGCCGATCATCATCATCTCCTCGCTCACCTCCAACCTGCTCATCCTCTCCCAGATGCTCTCGCGCCGCTGGGAGGGCAGCTTCCTGGTCTCGCTGCTGGGCCGCTGGTCGCACGACGAGCAGCAGAGCCGCCCCATCGGCGGACTCATCTACTATCTGATGGCGCCCGCCTCGCTCTCCGCCGCCCTCGCCGACCCCATCCAGCTCCTCGTCTACCTCGTGTTCATGCTGGGCGGATGCGCGGCGGTCTCCAGACTCTGGATCGAGTTCTCCGGAACCTCCTCGCGCGACGTGGCGCGCCAGCTCCGCGATGAGGGCATGACCATGAAGGGCTACCGAGACAGCGCCCTCATCGACGTCCTCGACCGCTACATCCCCACGGCGGCCCTGCTGGGAGGACTGTGCATCGGAGCGCTGACCGTGTTCGCGGACTTCATCGGGGCCATCGGCTCGGGAACGGGAATCCTGCTGGCGGTGACGACGATCTTCCAGTACTTTGAGATTTTCAAGAGAGAGAGAGAGGAGCTCGGATTCCTGGGATTCTAAGATTTGCTGAGGGATTTCTGTACAATGGCTTGTTTGTTGGAAAAAGCAATGAGGGGTGAGGGAGTGCAGTGTGGGAATGAATAGGCATTGCCTGGGGTGATTTCCTGAAGTTTGCATCAAATCGACGAAAACCAACCAAAGCATCGCTGAAATCACAGACTTGCTGTTGTAATAATAATAAAAGAATGATCTGCGACAAGACTTAAGGAGATTGAAGATTGCTCTTCTATCTTCCCCCCTTCTTTAAAAAAAGAAGAGTCCCGATTTCTGTCCTTCAACAAACAACTCAATTCTCCGATATCGTATAGGTATTGCAGCTATCCAAAATATACTGCACGTTCTCCTTCCACTGAATTACCTTTTCCAGCATGTTTTCCCACTCCCCGTCGACCACCGAGCACAGAATTCGCCTACGGCTCACTGCTCCGCGCCATCCCTACGACACCACGAACTCTCCCTTCATTTGATCCATTTTTCCCTCAACCAGCCCGTTCTTGACCACATCGACCACACATCGCTCGGCCTCGTTCTCCGACACGTGCAGATGCTCCGCGATCTCCTTGTACGTCATCAGCTGCTTTCCGTTGCACAGCTTCGTGAAGGCGAGCATTCTGCACTGTCTCAGCATGGTAGTTTCGCTGAGTTCGAACTCGCTCAGCACTTCCGCGTGCTCCTTCACGAACGCCTCCAGCCCCGCGATGTCGCCCTTGTTCACGATGTGCAGCAGCTGGAAGAGGTTCCTACCTCGCACATCGAGAGAGCGCCTACGGGTGCGACTGCTGCAGGCCCGCGAAGACGGACTGCTCGCGCGCGCGCGTGTCCTCGTCGAGGATCATGTGCTTGAGCTGGGTGACGGCTAGATTGGAGGCTCGCATCGACTCTACCGCACTCCACGGCGTATTTCTGGTACTCCGCATCGGTGGCTGTGTAGGTGCTCAGCAGCTTCAGCAGGCAGAGATAGGCTTCCTTTCTAGAGGTGAAGGAGAGGGAGAGAAGGGACTCGCGCTTCATGGAGGTGAGAGTTTGGTGCAGGGAGAGAAGCACGCCGCGATAGTCCTCGATCACGTCGCTCCAGAAGTCGTTGTTTTGGCTCATGAGGAACTTGTAGAACTCTTCGAGCGATTCTGTGGGTGAGGGAGAGCATGAAGAGCAGACTGGATTCGTGGGCGAATGTGATGATCTTTTGGAGAAGAGCTACTCGGCAAGATTTGAAGGAAGGCATCGAATTGAGGATAATAGACAGCCTAGAGTGAAAAGCACGCAAAATGAACACAATCTGGCCTTGAGAGTGATCAGCAAGGACGAGGAGAACAGCAGATCGCAGATCTCCAGGCAGGTGTTCTTAACTTCCTCGGTCATGCCTTGCTTCTTCAATACTTCCATAAGAATATAGAAAATGCTCTCAATGTCTACATAGGCGGTAAGCAATAAGGTAGAAACGATCCAAATACTTACCTTTATCTTGCACATTATTGCAATTTGCCAGCAGTTCCTTGCAGCAAGAAATCGCGAACTCTCCATTTTTCTGGGAGGAAATGAGCTCCTGCAGCTGCTCCTTTATCTTGTTTGCTTCCTCTTCCTCCTAAATAATGAATCCAACCACTCTGTTCCCAACATGAAGGGCGCACAGAAAGGAGATGATGATATCGGAAAGTTCTATGTCAGATTTCGCACTATAAAATAGAGAGGCGGACATATTTCGAATGAACGTTCAATTCCTAATTTCCTCCAAAAATCGGGAGGCGAGAAACGCGGGAATATCGAACAAACACCACAAAGACAGTTCATCAATAACTGCTCCGCTTGAAATATATATTCCATTGCTTTTGAAATATCCGGGTTGTGATAGGGCTAACCGTCAACTAAGAAACAAAAACCCACGTTTATTTGACTGAGCTTGCTTCTCAGAGAATTTAGGCTATTCACACAGCTTGCTATTGTGTCTCCGTTTCTCGTCGTCATATAATCTACAACTAACAGCTGATTGCCAATCCCACATGACGAAGAAGGAATACGTAGATTGTCTTGAGTGGAGACCTGATTTTCATTTATCGTCGTCAAAGGTGGCAAAATCACAGAAATCGTCCCAGGCTGTGCGCTCCCTCTATTTGGCTGCATTGTGTGATTGAGCATAGGAGGATTCGGGAAAGAAAACCCGTTATTGATTGCTGGGGCTTCGCTGGGCTTCGCCTCGCTGTTCTTCAACTGATCCGCAATATGGGGATAGGGAATGTCGAGCTCATCGGCCACGTGGGGATACGGAATGTCCAGATCGGTCAGCGTCGATTGCAGGGCGGCGCTGGACTCGGTGGCGGGCGGGGGAGGCGCTGGTCGGTTCATGGAGGGCGTTTCGGGGTAGGAGTTGGTCTGGGTGGAGGGAAGAATGGACGCGGACATGACCGGGGCGGTGGGAAGAGGAAGGCCCGGGCGGGGGTAGGGCGAGGGGGCCGGAACGACGGCGGGGAGGACGGAGCCGCCCATTCCGGGAATGTGGGTTTGGGTGAGGGAGGGGAGGACGGAAATGCCCTCCATAACGGGCAAGGGTTGAGGGGATGGATCGGCCGCTGGTTGGTCAGGAGTGCTTGGCTCACTGTCGTCGTCACTGTCGTCGTCAAGTTTGAATGAAAAATATTGGTTCTCTGGCTGAATCATGCTCTCCGCCTGGGGCAAAACCATTCCGTTCATTGTTGGAAGCGCAGAAACGTCCTCCATGGCGGGCAAGGGTTGAGGGGATGGATTGGCCATTGGCTGTTGATCAGCATTTTGTTGGCTTTCACTGTCGTCGTCACTGTCGTCGTCACTGTCGTCATTAAGTTTGAATGAAAAATATTGATTCTCTGGCTGAATCATGCTCTCCGCTTGAGGCAGCACCATTCCGTTCATCGTAGGAAGCGCAGAAACGTCCTCCACAACAGGCAGGCTTTCAGTGGAAGCATTCGTCACTGGCTGTTTATCCGTACTTGACTTACTCTCATCACCATCATCATGCACGCTAGGTAACAATGGATTCTCGGGCTGAATCGGAATACCAGCTTGGGGCAACACCATTCCAGTCATTGTAGGAAGCGAAGAATTGTCCGTACAAACGAATGGATCCCCTTTCGATGGAGCATCGTTCGGTTTCAGTTGTGTAGATCGCCGAAATGATGCCGGTCTCACAAGAGAACCCTTCTTTGTTTCCTGAAGGGACTGATTGCAATGGGGTTGTGGTGCAATTTGTGCTGGTTGTGGTGCAATTTGTACTGGTTGCTTAGGATCTGTGTCATTTTGCTGATCACTAAGACTGAGTGACCTTGGTTCCGTTTTCTCTTCGCTCACACCCGTGCCAGGTTGAATGGAAAAGGCAAAGCCTAGCATAGGACACAAAGAAGTGTACATATCATCGTACTACAAAAAAATGAATGAGAAAAATAAACGTTCTTAAGGGGAATATCGTAAACCTTAGCAACATGAAGGTATATCAACAGTCGCTTGAGTCTAAAGCTAAAAAAAACATACCAGACGTACTCCTTCTTTGTTGCTTGTTGGCCAGTTGCTTGCTGGTAGCAAAACGGAATCATCGAATTAAAGCCTTTCTAACTTCATCAAGAAATTAATAGTCCTACATGTAGCTTACTTCGATCCTGAACAAACTCTTTATTCTTTTCTATAAAACTCTGAATGCGCTTTTTATTTGACATAAGTTTAATTCTCTTGTCGTCATCATACATCGTTATTTCTTTATCCAAAATATCGCATGCCACCTTATAAAATGCCATACTGAGCTGGTAATACATGTCGTCAGGTTGTTTCGAAGAAAACTCATATAGCTCGTTACCTTCAAGAACAAAATCAGTGTGATTCATCTATAACAACCAAATAGAAATCTTTTTTTTGTGAACAGAAGAAAATTGTATTTCCATAATTCCGCGATTCGCATATTCATGTTTACTTGAAGTATTTGCTTCTCATTCTTGCAAGAACAATGGATAATCAGAAAGCGGAACCCGAAAAAGAATGGGGAAGCCAAGCAATAAGTCCAAAGACACCATTTTCTCCTGAAATAGCTAGTTTAAATAATTATTTACCTCGGCAAAATCTATGTACGCTGTTGGTACGAATAGTTTCTCAATAGATTCACCCATGCCCGCTCTGGATTCTTCTTTCCTTGTGCAAGTATCTGCTGCTGCTCGTTTCTACTCTCTAGGGGAAATCCAAGAAAAGAAGGCTCATGATTCCAACCCAAGAAAAACCTGTATGAAAACGATCACGTATTGAGCAGTAGAGGAAACAGCGTTTTCATTGGAGTGGGAATTTGCACTTCGAGTTTATTCGACAGTTGTACAAATATGGACTCGATAGTAAGAACTTCTTATCCCGATTCATAGTTAGATATTCCAACAAAAATAGTATTCGAAACAATGCGTCAGTACTGTAACGACATTAACTACGATTTTATCGAGAATCTTCTCAACGTATCATCTAACACTCTTTTTAATATTCTCAGGACCTACGCGACAACATGGAAGCCTCCCTTCAAGACTTCTACGTTCATTACTATCAAGCTCTTCATTATCAAGAAAGTTACACAGGAGTATTCGTTTTCTCCCCTTTCCCCATCTAGTCCGATGCAGTAATCAGCAAATTTTCACTCTACCCTTTTGCTCCTCAATTCGTGAGTCAGCTAGCTGTAACGCATGGCATTCTCTTTCTCTCTCGTAGGAAGAGTTTCCCCAAGTGACTCCCTCTGTCAAGCAGGAAACCCCCTCTCAGCCCGTTTCACATAGCATCGAGTCTGGAACCGAGGACCTTTTGTCTCGCATCGCAGTCCCGAAAGTATCGTTCGCCGATCTTCTAAACGTGGACATGCTGGAGAGTCGAAAGTCGAGCCGCGAGCAGATGATGGATTCGCAGATCGAGCTCCACCAGGACATGCTGTTTCAGAACAATTACGTGCTTCGCAAGTCGGTCACCGAGTCGAGCGAGAGCCATCCTCTACTGCTGGGAGATCTGATGAAAAGCAGCGGGTTTGAGTTCGGGATTACGTCGTCGGAGGACGATACGGAGCTGGGACGAGGGCTTGAAACACGGAGAATGAATAGGAAGCGGTCTGCTTCAGAGGTGAGTCCGACTCATCTTATCTCGTCGGTGCTCTCCGCCCAGAATGTGGGGATTGGGTGAGAGGAGTAACTTGTAGGATCGGTATGTGGAGCAAGTGGATCGCGTTTTGGCGGAGAATTCGCCGTCTTTCGATGTGCCTCCTTTTGAGCAATTGGGGAATGAGGGGATGGGTGGAAATGATTCGATTCTGCTTCCGTTATATAATGAAAATGCCCTAGAGGATGTTTTTGATTTTTTAAAGTAGAAAACAAGTTTAATTGCGAACTGTTTTTTCAAACACATCCAAGTCATAGCCATTCAGGTGGAGATGACTCAGCAACGAAAAGCCTTTCTTCACATAGTACGATTCGGCTATCGAAAGAAGAGAGATGGTTGACAAGCGGATTTGTAAAGGACCTATAATCATCACTCATTTCATAAGAGTCGAACGGTCAGGACAGAGAAGGCAGCCTTCGCGCTCCAATTCCTTCCAGAGCATGTTTGAAATACCAAGGCAGCGGTAATTCTTCGCAACTGCTAGTTTTTGAATTTCATAAGACGAAGAAGAGCTCACACGGAGACCAGCCATCCTGAAATTCATTCAAAAATAGAGAATGCAGAACCCTACGACACACCCATCTGCATTGAGCGCCACCCAGAGCTTGTTCCGCTCAGGTTTCTTTATCACTAAATGAAAAGAATAGACGAATAATACAGTGCGACACTTTGTCAAAGGTGTTCTTAAAACTTTTGTGAATATACGAACGAATGCTTGTGTTGTTCACTGCCAGCTCTTTATATGTGCCAAAGTACAGATTTCTAACGCCTTCATAATCTTGAGAAGAATATTCCCGAACACTCACACTCTGAACTGATCCGACAAAAGGAGTCTAGGGATCGGGAAGGATGCATGCACACTCACGTCTGTAACGTCCCATTCATCAATCTGTGCAGACATAGTACAAATAGCAAAAGAATAAAACAAACAATAAAGAGAGACTATTTGTGTTATTTTTAATTTTTATTATTTTTGTTATTGCAGGTATTATCTAAAACAGACGTTCTCTCTAAACCTGATAAAACGTCAAGCATAATGGTGTGGTAATTTACATCCTTTGTGTCCGAAGACTCTGTTTCCATAGATTGCGGCTTGTTTTCTGCAACTTTCCGGTAGAAATTGCACAAATAGGCAAGCCACTCTTTTGGACTGAGTATTTCTTTCTTTTGAACAGCGTCATCAATTTCCTCAGGGCAATCAATCCACTTTTCAACTTGTAACTACAATGTGAGAAACACACAATCTAGTCGACTCTATTTTGTTTTGGAATTATTTTCTTCACAGAATGCGCAACGGGACCTTGCTCCTCAAAGGTGCACTCAAAATCCACCTTGGTCGTAGGGCGCAGTAATTGGACTTCATCATCAATATCAGAGTAATGTACAAACACTGAAATTGATATTTATTTACACTATACTCACCATCCTTCCAACTTCCGTATCGCTTAATAATCTCATTCTGTAAGGCAAACTCTGGATGAATAAACCCAAATCCCTTTTTGTCATTAAAGGATTTTACATGACCAGTTACAAAGCGTAGCTGCTACAGTTAAATGTACAAAAGAATTCTACAGCGGGGCTTCTAAGTGAAAACGAAATTTTGCTCGCTACACTTCGTAACATTACAAAGGTTTGAACGATATTCCGTACACATAGTGGTTCCCACTAGAACTATTTTGTTTCACGAGTAGGAGCTAACAAAGTGAAGTGGATTTGGTAGGAAAAGATGTCTTAAGGATTTTAAGATAGTATTATTACTTGAAATATGATAAATTGAAAATGACCGAGAAATTGCTTTGCAAACAGCTTCGTGCTTTGATTGTTGGACGTTGTAAACGAAATATGACTTATTGAACACAAAAATGAGAAATATATGTATATTGTAAATAGAATATTCACTTGGATCCAGACAAGGGGAAACCACTTGAAACTATCTACATTAAAAGCATCGATAAGCTCAAAATAGTATATACGAAATGGTTGTATAGTAGTGAAGCGAAAAAAGCAATATACTGATGTGTGGGAAGTGATTCCAATTGGTTTGGTGAATCAAAAGAATAGTATTGAAATACGCATATAAAATACGAAGGTGGCAGCTTATACTGTATGAAATATGTGTATACACAAAATAGAATGGATAAGTTTAACCCCCTTTTATTGTCCGTAATATCTTATAGAGAATAGCTACATGTTTATAGTGCCTTATAAAACGCAGCATTTGTAAAAAGAAATACACCAATTTTAACAGATACTATTCTTATGTCAACAAAAAACTCGATAACCAAAAGGTTATGAGTCGGAAATGTATGCCTTGAATAAGAATACTAAATACTAGCGACATTATCGCTACTATACGATTCAGAGAATAATTGTAACCGATATGTAACTTTAGGTAATCCTGAATTTTGGATCAAGAATGGAAAAAGATATACTGTGCAGAGATATCAAGGAAAACACAAGAACGAATTTCTGGCGCGATCTGAAACTGGAAATGTGTATTTATTTGATAATAATGTTCTAAAGCAGGAATGGAAGGAAGACAAAAATAAAAAGAAATCAAAAGAGTATATCGCCTACAAGAATGGTCGAGTTTATTTCAGTCAACGATTTCAAGATATTTTGAATCATAAAGATCGGAGTCGTGTTGTATATCACAAGAAAGGACTTCGAATGGAAATCTGGTCAGTCCAAACGGGGCATTTGCTATATCACGGAGAATACAACGAAAGACGAACGAAAGATGGCTGGGGCATCGAATACGATGAAGAAAGCGGAAATGTGGCTGTGGAAGGGATGTGGAGCAAAGGAGTATTGAAAGAAGTGATTCGATGTTTCAATGGAGATACGATGACCGAATTATTAAGAAACGGAGCAGATAGTTTGGATCCAACGAAACGAATGCCGATCTATGTGGGTGGATTTCGCTATGATGAAGACAATGAACGATTTATTCGTGAAGGGAAAGGATGCCTGATTGATGAAAAGACTGGAATCGCAACTCGAGAATGTGAATGGAAGGATGGAAAGGAAGTGAGTGGAACGAATCTGACTGATGGATGGTACGATCCAAAATTGAGGTAGGGTTTATCAACAGCCATGATTCCTAGACCTGATTCTGTTCCTGCTCCTGCTCCAGAAAGTTCATATGTTCCTATTCTATATAATGTCATTGGATCAACAAAACTGAGCAATGTGAGTTTGCAAGTGACCAATCTGACGATTTCATCGAATTGCTGCAATGA